ATCAAAAATTGGTTACTGTATTTAAACACTGTTATTAATATCCAAGCATTGAATTATGACCTATTTTCAGCTTTTTCTAGAATCAGGCCTTGAAATTTTATAGCAGTTTCTGTAAACAAAGAAAGAAAAAGTAACTAAATCACATCTTTGTACAAATGTGTTAGAAAAATTATGCATTGAGTGGCTAAACATTGTTGCTAGATCCATTTTAAAACAGATCAATCATTATTTTCTGGAATTTCGACGAGACAGAAAACATTACAACAAGCACCGCGACTGTAAATGCTTGGAAATTGCGAATGACGGCTTATTTTTCCAATATTAAAATCAATTCATAAATTTAAGTGCAATATAAGGCCACTCACCAAATTTAACATCGATATTCGAAAGAGAAGTGGACGAAATCAATCCTTACTTTTACCAAATTTATAAGGGCTCAGTATGAAGCAAGTTCCTTTTTGCCACTATTCAAAATGGCGGAAGTAAACAAATTTTCCTCACAGCCTACCTGCGAGCTAGACATCTAGCGTCTTCGGCGCTTCTTTGTCATTGGTAAATATCGGTATACGAATCGAGGCAAAAACAATGTTCCATTGTCTCCAATTTTTGTTCAAGAAACTTGCTGTATGAGAAAAGAGTATTGGATCTTCAGGAACAAATTCGAAACTTCAGCAGTGCAGGCAAAAATATTAGATCTAGGTGAATTATGTTTTGTAGATCCAGAACTACATAAACGGAAGTGATTGGCTGGTTGGAGTATTATATACCTTTATGAATCTATCGTTCTTTGAATAGCGGGTTGAATCGTGTTTCTGGAAGATGTCTCATATCAGAACTCATCTCAGTAAACTGTGCTCAGCACAGTGAGCCTCTGTGCGAAGAGGAGGCGAAGTAGAACTACATAAACCATCGTGATTGGCTGGTTGGCATAGAACTGGAGACGCGCAAAAAAGTTCTTCAGCCGTTTCACACCGCAACCAACTTCAAACCTATCTTATTTTGCGTAATTAAATGAAATACTAGTATATAAAATTTCAAGCACGATGAACTTCAAAAAGGACATCAAACATAAAACTGAACGGGATTGAAACAAAGGAACTCTTAAGAAACTATGAATACGTAAATTTGTTCAAAAATTAAGCCCTCGATAAATTCAATGTTGACCCGTGCTTCGTTTGAAGTGGTTATGAGTACGAATCAATCATTTAAATACCGGCTAAAGAAGAATAACTATCATTTTTATAAAACGAAGATTTGAAGCGTCAGCAATAACGATAAAATATTAAGTTTGCACAAGTTTGATATAAACTTTGTCTTCAAATTTAAGCGTCACACGAAAACGTAAAAACACATATAAAATGGACCAGTCTTTTAAATTGGACAACCGATCAATTGTGCCAAATTGTGCTTTGATGGTTATTTTTTAAAACTGACTAGCAGTTAAGGATCTACGAACTGAAAGTAATTAGTCTGCTGTCAATTTTTATGTAAGAAATATTATCACTAAGTGCACTTTGAAATCGTACCTTTTAAATTGGGTTTGCAACACAACGAGGCCTTATTACCATCTTGCTTTGTTGTATAACGTTAAAGAATTGTTATCTTGTAGCAACTGATTGTTTAAGAAAAGTAAGTTCATTGTATGTATCAAGTTAATCAAACACCCGTGTGTATACTTAGTAACCAAAAAAGTTTCAAGGTTGATTGGAAAGATCAGGAACGGTGTACAGAGATCAGTAGAGCCTTGACTGGTGCTCTAACAGGCGATTGACGTGGGTTAAAATTATTATTTAAAAGTTTATTATTATGTATTTTCATTATTTCAAAAGTTTTGAAGTGCATTGAATTGGTTAGGCGGTTCCCAGGAAAATTACAGCCTCTTTTTGCGTTACTTTCGACCAGCACAATCATTTTTGCGTTTTAAATTTTCTGCTTCCTTTGGACTTTATCCTACATTTATCCAAAAAGTCGGGTGAAAGTATGCTTCCGCACTTTCGTGCTATTCGTTAATGTTCTACAATTCTATCTTTTCCTGATGTTTCAACAAATATAGAACTTTAAATATAAATGTTTCTAATCATTTTTTACAGTGTATATCAAGAGCAGAGAGGAAAATTTTACATCATTACCCAGTTGGCGGGTATGGTGAGCCAATGGTACAGAACACTTCCTCCTGGAATGAGGCATCTTGTTTAAGAAAAGACCTGGCAATGTGACAATTCTCCATTTCAAAAACAGACGAGATGAACAAATCCAACATAACCCCAACATGCTACATAAAATGTGTCTGTGCCATATGATATGAATGGGTCTACCTTGTCATTCTAGACTGGAGGGGGGGGGGGTTTCAAGGCAGAAAACGTAAATTTAGGCAAAAGGGACAAAAATAAAGAAAATTGTACTCCCTCTCCTCACTCTGGTTGAAAGTTTGGTTACGCTAGGACTCGAAAGACGTACCACTAACCACTGACCCATTCCTTAATCACGCAGATTTTTAGTGTCAAACAAAAGATGATTATATGCAATAAAACTGTTTAAATAATAATAATAATAGATATAGATAAGTTCTTGTAGTTGAATCTAGTCATGTACTTTGACAAGCTAAATAAATCAATGTAATTTCACAAATAAATTCCGTAAAATGGTATTATAGAAAAGTTGCTAATTAAAAAAGGTTTTGCCGTAAAAAAAGGAACATTTAAATGTATCTTGATTAAGGCAATTTTCAGAATAACATCACGCTAGATAACACAAGTAGTTGTGAGAGCATATAACATGTTTATTGTCTTGTTGAGTTTTATGGCATCTAGTCCACGACCTAATTTACAATTTTCCAAAGCCCAGTATTGATCACATGTTCAACGAATGCCAGGAAGGCCAAAGAAATTCAAAGAAACAAGTATGCAAGACAAGATGTTTCATTTTTTCTATCGCTTTTCCAAGACTATTAGAGCATTACTGCTTTGTGCGGAAGAAAGATAGGCACTTTCCTGGCCTATGCATTAAGCAAAATAAAAACCTTATAAGTTTAGTGACAAAAATGGTTAAAAGTTTCTTGGATGATTTACTAGGTCTATGACTGAAGAGGTCTTTTATTAAGTAAAGAAATGGATTCTTTTAAATACACTCCATGGCTGTGGCGTTAAAAATGCTGAAAGTTGTAGCTTTGAGAATACCACAATGTTCGCGTACTGGTCCACTTCTTTTGATAAGATTCGTAAATAGCCTTAAAAATTCCTGAAATTATCGTTAATTTGCGATTTTTCTAAGCAAGAAGAATCAAGAAAACCGAATGCCTGGGCAACAGAACACAATTTTGCTGTAAAAAAGCGAATGTTAATCAAAATTGCATCGAGTAAATTACTTCTAAAGAGAGCTGTCCTAAACAAAAACAAAATTGATAATCGATTCGCTAATTTTTTTTTGGAATTCTGCTTGTGTGTTTTATTGGGTATTCTATTTTATAAGAAGATCAATTTTACTCTTATAAAAAGCATACGTGTGTCTGTATTTGTAAGCTTGTTGCTAAATAGCAGCAAATAAAATGAATAATATACTGTTTAGCGAGAAATTCTATTCGTGTGCTAAACGTGATGTTCCAAATTTGGCCAGTTTGAACGGTTACATAGCAGATCTAAAACACCATTGCTGACGAGCTCCAGAAATAAAAAGGTTACACTGTACCTTAAAAACTGCACCATATTTTACAGTTAGATAGTGACCAAAATGTGGATGAAAATTTACAACTACAGGCTAATTTTCACATTCACATTCATAATTCACAAGTCTTAACAAATGTTTACCACGGTCCTAAAATCGACAATGTTTAAAATTAGGAGCGGATTACAGAAACCATGTTATATTTAGAGATGACTAACCTTGCTTTAGAGTGACCCGTCATTTGGTAATCTGGCTTGACAATCCTTTCAGTCGCTTAATGAAAATATCGAATGAGTTTCTAGAAAACTTAAGGTTTTATTGCTATCAAATGAAGCGAGTGATGTCCGCTGGCTCGCTGATAAAACAGAATAGATGAAAGTAAAGACTCTTGAAGAGCACCTGCTCCACAAGATAACTAGTTTAGAGATTTCAGCAAAAGCTGCATAAAACGGATGCTTCTGAGATCAGTATTACTGTAAATGTATGGAGGTGCTCATTGAAGGGTTTTAGAAAGAAGGAAAGAGCTTTTCGAGGTAAAAAAAAGAAAAAAAAACAGAAATTTTCGAGGTAAAAAATGAAAAGAAAGAGAATAATAACCTATAAAACAGAAGGTACCCCAAACTATGAAACTAAAAGCTACCCCAAACTTTGATTTTCTTCTTGCTCTCGTCCAACCCATTTTCTGTATTACCATTACTGCATCACAAGCTGCATTTCAAACCCGACCCTTTAACTTTAATTCAAGCTTATTAGTGGCGAGATGCACTTGCAGCATTGATACTTTCAAATGGCTTTAAAGCTTATAAAACGCTTGCCCCCTTATCTATGTTTTTTTAAAAACAAAAATATAGTAAAGTAGCTAAAGAAAAGACTTATTTAATACCCATTAAATCAATGTCAAAATTTATCTTAAAAGGGTATAACAAAACTTAGTTTTTTATGCAGATGATTGAAGTTGACATACAACTGACTGTTTTAAAAATTGAAAGCTTATTTTTGCACCGTGGATGTAAAAATTTTTGTGAATAGTAACCAGATTTACGGAAAATTTCTGTTGCTATAAGTAAACTTGCTTAGCCCTATTACATTTTGTAACACAAAACCAAATAAATAAAAGTATTTCCACAAGCATTTTGAAAGTGAGTGTCTTCTGAAACCTGCTCAACAAATCTTTCATCTTTTCTTCCCCGCCTCTGCAAATGTTGTCAAGATCTATAAGATCTGATTATTCGGGCATTAGTACGCTACAGGCATCGTTTCCCGTTACGAGGCTGTGCCTATGACCTTCGATATTTATCAATATCGATAAAGAGGCGGCTTGGACAATGAAAGAATTCGGCTTTGTTATAAATTTATTAACTAAATATTCAAACCCCAACTTTACACATACTGAGCACATAATATTCAACTGTTTCATAGATTTGATTAAACAACAATCTACAAGCTTATTGCTTTTTAAAAGAATGAATAAATGAATACATAATGATAGGCTGAATCAACATCGAAATCCATGAAAAAGTAAATATCCCACACCTTGATTCGGATAGTACTTCTTACCTTTGTTATAAAGTATTGACAAAAAGCGTCCAACTCAAGCTTACAATTCCCTTAGGGTATACTGTGGGTACAGCAATATGAGAAAAGTAATTAAATGAACTTATCTTGCAATCAGAGCTTTGGAAACAACAACAATTACATTTTCATGCCCAAACCCCGCCCTATTTTAATTTTTTGCAAGAAAGGTTTCCCGGAAGGAAGCTTGAGGGATTCCCTGTATAAAGGATGTAAACTCTATTGCGCTCTGCTAGCAATGGAGAATAGTCAAGTTAAGTAGGATCTTCAATCTCTTAATCTCTCCTTTAAGTCTTCTAAGAAAAGTCCAGACTGCCGCGTTTGATTGGCTCCTTGTTTTTGACCAATCATCAGCCGGTAACCTCTCATATTGTTGAAGATTAAAAGAGAGAAAACGAATTTCTGTCTATACAAGTTGGGATTGGAAGTATACTACAAAAGAATCTCTAAGGAGTGTCCGACAATAGTACTTAAGTATGCTATGTTTCCACTTTCAAAATTAGCAGCTTTAAAGGTTCATTGGGTTGATTCCATTTAAGTAAATAAATCTCATAAAGGGATAATATAAAGAGATAGAACATACTAACTGGTAAAAATTCCCTGAAGCATGCTCTGAGAATTTTGCACGGCAGAATTTGCATGTACATTGAGCTTTTTGGCGAAATAAAATATTATCTTTTCTAAGGCAATGTCGAAATTTAAATCGAATATTGTGATGTCATCTAGCAAAATGAAAACGTAACTCAATGTAATGACGTCATCTAGTAGAAACTTTTTAACGCTTCCTTGTATGATGTTGGTTTCGTAACTTTAAAATTTTAAGAATTGCTTTCTAATTGTACACGTAGACAAAAATGCCATCTCTAAAGCTATGAAAAGTTTAATTAATGTTAAATAACGACCGGAAATGTTCATAATATTAATTAAATAATATAAATCGTAAATTTGAACACTTCGAGAACAACGCTTTTGATAGCTATGAAAGAATAAATTCCCTTCCTGAACTCTTACTGCAACATCTAATCTCAAAATTTATCACTTCTTTATTATTACTCTCAAGGAGAACTGCAGTTGATTAAAAAACAACAAATATGTACCTAATACAAGTCAGCATGCTAGGCATATGTCGCTTCATCGCCTAAAAAGAAAACAAAAAGAAGTTAGAAACACCAAACGTTATCTCGTCTAGAACTGTTAAAAAGTATTGCATATTGTTGTGAAATAGACGCTGTTCGAATTATGCGCCCTATTAAACTCGTTATTCTGATTTGCCCAGTTTCAAGTAACTCGTTAAATAACTTGTTTATATCCTGTTTGTTGACTTGTTTAGGCCTGTTCTGTTGATAATGGTATTACCTAGTGCTATCCATATTTGGTTATCGTAAGACTTGTGTACGCTGGTACCATCCCTTTCGCGCTGTTAACTTTGTATTTTTTTGGTTGGAATTTTTATGTTAATATTCTTGTCACGCGGTTATATAGTTAGGATGTTTTCCCAGTTGTCAGTCGATTCTTGTAGCCGAAAGTAGAAGACATGTCGCGCTTATAGACGTTGTTAGAAGCAAAGAGTTAAGACGAAATAGCCGAATTTTTTTTGTTTCTCTGAGGTCGTAAGTTCTTGTGAGGCTCGCAGTAGCTTTACAATATTCAGTCCCTCTAGAAGTCTTTCCGAATACTATCCAGGCATGTCAGGCGGTCTATAGCAGAGTAACGAAAGGCAAACAGTGGCGGACACCTGGGGGCGAGAGGGCGGACGTCCCCCAATACTTTGGAGTACAATCGTTTTTTGTTCTAAAACAATGGGAAATGTGACGTCATCTTACAAAAACAATAAGCTACCCCCGATAAAAGGATCTTCAGTGGAAAGAGGATTGTGAGCCATAAAGAGAGCGAATACTATGTATGCTACTTTTGCCTGCTTGTGATGCTACATCAAAAGTATGAAACGATAGAGACAGCTGGATTCATTACCCCTTTAATCCCATTATTAAACATCGCAATAAATTTCATGGCATTTCTAAAGGCATTTCTCTTCCTCTTGAAAAGTTTTTTTAAAATTTTTAAACCTTCAAATCTTGATAAATTTATCCTTTCTTGGTTAATTGACAATAAGCTCAAAGACCAAAACCTTTGATAAAAAGAGGGTATGATTCCTAAAACGCTTAGACTAAACAGTGATTTGAAAAATGATAGAAAAATGACCTATTTTTGAAAAAACTTTCACTAAACACAGTGAAAATTTTTCTTACTAAAAATATATTAAAAATCGAGTGTAATATAAAAAAGAAAATGATATATCTATGCTGGAAAGTAATATTTGGTTAAGTAGCACAGTCGAATTTAAATTGTAGCTTGATCAGTACACAACCAAATTAAGGTCCCCCTGTCTACCAAAAAAACATACGGGATATAGATAAGATAATTCTAAAGGGAGACATACCCAGAGAGAAAGTCTGTTCATGAGTGAGAGCTCTTCGTCCTTTAGTCGAAGAGCATGCGTAATAAAGACTTCGTTCCATACGCAGCTCGTTGCCTCTAGGACGGAGGGTTGCCTCACTCATTAGAATATTTCCACTTGTTCGACCCACCGACAGTTATAGTAAATAATAACAGTATGGTCTAGAAACTCTTACAACTTACCAGTTTTTCGCATTCTTTTGTATTCTTTAGTACCTCTAATCTGGAATGGAGACAACGTAAAGAAATAAACATTTTGTCGTTTAAAACATTGATACTCATGATAAAAAAGATTATAGCTCAATATTATAGGAGATTCGAATGCATAAATTAATGAATAGAACGACAGAAGCCCGGATATTCACGTTCTGTGGCTCATTATCAATGAGCAATTAGATTTAGAATGAGAACAAAGCTAAAAATTGTACCAGCAAAAAAGGTACTATGTCTAACTGAATTTCGATGGTCATTTAAATTTCCCATTTGTTGGGATATACATTAGATTCATTGTTACGTATCCAATCAGCTGCATAAGACTAATCATTGACGTACTCTTAATAATTGATACGCTATAGCGCCTTTTGTCGAGTCTGCACGGTTAACTGATGGGGCATAGCGCCTTTAGCCTGAATGTGTTGACTGAAATAATGCAACATTTGTATGGTAACCACCTGCCTAAATGCCTTCACACTGGTTACGGGAAACAGGGAATGTGGTTAATATAAGAATGAAATAACAAACCTTCCGTCTAGAGTGGAACAATGCATATATTCCAAATATTAACGCTATTAAGAATAGGAACACAACTCCAAATGAATATCCTCTGGATGAGCTTTCCGGAGCATAATTTTTGAAGATAGGCAATTGGCTTCTGTGAAGGAAAAATCATAAATGAATGGAAAAGTAAAACAATTCAAATATTGATTATACAAATAAGAAAATAATGCTTGTTTAATGCAAATCATTCTTAACTATAGATGATAACATAATAAACCTTTTTCGTTGAAAACTCAAACTAATATGAAGTAATTTGAAGAGGAGAAAAGAAATTTCGTGAAGAAAAAAATTTGAACACAGATTATTATGCAAAACACGAATATAACTGAGAATTGTGAGAAATTTCTTACACTAACGGATTGTCTTTGCCTCTTTGTCCAGAATCTAAACACAAAAATAGATTAGGTATATAAGGCGAAGGAGTCGATCAGTCAATCAATTATTCTTTCAATCAATGATTACATTCAATCCATAAGTCATTAAAATCAGTTAGTCAGGTAAGTAATTACCAAAGCAATTATTTTTTTACTATTCTTCAAAGATAGATTCCAAGTAGGCTGTTAACACTCATTCCTAAAACCTTTTTCTAAAAAAGTTGTGAAAATGTCAGTTTAGAAATTTAACATATTTTACTGAAGTCCTCCTCGTCTGGCGCTCCTAATAGTACAAAATTTCGTATAATAATGAGGAATGAATAGAAATATATACCCAGAAAACCTTATGTTAACTGGCACTTTGTCATCAATAAAAGTCCATTGTATTTGCAAAAAACATACCCTGTAGAGGCAGCCCGTCCGATTTTTCTTCATACTCTTCATTCCCAGGCAAGCTATGATCAAAACCGAACTTGTTTACGTTCATATCTTCACTTTCTGAATCAGGATCTTCCTTTCTTTTTTGAGTTTTATTATCATCGCTGCTCACATCACTTCCTGTAGAAACTGTAGTTTTGACTTCTGGCTCTGGTTTGTCAGGGTCTGTTGGTTTTGTAGGGGTATGCGCATCCCCCTCCTTGATATGTGATTTCTCTGTTGGCTCTACTTCTAAATCATGATCTTCCTTTCTTTTTTGAGTTTTAGTATCATCGCTGCTCACACCACTTCCTGTAGAAACTGTAGTTTTGACTTCTGGCTCTGGTTCGTCAGGGTCTGTTGGTTTTGTAGGGGTATGCGCATCCCCCTCCTTGATATGTGATTTCTCTGTTGGCTCTACTTCTAAATCAGGATCTTCCTTTCTTTTTTGAGTTTTAGTATCATCGCTGCTCACATCACTTCCTGTAGAAACTGTAGTTTTGACTTCTGGCTCTGGTTCATCAGGGTCTGTTGGTTTTGTAGGGGTATGCGCATCCCCCTCCTTGATATGTGATTTCTCTGTTTGCTCTACTTCTAAATCAGGATCTTCCTTTCTTTTTTGAGTTTTAGTATCATCGCTGCTCACATCACTTCCTGTAGAAACCGTAGTTTTGATTTCTTGCTCTGGTTCGTCAGGGTCTGTTGGTTTTGTAGGGGTATGCGCATCCCCCTCCTTGATATGTGATTTCTCTGTTGGCTCTACTTCTAAATCAGGATCTTCCTTTCTTTTTTGAGTTTTAGCATCATCTCCGCTTCCATCACTTCCTGAAGAAACCGTAGTTATGACTTCTGGCTCTTGTTCGACAGGATCTGTTGGCTTTCTAGGGGTATGCGCATCCCCCTCCTTGATATGTGATTTCTCTGTTGGCTCTACTTCTAAATCAGGATCTTCCTTTCTTTTTTGAGTTTTAGCATCATCTCCGCTTCCATCACTTCCTGAAGAAACCGTAGTTTTGACTTCTGGCTCTTGTTCGTCAGGATCTGTTGGCTTTCTAGGGGTATGCGCACCCCCCTCCTTGATATGTGATTTCTCTGTTGGCTCTACTTCTGAACCAGGATCTTTCTTTTCTTTCGGGGTTGTAGTATCATCTTTGCTCGCATCACTTGCTGCGGGAGCTGTTGTTTTGGCTTCATTATCTTCTTCTTCGTGATCTGCCTGCTTTGCATAGGTTTCATATTTTTCGTCCTTTGTAGGTTTTGTCGCTGTTGGTGCTACTTTTAAACCAGGCTTTACATTTTGTAATAGCTTCGGGCCTTTTTTATCCCCTTTATCAGTTTTTATTCGTTTTGTAATGGCTTCGGGCTTTTTCCCTGTTGATGCTGCCTGTGAACCAGGTTGTCCCTCGTCTACTTGGTACGGAGCATCATCACCTTCATAAGAATTACTTCCTGCAAGGGCTGTTGCTTTGTCTTCTTTGTCTTGATTCTTTACTTTTTGTTTTGTTTTCCCATGGTCGTCTTTAGGATTACGATGTGTTGCCTTTGTAGTCTTCACTTGTTGTTTACTATCCACCAGTACTGAAGTAGTCACAGTATCTTCTTCGTTACGTTTTGTGGCTGCTGTAGTTTTTATTAGCTTCTTAATGACACCTTCTCCTGCTTTGGATGAGGAAGTGCCATTGGTAGACATTGTTTGCGGGGCGGTTGGGCCAACAGTCACTGTAATATTTGTAACTACATTGATTTTATTTTCCTTTCCTGATTTTCTGCCAGACTTACTGCGAGGACTAGGGCCGATTGCTATGACACTACTTTTCTTTTTCATTGTGCTTTCTTCCTTCTTTTTAAATCCATTTTTCTTTTTCAATTTTAGAATTCGTTTTTTCTTGTCTGCATTAATCCGATTTTTCTTTTCATCAACTTGATTCGTCTTGTTCTCTGGTTTATTTTCATTAACCTTTTCCCCAGGCTCTGTAGCAACTGCATGATCTACAACAACATTCTGTGTGTCGTCTTTAGGCTTATCTTCCCTTTTTTTCGATGCAGATTTCTGGCTGTTCTGATGACTTTTGCCCTTGTTTTGCCTTTGCATATGGTTTTTCTGTTCTTTTTGTTTTGTTTTCTTATTTCTTTGTTTAGGCTTTCTTTCCTTTCCCTTTTTTTTGCCAAACCTCCAACTTATTGGAGCAAAGTCACTTTCATTGTTAACTTCTGATGATTGTTCAATCACGTTTGGAACTTTAGCCAAAGTTTTTCTTTGTGAGGAGTTATGACTAACTAGCTTTTTACTCCCTGTGTATCAAAAATACAAATCAAATTTAGGGCATAGAAGTTGGACATTGGAATTATCTTAATTAATTACAATATATACTAAATTATTCATAAATGGCACAACCAGACTCTTCTTGAAAGAAAAATGACTTTATCCTACAAAAGAGACAGTATAAAATAACTTTAGGCAAAGTAATGCCTATTGTTGTGCATATGCTATCAAAACCATATCCAGCTTTCTTTATTCCATGAATGTAAAGTTTCATTTCACTTTCAAATTTATGAAAAAGATGCAACAATACAATCTTCAAAAGAATATAATTTTCCAAAATAACGATGATGATAAATAGAAAGCTACAGTCAAAAGATCATTTGTAGTATCATTGTGGGGAAATTTTATGCTATTAAGATTACTTTTGTGATCTGGTAAAAAAACAAATAGTACTTTAGAACGAAAAAAGAGAGTTAGGCGTAGTTTAGACAGGGCTTTATGGGCGCAGCGAATTAAATTATTGACCATAAAATATTGTCAATTTGTCAATTTAATGCGCTCTTAATTCGCTGACTAAATCCGAGAGCGAAGCAAATAATTGAATTCGCTCATAATGCGCTCACTTGGGCGCATTATCAGCGCGTTATGAATCAAAATATGAATCAATTCAATTCGCTTCGCTGTCTAAAAGCAAACAATAAATTGAAGCGCTCTACGGGCGCATTTTGAGCGCATCTAATTGAATTTAATTCGCTGCGCCCATAACGCGCTGTCTAAACTACGCCTTAAAGTATCAGATTCTTGGCAAACACTTGATTGAGAAAGATGTCAGCCATTTTTCTAAATCATTATTCATTTCCAAAAACCTGTCCCAAAATGCAAGGTTTTAATGATAACATCAACTATCCTGAATGGTAGACAAACTTAAATAAAACTGAATAAAAAACACATTTCATACTGGCGGGTATCTTTGTAGAGGTAATGTGACAAAAGTGTACAATGATGAGAAGGAATCTGAGCTTTTGTCATCAATGTGGGTAGGCAATAACAGATTTTAGAAAGATAGAATCACACTATTACACACAGATGTTGTTTATGTAAATAAATACTTTACTGAGCTGGGAAAAAGTCCTTGATGCCGTATAGGCAAAGTTGTACATGCTTTGGTGCATAGAAAGTGATGCTTCTATGTTGCAACTCCAATTTTATCCCTTTATGAAATCTACAGGCAACTGTTGCAACTCAGGACTGCCCCGTTCTATACACCAAAGCAAAGAAGATTAAATAGATTTCCAAATTCAACATTACTTGGAATTTATAGACATCATATGATTCAGGTCTTCTTTCTAACAAATCTCATGCATAACAATATCAAATCCAAGAAACAGTAAAGTTGCTAAGACATCACTAAGTATTTTTTATTAAACTAGAAGCAAATTGACAGTAAACTAGACAGGGTGTACTTTGCAATTTTGTTTTATTTCACAAGTTATCAAGTTCAAATTCTGGAACTTATTGTTAACTGCAGTCTTTTCAAAACTTTGACTGGTTTGATTGAGTTTTCTTGGCATGAATTTAACCATAATTTGAATAGGCAACAAATGTTGGATAAAGAGATGTTATGTGCAGTTTTTGTACTAAGGCCTACAACTCATAGTTGTATAGCTATAGCTGTAAATAGATCAATTGCAAGTATGAACACAGTAAATCATTTTTGAAAATAGCAGGAAATAGCGGAAACGGTTGATGCAATCTCCAAGTTTTGTGGTACCAAAAACCTATTTGGTTAAGTCTTTTTGGGAAAATAAAATCACACTGACACTGATGTTTCATTTTGTAAATGGGTTGCTTTTTCATATAGCAGTAAGCTTTATAAATCTGCAAATCTTTTACAATTACATTTAGCCATGTAAGCATATTTATTCATGTATTTAACAGTAAAGAAGTAAAAAAGGGCAGAATACTTTTGGGAGAAACACTGTTGTTTTTACCTCTAATGTATATGCTCTTTTTCATCAAAGTTGCTTCTAACTGGTTTTCAAAATTAACAAACAAGTCTGCAGAGTATTGCAGTTCTTGATGAGATTTCAATTATTTTGGTCATTCGTGCCACATGCAAACTTCTATGTACCAGTTATAAGGCATATAAAGAGAGCTCTTGTGCCGTGTCATAAATCGAAATTTTGCATGCCTTTTCATTAAGCTATTTGCAAGGATGGCTCAGTTGTTAGAGGCGCTGACTACAAACCCAAGGGTTTGTGGTTCGAGTCTCTGGCATGACCAAACTTTCAACCAGAGTGGGGAGAGTGGCCAGCTCTCTGTAATTCCAGGCGTAGGAATCACGAGGTGTGCTTGATAAGCATAGCTTCTCAGTGTCCCAAAAACTACCTTCGGATGCTAGGTAGCAACAAATACAAATACAAAAAAAATACAAATTTGCAGGACTGACATTACAATTGTTTCCCTATAAGAATACTATACATGTTGTGCAGCCTATATATTCTTTAGTATTTGAAAATATCAACTTTTTTTCATATATTCTTTAGTATGTAAGTTGTTTTAGTATTTTGCAACCAGCGGCATCATCGTTGCAATGTCGTTAAGTATTTTGTAGGTAGTGAAATTATTAAATTTGTATTGTAAATTTTTATTGGAATGTAAAAAAATATCACCAAAAAGCTGAAAAATGTAACATGTACCAAAACATTTTTGTCCAAAATAACTCAGAATATAAAGATCAGATAAGATCCAGAGGTAAGCTGGATAATTCTATATCCAGATGTGGATGTGGATAAAGTATTGTGAGAGAATGGAAAGTGTATTTGGTTTGTTCTTTTTTTTACCAATTGCAACCACCACCTAACTGAAGAGTCCAAGAGAGAAGAAAATAAACTCTTACTGTCTATAGAAGTGGAGATCCTTTGTTTTGATGTAGACACTTGAATGATTCCAAAATGTTTAAATTAAAAGACAACCTTGCTTGCCAAATGATTTTAAAATTCTTGTCACTATATGTCTTGACACACTCTGGATAGAGTCATGTCCCCCCTTATGGAGCGATTTCAGTAAAAAATGTTTCCTCTGCTTTTTGGTACTTCCTAATAGAATAAAAGTACTACAAGCACATTCTTTGCTGTATAATCTACATGCTTGTGTAAAGACAGTCTTATTGGCTTTTCTCTCTTTCTGCAAGAGCAACATTACTACAGGCTACTTTACTTCATGAAAAACTAAGGCCATCGCCCCTTATGGAATGACTCAAATTTAGGCATGCAGAAAAGCATGCAATGAAGAAAAACTGGGAATTATTATCTGCCTTCTTTCCTTCTACCTTTATCATTTGTCAGTATCAAACCAGACTCTCGTTGATCCATTTGTTTTCAAATTCAGAGTAAAGGAAAAGAGTTATCCCATCGGTTTGGTTTTCTTACTTGAATGAGACTTTATCACATGTCACACGTTCAGTCACTCATGAATTGTTGAGAATCACAACAGGAAGCCTGCCGTTCCATTGAACAAGCCACTAGGCCAATGAAAGTGCTCCTGATAAAAAATCCTGACGAATGAAAATTGTGCAAGCTATTGTTTGGGTTTCAACGAAAATTCGTTTTTGGGAGATGAAGAAACACATTGTGGGGGTTGGTTTTGTTTTAGCTAAAAAACCGATTGAGGGAATGACCAAGAAAGTTGAGGTGCAGGAAAAAAAGAAGGGTTGAAGGTCTAATGACAACTTTTTCATTTACATTCCGCTTATTTTTAAAATATTCTCCTAGCTTTTAAAAACAAAATGAGACAACGACAATTAGCAAAAAGTTCGAGTAATGTCGTCAGCAAAATAATTTAGTGTGTTTTTGAAGATAAACAAACCTAAACTCCTTCATATTTATTTTTATCATTGCACGGTCAGAATTCATGAAAAAATTGAATCATTCCATAAGGGGCGACATGACTCTATATCTAACAATAATACTCTTAAGGAGTGTCAGACCAAAGTACTTAGTATGGTATACTTTTGTTCTTAGCAGCAACAGGAAAATTTTTCATTCACAGAAAGAGTACACATTCAAGCATTTTCCCTACACTTCTGCCGCAACCATAGTGCCACCTTGAGTTGCAGGCAAATCAGAGGTGGCGCCAGAAATCTTCCGACAGAGGGACTGGAGCTTCAGGCAGGGGGGCTAAAATGACTAAAATAAGCAGTTTTCGCATGTTATTTTGTCAAATTTGCTCCGACAATAACCTAAAATTTCCTCTGATGGGGGGGCTAGATGCTTCCGACAGAGGGGCTGTAGCCCCCCCCCCTCTAGGCCTCTCCTGGCGCCACCACTGAGGCAAATAGGTTGATTGCCCATAGGCCTATTCATTGTCCTTGTCATAATAATTCAGCTAAAAAAACAGCAAAACTGGCAGGGGATTAATGAATGTGGAATTGTAGAAACAATATCCCGGATTGATTAGTTAAAATTGTTGGAAAAAATAAAATAAAATTCAAGCTTTATTTCAAACATGTGTGAACCGGCGGCCTTTCGATTAATGAATGTGGACGTTGGGACAAGATAAGAATGCATTTTGTGTTCTGTTTTATTTTTTATTTTTTTATTTGCAAAAAAATGGATCATGGAATTTGAATTTTTATGTTCAAATTTGAAAACTGAAGTCAATTTTTGAGAAATCTCTGTATATAGCAAGATGCGAAATCGACGACATCAACGGAACAGATAACTGTTTCTTTTTTTTCACTGATTTTATGAAGAAAGTTTTGAGGTGTTCTAAAATAGGGCATTATTATATTAGTGAAAGTTCATCACTGAGAGCCTAAAGCGCACAAAAGATAATCTGAAAAAAGTCTTCTGTATAAAATTTAATTTCATTTCTACCGGTTAATGGTTTCTTGGAATACGTACGTGAACTCATGTTAGGAATAATAAACCTTACCATCGTTATCTGAAGCAGTATGATCATATGGTAGCGACTGTACTATAGAAGAAAGGTACATCAGCAGTGACAATGTTAACAATGATTGGTGACGCATCTTTTAGGCCTTGCTTGGACGAAGCTTTCTTGTCGATGATTTTCGTGTTAACTTTAGGCCTGCTCCTCTGCTCAACTTTCGTCAACGTTGTAAACAATTTATGCAAATGAGGTATTGAATTGAATTAAAAACAATCCCTTCGCAACATGAGCAAAGTGATGACGTCACAAAAATCTTTTTTTAGAATTTTTGAACTTAGATCCCATAGCATCATGAAATACCTTTGAAAATGCAAAATCAATCAAATGTGTTACGAATTGGCTGAGATATGGTCACATGTGTACAGGGCCGCGGAGAGAATTTATGGGCCCCGGGTCACAGAATAGGAATTAGGCAGAAGGCAGAAGGGGAACTCCTGCCTATCAGGTAAAGCCTGAAAAAACTAGCGCATGCGTTAACTTATACGAGGCTTAGCATGAATCTGTTGAGGAAATTTTAAAAAAGAATGAAAGTAGACAACTTTATTTGAGACGAAATGCGCCATGATAGTGAACAAATTCAATTATGTGTCATAATTCGTTTATATCTGATTAACGAATGATAATTTGTCATGGCTAAGTTCGTCTAATGAAGTCGAGGTTAAAGGGGAATTAAGGAATTCTATTGTTGACTCAGGCTTCAAAAGCAACAAAGGAACCGACGAGAGTTACCCTTCTGCCTATTTCCTATTCTGTGCTCGGGTCATGACAAAAATTAAATTATAAAACATGCCTAAGGCAGACGCTTCTGTGAGGTATGGGGAATGCTCCCCAGAAATTTTTGAAAATTATGGTTGCTTAAGCTGCTAGGGTGGCTATTTTGGTTGCTAAAATTGCCATGGTGGCTAAACTGTGCCGGTGGCAATGGTGTAGATAGAGGGGGTCAGAGGGAGCAAAAATACCACTGTAGAGCTAAACTGCTATTTTGTCGGAAAACCTCTGCTCTTTTCAAAAATTTAACATGGTTGTCTATGTTTATCTAAATGCTATGTTTTGATGGAAAAAATTGAATCTAAATCGATATTGTTTTCAGTTCCGATGTCGTTATGTTATGTTGAAATTTATGAGAAAAATATAGAAGCTTGTTAGATTTTTGTCGGAAAATCCATGTTTCTCACCCCTCCTGTGAATTAGAAAGAAATAGAAAATATCAGGTACAAGATGATACATTTAGATAACTGAGAATAAAAAACAAATGGGTTAGGCACAAGATTTAGGGATATTCAATGGAAGAGATATAATTTATCACAATAATTCGAAATTCTTTAAGTTAAGAAAATGAAAAACGTTCAATTCGTTAACTAAATTGGACCACAACCGACACACTGTTGCAAATAGATGCGAATGCCATAGTGTAAATCTGTATGACATACATATTGCCCTGTATGTTGCCCTGCAATCACATTTTTGGTAACATTCAGACGCTTTCGAACTCATTTCGCTCTAGCAAACAAAGATGAGAAATTCTTAACAAAATCATATTTAACGCTGAGGCAGGCAACGACTACATGGACCTTTGTCATTATTGTTTCTAGTATTATGTTATGTTAATGTTGATGTGGAGGTGGGATTATAACTAGAAATTTTTTTCAATTGAGTTATTATTTATGGGCCCCTAAAGCCAAGGGCACCCAGGTCAGTGACCCCCCTGACCCCCCTCTCCTCAGCACTGCATGTGTATTGGCATTCTCCCCATCAAACCTCTGCATTTTGGTCTCTGTTCATAACTTTATGAACAGAGCGAAAATAACATTGATTCGTTAGCAAACTTCAAATCTTTCATTGGCAATATCTCAACTGATTTTAGACATATTTGACTAATTTTGCATATGTGGAAGAATTTCATAAAGATCTTTTATGTTTTGTGATTAAGATTCAAAAATTCTAAGAATAGGTTTTTGGTGACGTCACACTTTAGAACTCTATCAAAACCAAACCCATCGAATCCACAGATGCAGGCACAAAGCCAAGGGGGCGCGGGGGGGGGGCATCCCCCCCAACTTGAATTTTTGCCACTCTTTGCTCGTCCAAAAATTTTAGGATCAAAACATGTTTTTTCTCAAAAATCAGAAATAATATGTTTTTGTCTACATGACTGTCGAAAAGGTCGGTCTCAACAAAGTCTGTCCATTTATGGTAAAAAGCAATATCTACTGTGCACCAGTCCACACAATGCTATATCGAGCAGCGTACGCTGAATGCTTGTTTTCGGTACTAACGAGGTACATGCTCCCAACGAAGACGCCAAGCTGCAAAACGAGGCTCCAACTTACTTCATTTTCAGGGCCTTTTTAATACACTTACTAGTGGGAAATTGCCCCTGCTGCAGTGGCTTTCCATTGGGCTATTGTCCTTTTTATATAAACATTCTCTATAGGCAAGCGGCACTGATTGGGCAACCTCAATAGTTATGTGCTTGCGTTTCTGATTGAAATATTAGATCCACAACTGGTATATATATTTCCTAGCGTAGCGTTTTCGATCTATGTTCTGACTTTTTAAACACTTAAGATGATCAGATTAAGAGCTTTTGTTTACTCAAATGTTTGCCTTTTCAAAGCCATTTTCAAGTTTTCACCCGTGTTTCAAGTACCACCAAAAGATAATTTTATTTCACCAGTGTTCTTATTCTTGCCGAGTTTAATTATTGACATCTGGATTCTAAAGCTCATGCTCCCATACTTGTTTTACGCTTTCATGTTGTTTTTGGTGTCATTGGGGATGATAGCCAATACGTGAGCAGTAAGATTTCTGAAGTTTTGATTTTTGCACGAAATTTTAGCCCCTGGGCTCAGATGATTGTGTTTGAGTTTGGGTGCTCAAAATAGAAATTAAAATCTGTTGGTTTGAATGTCCATGTCACGCTGCCTTTCCATTTGCTATCAAGTATGTTCAGTAGCGTAGCGAGGGGGGCAAGAGGGGACGGACACCCCCCTTCGGATGCCAGAAATTATCTTTGAGAAAGGGCATTTTCTGATGTTCAAAGGGTGTGACCTGCAATATCCCCTTGCTCATCTCACCTCCCCCCCCCCCCCTCCTCAATGTTACCATCCTGGCTACGCTACTTAGTATGGTGTAAGGGCGGGGATTTATTGACATGACAGGATGCCTTCTACAGTTTTTTATGTGTTTATTTAGAATTCTTCCCCTCTCATACCTACCATAGGTATTTGAGGTAGGACTGGTGCATCGACCTCATGGTGTGGGTAATTTCTTCTCCATTTCCTTCCAGTATTTAAAGTTGCTTTGTAACTTCTCGAGTCCATTAAGTTATATCTTATGCTTAGGGTTTTGTTTGGGTTACTTGGAGCGACTTTTGCCGATACACCAACGGCCAATCATCGCTTCCTATGATGAGAGAATATAGCAATGTCTTCCGATGGAAAAATTTTTCAGATTTCCTTCGCTGATATTTCTTCCAAAAGTAAGAAATTATTTATTGTTATAATGACACCTGGTCTTGTAAAAGCTATTCTTGCGATTTCTGTTCTTGCTCCATTTAGAGACACATTGTCAAGTCTCAAAACAAAAGCAAACACATTACATTAAACTGCATTTATCTGCATTGAGAAGAATATCACAAAGAAAACAATCAGCTTTTTATCATAACGACTTTTTACACAACATTTCCCTTGGTCAAAAACAATCAACCATTGCAGTCAAATACATCAAAGTAGCAAAGTAACGTTACATTTAACACACAAAGTTGTTTTAAAAAGCACTTCTTGTCTTTGGGGATTTCTGAGTGAAATGATTTGAAATTTATTGGGAGAAGTAAATGGTTCTAACTGGTCTGTCATTTCCTGCAACAGTGTTATGAATATACAATGTCTAGAACATCCCAACTTAAGCTTATATTTTAAATTTTTTATACTTATGATATTTTTTATTTGTTGAAGAGATGTTGGATAAGGGGTTTTGGGTATAGTAATATTCAACAAATGTCGATACAAAAAAGCATTGTTTTAAGGTAAAAAAATCTTTATTTGAGAACGGTTTTTAGGTACAAGTAGCAAAATATAATCCAAACCAGGAACTAACTGCTGTACAAGCATAAAACGAATTCAATGCATTCGGTTGAAATGAAAGGGCATAGGGGCCAGTTTTAATCCTGTTTTTTTAAGCTAGAGTGGCAGGTGGTAAAATTACCTTCCATTTATTTATTCAATATGAAAATAGTTTGTTATCCTTAAGTGTGGACGAGAACATGTCCGAAAGATTTTTTTGACGGCTTACTTCTTGCCCTTGCCACCTGATGGCAAGCAGATTTCGTGGACTCCAAAGATTCTAAAGAGAAAGAAAAGCTTTGTTACAGCAATTCAACCAGAAAAAGTGGATGACAAACTATTTCAAAGCAAATCGAATTTCTCTACATTACATAATCAGGGACACTTATAGCAAGCAAAGTATCCTCCTTGTTGCATTTGCATTGAGTTTCAGGCTTAATGCAAGACCAATATAAATTGATTGTATAACCCAGCCATATGAATTCAAAGTGAAACTCTGAAGTACAAGTTTATTTTGATAATCAGATAATCAGACAAAGACAGTAAATTGAATTTTGATAAGTGTCTCTTTTCAATAGGTTTATGGCTCACCTTATAAATAGAAGATGATAGAGCTGAAAGTTGACTACACTTACCCTACTTGCTTGCAAACAAGTCCTTGCTTGCATGGACCGCAAACAGGCTGCACTGTACCTCCGATGTAGACGGTTCTGAATTGATTGTAAGGTCCACAGGTCTGATGTTCATCCAAAGCTGGCTTGCAAATGCTGATAACAGGGTTGATAGCTGGTTCACGTACACAACACAGGTTGGCACCAACGCAATCCTTTTGTCGATCACAGAATGTTCCTAAAGCAAGAGACAATCAAGAGCCGTTAGAAATGACATCATGCTGCAAGAAAGCTGTGTCCATCTGGAGACCTACCGATCCAGTTTAATATTATTATTTTTGACTTTGGCAAGTAGAATTATTAAAGACAAGTTGATTTGGAAATCATACGTGCAATAGTGAAACAAATGCAAAGATATAAGACAAATTTGAAAATATTTAAACGGGTTTTCATTTTTAATTTGCAGATTTCTTCCTTAGCTATCTAGCAAAATTATTCTATTACACACACAAAATTTTCACTTAAAATTGACAATCTACCTTCCCCTAGTGAACAAGGCTAACAATCCTACATGCAGTGGGAATTACTCTCATGAAGAACACTCCACCTTCCCTTCTTTCTTTAATGAAAATTAGATATAACTTTGCCATTCTAAAAATTTTCTGTGAATCAAAAAGATGAAAATGACATCATAATAGTGAATTCTAAGCTCTGACCTTGCTTTCCTTTGCTGGAACCCTTCTTACATCTACCGTATGTGCATTCTGTTCCAGGGCAGCATTGTCCGTTCTGCGTGCAGGCAACGTTTTCCTTCAGGCAATCGACACATAAAAACATGTGGCAGTATTTGTTCGCATCTGGACATGGCTTGTGAACATTGCATTCCTGTGAGTAGTATCCGGGAGCGATCATCTACAAGAGGAATGCTTTAATTTTAGCATCAGTGATCAATTCTGTGCCAGCCTACCATGTGTTATTTACTGTTCTATAAGAAATTCATGTGATTTTGGTGTTTATTTTCATTAAGTTAGATAGTAATGCTTTTCAACTATCCCTCAAGGAGGAGTTTCATCATATCAGTTTATTTTCGTCAATCCTACTAGCTACAAAATCAACAATCTCCCATATGTTTTTCCATTTCCATAAAAGTTTACATGAAACATACGGAGGTTACAAGACGATGTCACGGGGAGCATGAAAATACATAGCAACCCTGCAAACATAACATTTAACATAACAATTCAACACTAAATACAAATATAACAAAACCATATGTTTTGTAGTGCTTAATAGCTTCCAAAAGTTTTTGTCTTATAACTCATCGTATCCTGACATTTTCTTGTAACATCTCATTTTTGCAAAGAACCCTTGTCATAAAAAGTGGTTCCTTGCTAAGAAATCCACCAAATTAGGCTCAACAGGTCCAATATGCATCTTTGTTTGCTATGAATTGACTGTCATTGTACGATAAATGTACCTGTAATGTCGGTATTATCGACTAAAATCGTGGATTTTTATGGTAAAAAATTAACTGCATAATGTTGTCGCTGTTTGCTTCATCCTTCATTTATCATGGCAAGTTATTGCATAGCACAAAGTAATGAAAGTTGGTTAAGAACAAAAAAAATCACACAAAAGCACATTGAAATATTACCAGATAAATAAATTTGATATATTCTGTTTACAGGAATTGATTGTTAAAAGAAATTAAAAGCCCTCTTGTTCAATTTAGAGAAAAGATTGAAATTTTCAGTTTTTTTAAAGCTTCGTTTTTGGCAAACGTGCTATTCAGATATGCTTTGGTTCGTTTGTAAACATATAGATAAGCAAAATGAAATTCTATCTAAGCTCTTCCAAATTAAGAAAACATTTGTTTTTGGTGATATTCTGATTGATTAAGATGCATTTTATACTCATTTGTTTAAGAGATGTATTCAATTTTTTTTTCAGCAATTTATCTTTGCGTGACAATACCTGTTTGTAGATAATCTGTTTTTAAGATACATTATATCTTGAAAATTTTTCATATCAGAGGAGAGCTTGACTTTGAATTTTAAACGGTTTGAAATAAGAATTGCCCGGTATTTCTGTAAAGCATTTGACTGTATTATTAATGATGCAATTAAAAGCTATTGTTTTGAATGTTTGCTGTCTATATCGCTCTCTTTTTGTATCTATTTGTTTCATCAGTAAGCCCTAACGAGATTGTAAAAGAGAAAACTTTGCTAAAGATGGCAACACTAGAGATATTACTTTTTATAACAATATTTTTACTAATGCTTTGCTAGATAGATAATAATCAGCAGATAAAAAGCAAACACAGCTTTGGATTTTGCTATTGCCCAGTTGCCCAGTATTTTCATTTGGCCTAGCCTTTGTACAACCTCCGTGTACAATTAGGAAACTTACGCGAGTGAGCCTTTGGTTGGTTTTTGTTTTGGTTGGTACGTGAGTGAGTCAAAATGTCAACTTAAAGCTTTGATTCGCTCACAGTACAATAAGTAAAGCACAAGAAGGGAATTTTAAGAAATTTCACCTATTTTTCTTTTTATCAGTTGTATATAGATGACAAAATTTTTTTATCAGATAGCGTTAGAGAATAGCAAAATTATTTGCGTCTTTAAACAGAGCTTGAATGCTCCAAGATAGATGCTAGGTATCACGAAATGCTCTTACTTTATCTCATTGCTAGAAAAGTGCTTGACACCAAAACAATAAGACATTTCTATCCGACAAAAACCTTATCCTGTAAGTTCGTTTATGACCATGTCATTGTAACAGATTTGTCAAGCAGGATACATTTTTTTATTTAGTATTCAGTTCATATTATGACTAGACCTTGTAACTATAAGCAAGGCTAGAAACCATACCCTTTTAAAATTCTTTGTTTTTTCGTCTGTCTCTTTCTCTGATCCATGAACAGTGATCTTTTCTCCGAGTTTAGAGGCAGCGGCTAAAGCACAAAAAGCTCCAAGAAGGAGCAAAACCCTGGCAGAATCCATTGTTGTTTTTCAATCTAGCCCCTATATTTCCATTAACTAATTACTTCTGCAAAATTCAGATCGGAACAGTCGACAATCGTCATCAGTAAAAAATTGAGAAACTCTGCAATGGTCTCAATAAATTATTCATGCAATTGTGACCCCGATTCATGGTTGCAAATACAAGCGCGTAACCTTGTTCATGATTCGCTTTGATTCGGGAGAAACCTTTGTGCTGCAGTTTGACTCCCAAGGGACCTGTATGTGCACCTGCGTGACAAAGCCAGTGAAGCCTTTGCAAAGGTGTATAGACTCAATTAAACCTGTGTATCGATCTCAAAGAAATTAGCACAGCGAGAGCAGATGCTATCAGTTTAGCCACATTGATACTTTGCCGGGATTGTTCACAGTCAGTTAGGCAATAAACAACGGTTTATCTGTCAGTAAACAAGAACTAAGCAATAAAGCTGCAGTGATTAGTATCAAAAACCTGGAAAGATGATATGATAAGCTCTATCCCTTGGATTCAAACTTTAGATATGATAACATGTATCACATATCAAACAACTTAACAAACAATTTTATTTGGAATTGCACACAAACAGTTTGTCTTTCCCTTAATCAGCAGTTTTCTACATCATTAGAATCAGATAAGATCTCCCTGATAATCATGCCCATTTTCTTAAAAAACAAACTTTTTATCATGAATAAATTATGAATAAACTTTTATCATACCAAAAACAAACCTCGGTAGGTAAAATTATCTTTTAACAAATCTCTATAGACATTATTTACACATTTTTCAACATGTGTTACCGGTCTTGTTTGAATTCTCTCATTAACATTTGCCTGATGCCTGAAACTTTTAATTGTCCTGCTTTACAAACTAAAGCTAGTTTTTATAGTATATGAACTGAACCGTAGTTGTACGAAGCATTGCATTACCTTTTTCCCTTATAACTGCAAACGTATATTTTCACTATTATAAATCAAAAGTTTGGTTGTTTTGAAAAGCTACAGCTATACCAACTGCCCTTCAAAAGTCATCGACATATAAGCCAGTTTTGTCATTCCTGACATGTTTACAATAGATTTAAAGCGGAAAAATCATGGTATGGCATAAGATTGTTTGAAAGAGTTCTAAAAGCCTACAGACTACACTTTTGGTCATATTTTTCACAAAGTACTTCTAGACGTAACGTGATGCATTTAACACTATCAAACAGGAAATTTCCCATTGATTTTTTCTTGAAATCGTTAGCAAAGAGTAAAGCCATCTTGCTAATGCCTTTTTATTTTTGCCCTCTATTGCATTCCTTAGAAAATCTTTATATATTCAATTTTCTAAGTTCTCTTGTCTCTAGTTTTCTGTTTAGCATTCCCTTAATCATATATCTAATTTTTTGAGTAGCTTTTACCTGATTGTGATCAATTCAAACTATTTTCATTTTTAAATTTTCATTTTGTGACAAAAGGATGTACAAAGAGCATCGAATTTATCTTTATGTATTTAATTTTTAATTTGTCTAGTCAAATTTTATTTGCTAAATGCTTTCAAACTCCATTATCTGATTTCTTTTAACAAGATAACCTTATGAAAAAAACGACTTTGAAAATCAACAACTTAAAGTTATTTCGATGCTATAGAATGGCTATGATGGAAGAAATTGACGAAGAAACGGAAGATTTGGTGCAATAAAACACTTTTTAAATACCATACACTGAATAATAGAGATGTTTTACACAATAACACAGTTATATGACCGATTTTTGTCTTTATAATAAAAAAGATGTAGATAGGAGTATAGTACAGAAAAGATTTCAAGAAGTATAGAAAAATAACACAATATCTTTCTGTTTAAACTTATAATCCTTCCTGGACATCAAAATTCACAAATTACATCGTGAAATGGCAAAAAATGAATTCAATGGGTAATTACATAGTTTTAGGCTAGTACAAGATGCATAGCCAAATATCGGGTTTAAATACTACTGATTGATGGTCGATTTTTAAGGACTTCGAAAACTAACTAAAAAAGATTTCCATGCTATTCATCGTCTGAAGGATAAAGATTTGATACGTAGATTTAAGTATAGAAAATACGGTTTAAGGGCCAAAAGTATGGGGTTTGAAAGAAATATAAATGGACATTATCCTACAAATTTTGTACAAAGGCATATATTCTATCTTGAGTCAAAATTGTCGTCTCTTTTTACATAGATCTTTTTACCCAATATCGATGTTTGTTAAAAAGAGTCATTAACAGCTCTTCGCCTCTTTTTCTTCATCGTTAGTGATATTTGTTTAGTCATCTTCTTTCATACAGATCTCATGGATGCCAAATAGACTGCAAATAGACAAATGAATATCAATTCAAATAATAGGAAAATGTTATAATTACATTTAGTCGTTAACGTGATAAAGAATCTTCAAGAAATGGCACTATTGAGAGGCACGTCAAGCTTTTTTGCTAGGTTAATTTGCAATAAACGGAATGCCCTAAAACTATATGCTATAAACGTGGCATACAAACGACTGTCTTTGTAGACAATTTTCTTGCTAATTCTTTCTCATGGCTTTGTTGTCACAAAGGACTAGGTCAAAAGAAACATATTAAATTGTAAAAGCTCTTTAGGTTCAAGATGTATGATAGAAATTTATGCAATGAATTATAATAGCTAAGTATAGCCTTCTACTTTTTATTTTGCCACAAAATTTCGAATACAATGGTAAGCATAATGAATAATACTCTTGAATATCAAAGATTTTGGTCAAACTTACCCAACTTGCTTGCAGATGAGTCCTTGTGCGCATGGTCCACATGCCTTTTGTACCTGGGCGCCGACATATACGTTCCTAAAGAAGTTGATTGGACCGCAGACCATATCCTCGGCTAGTGGTGGTTTGCAGATTGAAATATGTGGGTTGATGGCTGGTTCCCTGGTAAATGCAACATCATACTATTAAATGGTGCAGTAAAGAAATAAACGATCGCTGCAATTATGATTCAACTAAAGCGTTTTAAGATTTTCGCACTTCAAAAGAATGTTCTTCTCAAATTCTCAAAGTTTAAAATTTTAAGACAAACAATTGTCAACAGTACAATCTTTGCATGAAACAAAGCCTGTCTATTTTGCTCAAATATGCATCAGTTTCTTTCTATAATAGTTTGCCAAATGTACACATTTATACATACAGGTTTTAGGTGTAATTTCAGAAATATCACAAACATTATGTCGATATAACTAGTCTCTTTTCATATTTTTTTTGCTAAGGAATGGTTTTGTTGGCCTATTTTATTATCTTCGTTCGGTGGGGTGGACGAAATGTCTTTATGTTCCTACCGTAGTGTATGATAACATTGCTATTCAGAATTGATAATAATCAGTGTTAACCTTGACTAGGTCAATAAGAAATCAAACATCGACCAACCTAACGCAACATGCAGCTTTTCCCTCTCCTGCACAATCTTCATGTCTGTCACAAAATGTTCCAGGTTGTCCTTCTGTCACACCAGCTTTGCACCTACCATATGTACATTGTCCTTCACAGCATTGACCGTTTTGTGTACAAGCAACATTTTCTTTCAGACAGTGGACGCATAAGAACAAGTGGCAGTATTTCTCTACATAAGAAATAAGAGAGCTTTTGAATGAGAAAGTAGGCTCGAGACTGTTTGCCAAACTAAGAGAACTGAAACTTTGACTCTGTATTGCCAAAGGACAATCTATGTTCAATCAAAACATGCAATGCAAAATTAACGGTAAAATAACATAAAAGGGAGGTTTTTAGTTTGTAGCTCCAAGAGATTTTAGTTTAGGTCATGTGCAAAGTTTTGATAGAACTACATTTCTTCAAATCTTGTTTTTAGCTTTGTTAAGCCTTCAAAACAAGTAAATGGCTACTGGAAGATATATAAGTATTTTCTTGTTTATTTATGTATGTCCTTATAGTCTGACAAGATACATTTTTTACTAAGAAGAATCTTGTAGATAATTTGGCATGTGCAGATATGGAACCCTTTGTTTCGAGCCTCATTAGGGCTTTCCAGCCAAAATGGCACTGGCGTTACAAGAGTGCCTCAATACAATTTTGATTGAAAAAATTCATTTTTTCTCACTTTCTGGGCAGGCTTTGTGTGCATTGCATTCTTGAGAGTAGTAACCGGGAGCTAACATCCTCGGAGCAATTTCTGCTCTTGCAACAATTGGGGCAATCGGTTCATTTGGAAGCTCAAACTAAAAGAAAACATTGATTTGGTCACAATAACATTATAAGGATCAGATTTCAAGATTAAAGCAATTATTTCAATCAGTAGAGTTTCAATATGACTGAAGTATTCTCTTCAAAACAATGTTAGCAAAGATAAAGCCTTTCTGCTGCTATGAACGCCGAAGTTGACACTTTTAGCTTCCTTTAATCTTCAATGAATGCAAATAAAGATAGTTTGTTGCAAATTTGAGTTAAATTAGCTATCAAAGTTAAAGTAACATGGGTTTGTTAGAGTTTATCTGTAGAATAAATTTTAGGTATACTATTTGAATTTGAATCTATGTAATATGTCTGTTTTTACTTTGTTTCAAGAAATATCTTTGTTATTAGCTGAATTACGGTGTGGTATCAATATTATTCTGTCTACCATTTAGGCATCAATTAAAATAGGCATCATATGCAACTCACGAATCCCATATAAAGTTTTAATACCTAAAATCTACAGCTAATGATATGGACTTCGATAATTTGAAATTGCCTGCTTGGGATGTGGTCTATGTTGATTGGTTAGGAATAACTAAGAGACTCAAATCATTGACATATTCAAATGGACAAAATTAGATACAAGTCAAATCTCAAGTTATCTAACAGCCAAATAGGTTACAAGGTAAAGCAAAACTATCAATTTATAATTGGAATTAGAACTAATGAAAATTAGAACAAAATCTAGAGAATATTAGCTTCACATTAGAAGCAATAACTTGATTTTATCTAATCATCTGAGAGTTGCTTATCTGTTAATGCCAAATGAACATTATCAAAACGAACAACTAACCCTCTTGGCATTTTTCGATGATCTCTTCGCTTTCAATGCTGCACTAACAGCAACGAGTAATAAGATGCATCCTGATATCAAAGTAATTTTTGCACGCAACATCGTGCTTCTTCTTTCCAGCACGATAAAAAGTCCCCGTAGCACGGACAAAATTCCACAGGAATTATATATATTCTTCTAGAGTTCGAAGAGGCTAAGAAACGACGACATAAACTACAGGTAAAGCCTGAATGTTTTGCCAGTGAGAATACTGGACGGGTGATCCGATTCAAAGCCAATGGTCTCGTTTGCCAACACTGTGCAGGCAGGTAGGGTCATAAAGTCACATACCTGACCGCACTCCCTTGCATCTTGTGCATATGCAAGCATTGTGCAATTGTCCGTTTAATCATATTGCTTGGCACATTTAGGCTACTGAAAACAAACATGATTCTAGGTGTCAATAATCAGAGATAGAAACCATTGTACGGATTGAAGCAAGGAAAATCTAAGATTAGGGGTATCGATTTTTTCTTATCAATTCAATAGATTAAACCAGCTGACAGATAGGAAATCCATTTAATGAAAGCTGAGACTTCTAGTGGAATATAAGAACGTTTAATTTAAAGCTTGCAAAATCCAAAACCATCCTTTACACTTGCATTATTGTCAACATCGAGCACTGTTTTGTCCGTCATCGCGGGTTTTCAGCTGAAACCCTTAATTACATATATTAGATTTTAAAGAACAAGAGCAAGCTTATTTCTTTCGAAAATTTGGCCAGCGCTTGAAATGCAACAATTATTCACTAAATACGTAACGTCCAAAAGCTACCGAAATACTGCACAAGACAATAAAAAAATCTGTCAATAAGGAAACGACATTAAGTGGTAGTGTATGAATTAGCACAGGGAACTACGTAAACCATTCATCAAATTTTGAAGGACTTATATTCAACGAAAGAATTAACAAATGTGGGGAAATTCCAATTTTTAGAGGTATTTTCACAAACATGCTAGAAAAACCAAATCAGTTTGTAAACAGAAGGCGGGAGATAGCATGCAGGTACCGTCTCTAAGCCATAGACATTTTTTTGTACTTTAATATTCATTGGGAAATCTTCGAAGACAAAACAAAGAATCGCTAATAATGAATTCAACCAACTGAAATTATTGGTCATTAAGTAAGCAATTTGAGGGGTAGAATTTTGTCAAAATATATGGCTTATTAAACAAAAAGATGGGAGCTTTTTAACAGAATCAAAACAACTATAATCCAAGTACCGTAATGCCTCGAACAAGCGCCCCCTCAAATAAGGGCCCCTTTCGAATAAGCGCCCGCCCTAGAGGTGAAATTATTGAATAAGCGCCCCCCTCGAAGAAGCGCCCAACCCTCGAATAAGCGTCTAACCTTCAACCTTCAGAAACGGGCGCTTATTCAAATTTTCGACAACAACATAATTGGAAGGCAATTCACCAAGAAAGATTGAATGACCAACACAGTTTGTTTTAGTTTTCATTCTCATTGTTTGCCTTTCCATCATAATAACATGCTTCAATTGAAAACACATTCATTTTTTCAGTCACTTCCAAATCTATATTTTAAATAAACGCTCCCCTCGATTAAGCGCCCCCCTCGAATAAGTGCCCACTCTACAGCCTCAAAAATTAAATAAGCGCCCGGGTGCTTATTCGAGGCATTACGGTATGCAACATAGATAAACCTTACATGCACGGTATAAGACAAAAGTGTGGTTTGTCAATAGGAGAAAGATATCTAGCTTTAGGTCCTCGATCTAGATGTGCTTAATAGCCCTGATACTGGACAAAACTGGTGCAGTTGGTTTTCGTATTCTAGACAATTATGGGAATGATATAGCTGGATGAAAATGTGCGTTTCGGCTTACAAGACCTTGCAGAGTCTTTAATTGTTATAACTTTAGTAGTTGAGTTGAAAGATGGGACATAAAGTGCCTAATTTTGAAAGTATAGCTAGAGCAGCACTGAAATAGTAAAGTATTCACCAAATATATTCATGTGATGTTGAAAATAGCAAAAAATATTGGTTGACATCAGGCTTTATTAGTATTAAGTAAGCAATACCAAAATCCAATACTTTTCTGATAGTAATTATTCTTCTTTTGCAATATCATTAAAATGTAGTGCTGTCACAGCTCATAGCATATCGTGGAAAAAATCTATGTTTCTGTGAATATCCATCGTTAAAACCAATCCTTTAATGAAAACATTTATAACATCGAATAATGTTCATAAGATAAGCAAAAATGTGCATTGTATATGTAGATGTGTAACAACTTCAAGTTTAGATCTTTATCAGGTGTGAATAACTCGAAAAAAGCTTCTTTTCTGACCAGGAACAATTTAATTACGTCATTCACGTATGTACAGGTTGAGTGTATTAAATAAAGTACCCTTATATGACCTCAAAGACGTGTCAACATAACTGCCTCTTTCTTAAACTTATTAGACTTAAGACCGTTAAGGGCAATCCTTTCTTTTTAAAACAATATATGTTGACTTCATATAAAATTTTTAACTAGGACTTAATTCCTATTCTTTTTTATTTGACATTCAGTTTTCCCACTGATGTCAAGGTGGCAAAACTGGTAAGCACAAAGATGATACTTCTTACAATGTTATAATGTTATAATATAACATTGTAAGAAGTTTATATGTCAACCAATTTTCATTAAGTTAAAAGTTCCTTTAAGATGTTGATGCTCTTAGAATTTTTTCGTATTCTGGCATGAAGGTGAGTAAAATTATTTCCACAAAACATTAAACTTTTGTTTAATTTTTCAAAGAGGATTTAAATCAAATTTTACATTTACGTACAATTAATTTTCAATATCTATATTAATTCGAAGATCATAAGGTCAAAGTTAGGATCAAAATGAACACTTTGAAAAATTGATAAGGATACACCTGCTTAACTATAGACTTGGATGACAAAAAGAAGTCAAATGTGAAGAACTTAATCCTGCAATTAAATGACAGTGATATATAAAGCATAAGTTAGAGCTTCCTAGACAGTTTCAAAAAGACGTCTTCCAAATGTCTATCCATTTATGGAATGTATGTTTATTGTACAGTGCGCCACTTTGCAAATAGCATATATTGGCTAACTACGTCTTTAAGCAGCGATATGAAACTTTTGATAAACATTTTTGATCGCCGCACTGGTGGCAATCCAGACAGAAAATTCGACCACGTGGTCGTTTGATCCTAAAAAGAAGCTTTGAATGATTGACTGGTTAAGAGAAACGGCAGAATTATATTTGTTTCGTTAGCGCTTGTTTTGAAGTGCATATCGAGTGTTTACAATACTGGTTTTATTTTGAATATGAGCAAAATTTAAGGAGTTGGACTTATAATATATTCTACACGTGTTTTACGAGATATCTTGCGGGAAGATGGCTGCCATAACCATGATGATAGTATTACTATGCGCTAGCTTTGCCTTTACTCAAGCAAAGGATTCTAAACATCACAGAGGGTTGAAGCACGGTAGAGCCACTCACGTTCACAAGTTAGGTTTCAAACCGATGCAATTTCTTTCTAATACAACTACTGCTGAAAAACCAAAGACAATTGATCGCAAGCGAGCAGAATACATTCGATTACGTATGTCGCCAAAACATGGACACAAGATACATAGAAAAAATGAAGTAGGATCAAAGCTAAATGTGACTGAAAAACGTGACAAGATATCGAGAAAAGATAAAATTGCATTTCATCTTGCAACGGAAGAAAAGTTCAGGGACGAAAAGGCGACAAAACGTGTAAGTATCGTTTAAGTTACGAACTCGAATAATGCTAAAAAGTAGACAGAAAGTTTTTTTTGCAATGCTAATGTATGCAGTGCCTATCTTTTGAACGATTGATTTCTTAAGTGTTTAAGTTTAAGAAGTCCATAATTAATACTGGTCTATCCTTAGGCGATAAAGTGCATCTCCGAAATACATTGCACATTTTATTGGCAATGTAACCTGTAATTGTCAAACTCGTCTCAGTTGTCTCAATCAATTGCAAAATATCTTATGAAACGACAAACATTTTTGGTTTAATAATTTCATTATGCAGTAATATGCAGTGATAAGGCATTGATAGATTGAATTTGATATTTTCTAGGGAGGGAATTTGCCATAGTTTGGTCACTGATCTGTTAGAGGGATGTTTATGCTCAATGCTAGTGGGGTGTGCAAGTGCTTTCTCCAAACATTGGTGCATAAGATTAAGAAAATATCAAACTGTCAATAGTCCATGGCTGTCAAGCTTTGAAAGTATTTGTATTGAGTTTGAAACGTGACGTCATTAAAAGAATTCATCTTTAGAATTGTTGAATTTGACACCAAAAAGAACGACATAAATTTTCTTTAAAGTGCAATTTAAGTGAAATCTATTGCAACTTTAAAGAACCATAGTAATTAGAAGAAGTTAATTTTTCTAATAGGTTACTGTTCTTTTGGCCTGGTCAAACTTTAGAACCATGATCGAATTATAATAAGTTTATAAAGAAAGAACCTATTCACACGTGGTCACATATCAACCAATTGTTCACACATTTCACTGTTCCAAATTCAGAAGCTTGAAAAATAATTTCATTACTTAGGAAATCTACTGTTGGGTCAGAGCTAGTTTAAAAGTTTTTTCGATTCTTTCAGTTCATGGATGATGGTCACCATCTTGATGAACGGCCTATTCTGGGACGTTGTGATATAAACAAGCAATGCAAAGCAGATCAGTACTGCGAAGGCATTTATTGCTTTAAGTGCAGAAAAGAAGATGAACATTGCTATGCAAATGGTCAATGTTGCAAAGGAATGGAGTGCCAGTATGGTTATTGTGCGGGTGGTGTATCTGCTGGCATGCCAGGGACATATTGTGATAAGGCAAAAGATTGCAAAGGTAGACAACGCTTATATTGTCTCGTAACTGCTATCATCTTACGCATTAGGTGAAGTACACATTTGATTGTTATACCGAGACCTTTTAAGCAATTAAACACGATTGACAAAGAGATGAGTTAAGAAATCACGTGTCTTAAAACACGTCACATACTTTACTAGAACAGAGCTGCGTCATTCCGATTACAATTTTCTAAATAATCATGTGCAACTTTTTAAGGCTATTTTACCAAGGCATATTACCTTCGTGGTATTGTAGATGCTTTTATCTTTCAACAAACCCATTACCCTATAGCTAAGATTTTATTACTATTAGAAATAATGTCGTTAGAGCAGACAACATTTGGGGTGAAAAATCTGTGATATTATCAATTTTCCATCAAATTTTTCATAGAACATCAAATATTCAGTTGAGCACAAGAATTTTGCCTGCGAAAGTAGAGCAGTTTCTCAGTTCACTTTAGAGTTATGTGAGAGCAAAAGTTCTTATTGCTTTTTTAGGCTCTGATGCTTGTTGTATTCTTGAAATGTCAGTGGACCATCATAATCCTATTTGCAAGCCAATGCTAGAGGAACACGAGACATGTGGTCCCATCAACTTGTTCCATCAAATCTGCTCCGAATATCGGGCACAAAATGAACCAATTTGTGGACCATGCAAACAAGGACTCGCTTGCAAAAGCGTCGGGTAAATTACTTTAATTTGACATATTTGTTATTATTTCAATTGCATAACAAGACATAAAGAATAACAAGAAAGATTCAGTTTGAAGTAGATGAACTAAATTACAATGAAAAGAGTGGGCTCAAAATGGTTTCTAAGATATTAAGCTACAATTTTCATTGTCACATTCATTCATGTTGACCCTTATTTAATTCAAACTAGCATCACGGCAAACCCTAAGATCAGGTTTAATATTATTCTGTTTCTCAAAAGAAATTATCTAATTACCGCAAGTCGGATTGTAACATGCTGCATTCATATGATAAATTCGTGCAGTTAGCTCAAAAGAATAAACATTATCAGTATGCGTCTAATATCAGATAATATTATAGTATCATCTAATATCGAGACACCATCGCATCATAAACCTACCAAGTATTATTGTTGCAATAATTTCATTATCAACACAATACGAACTTCTGTGCTATGACAATACATCAAATGATGGGCTAATACCAAGTACTTTATAATTCAACCTCTAGCACTCTAGCAGCTAGTAAATAATAATTCAACCTTTTTTTAGCATCCATGGACACCACAGCGTTTGCCTTCCAGAAGGTGGCGACTGAAGAAATATGGAAAACGGAATGAGCAAACGTTATACAGAACAGGACGTTTTAGTTAGGAACTGGGATGTTTGCAAAATGTTAAAACACTTACATGTGATTTCAGCACCTTTGCAAAGTTTTACATTCCCTGGTTATTTAATGGCTGCCTGTAAAAATATGGCTACCGTAGGTTGAGGAAACGCCATTACATTATACGGAAGGGGAATTTGATTTCTCGTTTCAATAATGCTATTGTTATTTTTAGTTTTTGTATTGTAGCGATATTTAAGCAAATCAAGTGACAAAATTTGAGCCAAACATTGATAACTTGAGAAGGTACTGCTGAAGTGTTCCAAATTGTTCTAGCAGACATTGTAATTTTATGCAAAGGAGGAATGCAAAGTGCAGCAAAAGAAAGTAAAAATTCCAAGCAGCATCTAGCGACAGGCGTAGATATAATGTTCTCGGAAAGTGTGACAATTAAATTGCGAGGATCTTGAATGGATTTTGATGTATGTGGTCGTGTGATCAATGAAAACGATACTTTTCTTTAAAATAGTTATCCTGTATGTGAATCTTACGGTTTGTCTAGTATATGTACTTAAAGAAAGACTTGTTTCAACTCAAGAATATAATAAATAATTAAAAGATTAATTTTACATTCTGTTGACAAAAATGGCGTAGAAATTTTTATTCTGACATTCTATCATCCGTTAACTTACAACTTGCAACCGACACAGGGCCACGAAAATGACGAATCAAACAACACTAACTCATTACTACATGCTTACTGTTTATCTGAAAACGTGCGACGGATATCCAGAAAACAGTACGCGTCTAACATTTCGTCTAGAATCTCGCAAATCTGGAATAACATCTGGGTAAAATTCATGAAACCTTTTATGTGCATCCGATTTCTGACTCCATGTCCGTTTATGATGGGGAAAGTCTTTTGATTCGTTTTCTATTTTGCCACGTTCTAGCTCAATTTGCTTTTTTGAAGCAGTTTCATCGTGCTTTAATAAATGAAAAACAGATATTGTTGTGTAGTTTCGTCTAGCAAAGCTTTGCGCTCGTCGTTTTGAGATCTCTTCGGCCTTCAAGACTGAGGCACGTAATTGTGGAAATTTTTCGCACTCACAAACGTCGGAAAACCTCCTGGAACACTTAGGCCTGTTGCTGTACCCTTGGATTATAATCTTTGGATGATTTGGCCTATCTTCTTCAAGACTGGTATGGCCAACTGGCCACGATGTCCAACCTTGACTAGAAGAAGAGTTCATCGTTTCCCTGTGCCAATTTGATTTTTGATTGACTGGTACATTCACGATTTTCCCCTTCGAATCAAGATACTTTAGTTTTACAACTTTTCGCTTGCTTTTGCCGCAAAAGCGACAAATTTTCTCCTCCTCTAACCCATCTATGTCTTTGGTAGTGCCGGAGAAGAACTCTCTGTTTTCATCCAGTGGTGGCGGTGAACATTTCTCTCTAATAGAACTCATTTGCTCTTCTGCGGAGGGGCTGCCATTACCATAGCATTGCACGTCTAAGTTAAAGGTCACATGCTTTGGCGCCGCCTTCCGATACGATTTTCTTTTCAAGTTAGATTTTTTGACGCAAGATGGATTCTGGTAGCTACACATGTATGTCGTAGTTCCATAAATATTTTTGTTTACTAGACTAAGAGACTCCAAAGTCCGAGATGAAACTGCTAGAGACTTCATCCCCTGCAAAAGAGTTTGATAGTGAGCAATATGCCTAAAGATTTAGTAGAAAAGAGTAAATACTGAGGAAATGTTAATGCAAAAGTAACTAGAGATGTTCCAGATCTGGTATAAGATAGCAAATATACATCCAGAAAAGGACTATTTTCAGTCGAATTTTTTAACCTTACCAAATTCAAATAGCACTTAGACTCAAGACATGCTTGATTGAATCCTAAAACATGTATGTGTAATCTGCTTTTACAGATCTGAAAGAAACCTTTTTGATAGAAAAAATCGGGTTTATCACCATTTACCAGCTTCTAGGCTTTGGTGCATGGAACAGAATGATTACAGGTTGAAACTCCAAGATTCACGCTTAATGCGATATATCTGTTCTTGTGTTGACCTTATGCATTAAAAGGAAGAGAAAACTAACATAATATCAGTCATTGGAAAAGAGACTTACTGGGCTAGGTTTGTCGCCTCCGTGAGTTGAAGAGTTTAAATTTCCTGTCAAAGTATCAAAAATCGATTGGGTGGATAGTATGATAAAGTTATATATACTAGTGAAAAAGCTTAAGAAATCAGCAAATAACATCTCTAACAACCATTTTGAATATTATTACAGTTGCAGTTAAGAATTTAAAACTGCAGTCGTTATAAATACTGTTGTTGGATAGCAGTAAAGGATGTTTTCTAGCAAAGTAATGGTCTGCTAAAACTGTATTGATTAAGATATAATAATTCAAAGGCTGCTCAAAAACATTAGTACCTTTCAATTTTTCTGAAATATTTGTTGCGGTTGTAGCACAATCGGTTGAAGGAAAGACTTCGAATTTCGATCTGTGGGAGAAGTATGGCTGCACGCGGTCAAGAGCTTCCAAATAGGGGATCTTGCTTTTTCTGAAAATGCAAATGATTTTACAATCATTGTGCCAGCAAAACAAAAAAATTGTCAACATGTGTTTAGTTAACAACAAAGCAAGACAAAATTACAACAAGAAAGAAAGGGCATTGGAGAGCGTAATCGAGCAAAATTATGGTTCGTTTTACAAGACTTATTTTAATCCTTTTTAAATATCATAATCAGTCGGCATTTGCACCAGGCCAGATTCGCAACAGGCATAGCAAAATGAAAAGCTATGAACTCGAGCGCATTTTTTATTTATCTGTCGATTGATGCTATGCAACTGCGCAGTTTTAGATTTGTCTCGACGCATTTCCATGGCTTATTCAGCGTATTGTAGTTTGTAGTCTGTATTCTATAAAAATTCAAATTGTTTATGTATATTAAGATGTATAATTTATTATTTGTGGTTTTTTAATATCTTTGTCAATGAAAACGAAAGCAATTTTGGCAAGTTTTTGAATAATACTGGAATAAATAATACTAAAATATCTTCATATCATGGAAGTTATTAGGCAAGATATATCGTTTAAAAGCAGCTAAATCAAAATTAGTGTGTTTGAATAAATAAATAAAAATTTTATCACAAAACTCACGGAATCAGTTCATCGTTGACAGGAGGAAGTCTACAGAACAAACAAAAACGAGATCAACATCAAATCACCTATTCAAAATTTATTGATTTAAGGCCAAAGGTATTAAAAAATTGAATGAACTTATATAATATTGTGCTTTTCGACAACAAAATCATACTAAAGCTAAATTTATTCTTGAATTTTGGTCTATGTAATTCTATTTTATTCTATATTCTATTATTTTTTACAGGAATAAGTCTAAGTCATTCAGAAGCTGACTTACAGAAATTTTTTTATCTCTTTTGCCATTAGCTGACTTTATCAGGTCTGCCTGCTACAAAATATTCGAGGTGCACGTGAATATAACTTCCGTTTGATATTTGTTGAATTTTTGCAAGGTTTCATACTCTAAGAAGTGCGAAATAAAATGCTTTTCTATGTAATTTTTCTGTTTTTATCATTGTTGAGATTCATGCTTTCGACCAGGATGTACATTTCAAAAACAGTGCAGAAGTAAATTTACCTTTGATCGTTCAACCTGCAGTCACTTAGCTTCAGCTGGGTCACTTCATACGGCTGCTCAACAGCGTTCCTCAAAAGAGATAGCTAACTGACTGAAGAACCATCGTTTGTTAAAACAAAAGGAATGAATTTTACGCAACATTGCAATTATTCAAACGTCACTGCTAGTTAACTGACGATGAGCAAAGGAAAGACGTCATCATTTTAGACACCCTCATTTAAAAATCATCAAGATCAACGAAATAGACTAGAAAAATGTCTCTTTACATGCATGGCTCTTCTAACTTTTCAATTAAGACGTGATATCTTATTACAAACTTGAAAAATTCCTTGATCTCCTCAATTTTCACGAATATGGTGCAAAAATATCATAAAGAAAGGAAGAATAAACTGTTTAAGTTTTGTGTAGGCCTTCAAAATTTAGGCAAAGATTGTTGCAGAAGTATTTCTACTTACATCTGAACGACTTTAGTTCCAAAATGACCATGGCTTGGATCATTTTTAGTCTGTGACTTTGGCATATTCTGGGTATATCTCAATACACGGTAGGCATCATAGGGTACTTCATTACCCCACTTAAAATTTGCTGCATTGTTTACTTCATGCCTCCTGTAACATTATAAAAATGTGTATTGTTATAAGCAGTATAAAAGCTTTATTATTAATGGTACAGTTTGATAGGTACAATTTCAGACTCGATGACTCCTTTTTCACTATAATGGAGGCTTTATCTAGTTTAACTTTCCTTTCTGTCTTGAACATTGAGGAATTTTAGGTTGCTTTGCACGATATTGCAGTTGGTGTTTAGTGCATTTGCTATGCAAAGTCTACGTTTCTATCCGTTTTTTTTTCATTCCGTTCAAAAGTCTTGTGAAAACTAAGATATTTAAAAATACGCCATTACGGTTTTCAGAGGGGAGAAATTTCAAAGTGCGTCCATGTAGATTGGAACAAATTGAAGAAAACGGAGAGTTTTGAATAAGCAAAGTTTATAAACATGCTTAAAGGCAGTCTGTCCCCTATTGTGCGCAACTTTATTTTCACGGGAGTGAAATTCACGCACCATTGAGCTTGATCGGTAATTAAACGTTTCAAACCAATCAGAGACAACTTTGATTCTAGAGCTTTTGAATCAAATGGCTGTGTTGAATCAGATGGCCGTTGTAGTGAAGCTGTGGCTAGAAAAGTTTTGTTTCATGTTTGGTTTGTGCGACAGATACGCTAAAAGCAAAAAAGAAATGCTTCCATTCTCATCATTCAATTCCAGTAATTAAACCTTCTTGCCATTTCCAATAGCTTTTGCTCGCAGTCTCACGTCGTCCACTACCGCAGCTAGGCCAGCCAAAGCGAGCTGCGCAATCCGTTAAGGAGGGGGGGGGGGGTAAGAACTATTGTTTTTATTAGCCAATGATTGAGGGGGCAGACTGCCTTTAATTAGCCAGTTCAATGAGATGCACTACTGCTATTCTTTCTCTATCAGCATCATAGCTGGCGATAAGCAGATATACAGTATTACTACCACTAGGCAAGCGGCACTGATCGGGCAACATCAACAGTCATGTGTTCGCGTTTCTAGTTGGCCTATTTCGATCCACAACTGGGTATATATATTCCCTAGCGCAAAGTTCTGGATCTATATTCTGACGCTTTATACTCTGTCAGCATTAGTAAAATGTGTCAGCTTTAGTAAAATGTTTCAAAACTCTGTACCAAAAAAAGATTCTTTGCTAATATCGTCTTGTATGGCAACGACTGATTAATGCTTTCAACTTTAAGCTACTGCAGGCAACTCTTGGTTTTATTCCCGCTACAGAAGGCCTCTAAATGTACCACAGCTGCAATCTCTCTTCCATTCGTTTTTACTTTCTTTCAAACAAGCAAGTATTACGAAGAACTTTAGTATGTTCTGAAATGTTTGCTGTTTTGTGGTCATTTTTTGAATTCTGTAACACCAATTTTCTTTGAATTCATCTTTAAATGTAGTCTTTTTATTTTAATCATATTTCTATCTAAGGCCACGAGGATGACATGTATAACCCTGCTCTCTCTGGTCTCGTTATTAAAATTATCTTTGTTTGTATTTTTATGCGAATTTATAAAAATCAACTTGAGGGTCAAGGTGTGATACAGGAAAAAAGAAATTGCATTTGTTCAATTTACAGGAATTTTTATCCACTAATCAAGCACCAGTGAAACTACAGAAAAAAACGCGCGGAGGATTGTCCGATGCACACGCACGAAGAGATTGTACATCGTCTGAACGAAGCAATCAAATGAATACTGCTAAACGAAAATTCCTATCACCTCATTAAACAAGGTCTAAAATAATCTATGTTGCTGGTAAAATCTTTCAAAATGAGCTTGATATCAATACAATAAATACCACGGAAACAGTACAATTTTCTACTGCATAATTTAGTTTCTCACATACATGTTATCTACAGTTTTCGGATAAATTTTTCCTTTTGGCTACAAATCTTCTAAAAAACTTCATGACGACACAACAAGTATACACAATTGAAACTAACAAGAACAACATTGAAGAAATGGGTGGCACTGGTTCGTCTAACGGGTTTTTTTACGTAAATGTCTAAATTCCAGTGCTTTATTGCGTATCTTCTCGATAGTTGCAAAGGTAATCTCGAAATAGACAATTACAACAAGACTCGATTAATATGAGCGTTTAAAGCACATCTGGCAGCAAGCCTTCGAAGTCCCGAACGTCCAATGTTCATTATTCTACCATTACCTTTAATCTTATGCACAATATGCTAATTCTTAACTTACCCAATTGCAGGGAGTGTCATTCTGCGGGGTTTTCCAGGTACAACGAGGTCGGTGGATATATATGTCGGCTCGACATTTCTGAAACAGCGTGCCCCAGGCAAATCAAAAGACATGTTGCTGCAGCTACTTTGTCAGTTAATGACAAAAAACAGCATCACCCATGCGATTACGCCTCCGCCCCATCAACGCGAGCCTACAACTTCAACGACGGTGTCATAAAAACATTCGTATAATTTGTCGTATAAGCTACATCGCTAAATTTTCCTTGAAAGAGAGGCTACCTCGTTTGGGTATTAAGTGACCATCGGTCTGTCACAATTCTTGTTCTAGTCTGAGCAGTAAGATAGGCTCAGTTTAGATGTTATGACACGAAAATACATTCTACCTTTTCATAAAGCCCTATATCTCCTCGCAAAAATCTTTGAGCTGGTGTAAAGCGACGCGCACCTCTCAAAAATAAAAAAAATGAATTTCAGTTAAGACGAAGGTTAATTAGATTCTGCAATCGGGCACAAAGTATGCTGTAGCAAGACCCACCATAAATGAAATTGATCCTTAGTTTGAAATTGAACATCTACACCAATGCAAGAGCCATATTAAATGTGACAAGAGAGTCTGCTGAAAAGACGAAATCAAGATTTTGTCGCAATTTGAATGAAACTGACATAATCATATTTTAATGCAGCTCGGTTTTCATTCTAAATGTTTTTTATGTGCTACAGAAATAAACCCTACATGTGAATAATTGCAAAGACTAGAGGCAGGTTTTAAGGCAGAAGACTCCACTGCATAAATAAGCCATGTGATGGTTCCTTGAGAAATGAATATTGCAAAGAATACACATGAATTATTGACGTCAGATGAAACCACTTCTCAAGGCACATGAGCAATTATTGTCGGCAAAATTGCAACTAATTCTGATCGGTTGAAAGAAAACTAGTAAACCACTTCAGGTTATTTGAGATTAAACCTGAAAAAATTGCTCTCGATGGTATGATATATATGCTTTCTGCATCCCTGTGTGACTCTTTAAGTCATTAACACAATAATTCGAAGGTTTACTTCGACATCCAGTCAAACATGGTAACAGGAAGCATACTGATGGGTCTTTTCTTATGTTATTATTCCCAAAGGTGAGGAGTACCTGGAGTACTTCGGATTCGTATTGCCAGAAAGAATCATCGCGATTACTCTGTCTTTCCGGACAAGAAATAAGAAAACGATATGATACAAACTGCGATTTGTAGAAGAAATAATTATCAGAAGCTTTTGAATATTACCATATGATATGAGAAGTCGTTTTCTATCAAATGATTTGTAATTATTTTCATTCTTATTCATGAATAATACAACAGCTATAAATATATCCCACTCAGTGGCGTACCCAAGGGGGGAGAATTGGGGGGTCCGGACCCCCCACTTTTCTAAAATATGGTCCTCGAGATTTGTCCAAAAACGATGTAAAACTCATTGGGGGGGGGGAAGTATACTGTATGTTTGTGTCAATAACAATTGTAAAATGCTTTGCTATTTACCGTAGCTAATATGAATCAAATAATGGGGGAAAATTTTGCAAAAAGGGCATTTTCCCGCATTTGCGCGTGTTTGAAGAGCGTGGTCCGAAAAAAAATTCCCGGGGACTGCGCCCCCCCCCCTACTATAGTCCTGGGTACGCCACTGATCCCACTACAAGAATTACAAATTGGGCTTTGCTTGCATCCAGTGCAGAAGTCTTTTTACATCGTTCATAGTTACTTATGAGAACATTCAAACTTTACAAGTTTAACTACAGTCAACGGCCTAGCATCACAGTGTATTTAAGATACTCACATCTTAAAAAAGGTTTAAATTCGAATACTCCACGAAAACGTCTAGATGGTAAAAAAGTTGATCTTTGTGGAAGATGATTCACTTAATTACGAATTCCTACGTTGAGATTGTTATAAATTCGTTTAATTTTCAATAACTGAACTTTACGAAAGACTGCTGAATGGCTTAAGGGGAGGGAGATTCTCAAAGAATGAATATTTCCTGAAACAAGCTTAAACGCAAATTCAATCTAGATATCTCCTTCAAATATTAAAATAAGAAACTTATTTCGCAGAATCAAAATTTTGCTGTAGGTTGTCATTGTGTTGAGCATGATATTAAAAAGGTGTTTGTAGAAGGCTCCCTGGCTGTAAAAATAGACATTTAATAGCTAATAACAGACAGACGTTAGAGCAACATCAAACAGAGAGTTCCTGGATAAAAAATGTTTCTTTAACTCCTTTACTGTTTTAGAAAATTCCTTAACAAAGCAACATTTATTGAGATTCCATAAAAAAATTGCTTGCGTATCATAGAATGTAATGTGACAACATAACTTGAAAATAAGATAAAACTGTTAGAGGAAAATAAGATTGAATTTTAAAAAAGGCCTTTTGAGCGTAGCCCATAATCAAGAGACCTGACCGAAACGACGTTTTTCAAATTCGTTCTAATTTTCTTGGAACAATTTGAAGCTACATTGCAACATCTATCGCAGCAACCAAAACAATTAAATAGAAAAAACACTTACTATCATTTTTCATTTACTGTTAAATGGATACGGTAACAAAATAGATAAAGTTATTTCCAGCTAATATATATATTTTCAAGATGAATTAGACATATGTACAACCACTTGACTAGAAACGGGAAGATATTAAATCTCAAGATCAAAAAAATATATACATATATTGCGAAAATTAAATAAGAAATCATAACTTGTAAATGACTTTGAAAAAAGCAAACATTTAGTAAACTAAAGCTTTTCGTCTGACACTTTTCAGAGTTCAAAACGTCAGAACATAGATCGAAAACTCTACGCTAGGAAATATATATACCAGTTGCGGATCAAAATAGGCCAATCAGAAACACGAACACATGATTGTTCAGGTTGACCAATCAGTGCCGCTTGCCTATTGAGAATGTTACCAATGGAGTCCTAAGGTGAAAACGAACTCCTTTTGTCTACAGAGTAGAGGTTTTTTCCTGCTTATGTAGATAGATTCCAAAACTGCTAGGTGGAACGCCGATCGGGCTTTACCAATAATCCGAAACATGTCGCCATTATAGTTTTTTGCACAAGCTTTAGTTTACTAAATGTTTGCTTTTTTCAAAGCCATTTTCAAGTTTTGTACCATCAAAAAATTGTTTGCAAAAATCATAACTTGGTGAAAGTTGTACTATGTATCTTTTTAAGTCATAATAATCATTTCTGGACCTCATTTGTATTTCATCTAGGCATAATTAGAAAAATGACTCTTTAAATGAGGTTTAAAAAAATTTCCTTTTTTTCATAAAAAATGCATTATAGCAAGATAAAATAACAAAACTAAGACAGTCGGTTTTACCATCGATTTACCTCCCGAAAAAAACAACCTTTGACAAGAGCAAGTCTTGAAGAAGCGAATTATCCGTTGCATTTACATTCTTATCTTGTTTTAGTACGGTTTCTCGTGTTTGTATACTCTTTGCGGAGGGCAAACTGACGATTTGAACTATTTTTGGCAATAGAACTAATTGTTTGAGCCTTCGCAAAATTTCCCAATATAATATAACAATTGAGCAATAAAAAATAACCCAGACTTTTACGGAGAATTATAATATAAATTGGTAAACATGTAGCTCTTCCTTCTGTATAAGTAAGTCTCACTTACAGTTTGAGTTTTAATTTTCCTCATTTTCCATTGTAAAATGGGTTATTGAGTATTGAAATCCAGGCTGTTCTTACACATTCTCCCTTGAAGAAATCAGAAGAAAAGAGATCAAAATGTGCTAATCTTTTATAGTCAAAAATCTATTTTGACCTGAATTAAGTTGAAGACGATACAGAACTTTTGCAGATTGAACTTATGATTGCATCAAGTGTTAAACCCAGGGTAGCAACTTTGAACCTATCTTGTCTAGCCACCAAAGGCATGTACAGCTCTGCCTAAACGGCATATAGTACTTTATAGCAGACCGCTAATCAGTAGTTTTCTTTTACTTAAACTGAAACTAAAAGCTATTAAAACATTTTAACAATTGCTGGCTCATTAAAAAGTAACCTCCAGACAAAACCAGGGTTTGCTAAAAGAAAAAACCTTTATTTTAATCTGAACTGGGACGCTTTGAGGGACACAAAGGTAATAAATACACGCCCAACATCATGAATCTACATTGAAAGACTGTTTATTTCACGTGTTTGTTACGTTTCATTTCGTTTCACTTGAATTCATTTTGTTTCTTTTTTGTTTCGTTTCATTTTGCTTGGCTTCGTTTCACTCGTTTCACTATACTGAATATAATAATTCATCACTCTTATGCCTGGAAACAAATAAAGACCCAATACCTGATTTTGAGAAAACCCATTTAGTTCAATGTCGGCAATTTGTCTTACAATATTACAATACTTGTCTTCTATTTCTAAATTCAAACTGCATAAAATATTACAAGTTTTTTTACTTACTATGTGCATGTGAAGTGCCCTGTCACTATGAAAAAGCTGATCACAGCAAGAGCAGCTACAACCTCTATTCTCATCGACTGTCAGGTCTAAAAAAAATTGGCTTATAAGATGAACAGTACTTTAAATACCAAGATTTTAGGGTTAAAATTGGCAGTATGGTTTACTCTGTCATCATCATTACATTTACATTTAACAACCCTTTTGGTCATACAAATGTCTGCCCAGTCAACTACAACATTAAGATTTTAAAATAGTATTATACTGTCAGTATAATATACATTTTAAGTACAATCCTAAGAGTTTCCTTAACACCAAAGCTGTCTTAAAACATTTTGACTTACATATGACCCTTTTGAAATAGTGAAAGAACTTCTTGTATAGAAAACTTTAGAATAAAAATGCAAGGAAATATTAACATGTGAGACATCATAACTGGCACTTTTGCAGATTCCAGGCCATGCTGGGAATGGCGTGCGATCGCACGCCCACGCCTTGGCGCACGCCTTCCGTTGCTCAGAAGTGCAGTTTATCGCACGCCTTAAATAATCTGCAAATAACACTTTATTCTAAAGTGACCAATATGGCCCAATGTAATTTTTTTATCATAATTCAACTATGAACGAACGGTGATAATCACGCAATCGTTTCTATTTGATTTCTACTTGACGAAAAATTTGGCGAATATTCTAATTTGCTTAAAGTTATGGTAAACGTTTTTTGAATGAAAACATCCACTTCTCGATTTCTTCAGATTCTAGTAGCCGGACTTTCAAGGCACACGATGATACCATGTTTAAAACTAACAGAAGTTCTGAAAGTGGCGAAAAACCCCTGTAAACGAAGGTTTCCATAATTTCTTTATCAAAGTTTTGAGTTGAGATCTGAAAATCGCTCGACCTTTTAGGCCGATAATCCTTGCTTTGCAGTTGTGGTCGCTTGTCGCATTTGCAATAACTGCAGTGGAATCACGATATAACGAACCCCGGATATAACGAACTTCCCGGTATAACGAACTAAATGCCTGGTCCCTTGGATTCTGCCTAACAAACTCCTTACAAATTCTCTCGGTATAACAAACCCCGGATATAACGAACTCTCGTTATCACGAACCATTTTTAGGTCCCTTCATCATAATTACCCTTGATATAACGAACTTTCATAAATTCTTCATCTGTTATTTTTGTTTATTTATTTTCGGTATTCATTTATCACTTTCTCTTGGGGAGAAATCATTTTTATAATCGACAAAACATGCCGATGATACATTTCAAGCCCGGGCTGATACACTCAGAGCACGAGATGAAAGTTCGATTGCGTCAGAAATTACTGCGAATGTGTACATTGACACTAACAAATAACTTCTTATATATGAATAATTGGCAATAAGCGACGACAAAACTTTATTGAGAGACCCAGATGGAGAAGCAGAAAAAGACAAGTAAGAATGTGAAGTAATTGAAGACATCATTCAGGCACCAACTAGGAGCGAAGTGATACCAGCTTTGCCAATCTCTTGGTCCCAAGTTATAAAAGGAACATTAAGATTTTCATTTTCAATGACCAGCCAGTTGTATTACTTGAATTCAGATTGGTTTTTTTTGAGTTAAATGGTACATGTATGGCTGTACATGTGCACAAAGGTTGGAGATAGCCTAAACAAGCCCACCACAGATTTTTTAGGCGTGAACTGCGAAAGGACCCCTAAAAAACATTATCTCTCGGTTTAACAAACTCCCGATATACGAACTATTTTCTGGTTCCCTTCAGAGTTCGTTATATCGGGATTCCACTGTAGTTACAACCCCATGGCACATGTAAGGCTTTGTTTATTTAAACAGGCTTATTGATCTTTAAGCTTCAAATGATTTGACCCAGATTACACTGTGGTTTACGAGTGTATCTTGCAAGTGCGATCAGTAAAATCCCGTTTTCTCAGGACTCACAATTCCTCTATATACAGTTTACTTTATGTGCATTTTTCTAATCTGTATGCAAATACAAAACTCTTTAGAAACTTTTACTAATAAAATGTGGCCAAAAATGTTCCAAAATTAAGAGACTTTGAATTGTGAAGATTTAGCTGTAGCTTTCTTACAAAATATAAACGTGCAATTAACCATTTAATTCGTTCTAACACTAGTCAACAGATAAGTTTTCTTTATGGTGAAAACACAGTTAGAATTCTTAAATTTTGAGAACGAGATTGTCAGGAGAAGCAGACCAGAAGGGTTTATAAACTGCAGGATTACATAATAATTAACCTACCTTATTGTTAATGTTTTTCTCTTTAATATGTTGGGTTTAATAAAGCTTGTTTGATAAAATGTATTGATTGGACTAGCCTTGCTTATGTTTTCTTATGATAAAGTTATGTAGTCTAGTCCATATACAGCTGACTGTATTATTAAGTACTTTGGTGCAATAGCACACCATTGCACGCCTTGGCACCACAAGGAGTGCGATTCATTGCACCACTGCCATTTTATTCCCAGCATGGCCTGATTCCATAGCAAATTTATTCAAAAACATCATCCCTGAATGAAATATTTGCCATCTTCCACTCATCAAGGCTTCCAAAGAGATCAAGAAAGTGCTTCATTGGAGGCAAATTTTTTGAGAAGTTTAAAGAAATTAGGAACAGCACTCAGTTGTTCCCAAAGGCAAAGATTGCCAAATACTCACAAACACAAAACCAATCTTCAAAGGCAGCTGCATCAATCTTCCATTTTTGCAGTTCTTGAAAATATTATGAGTAATGGGCCTGATTCTTTATCCTTGAGGTTCTTCTATTTATATTAGCATAAGAGAAAACCCTACATCTCAAACATGGGATAAAAACAATGCTAAGTGAATCTTTGATAGATAGACAATAGTGTTGAAATACATAAAAACCTGATATGGGCAGACTGGCTAAAAGCAGTGAATCCTTTTCTCCATTGACTGTTGAGCAAATTGCCTCATCAAATCTCTATAAAAAAGGCACAAAAAATTAATGCTACAATAGTGTACAACTGAATTGAAAAAACTTTTAGCCCAAAATAATGTTTCTTTCTTTTTTCTATATCCTGATAAAATGTTACAATACAAACTACATTCTACTTTACTTGCTAATTACTCTACTATACTACAGGTACAATACCATGGAGAGCAATGGACAATGCCAAACCCATGGCCATTACATGCAACTAGACAAACAAATACGAATGCTACACGTACACATTAATCAATGTTACAAAAAAGGAAAGAAGTATATATATATAGAAGATTACAGGTACAAGATAATACAAATTGAAAAACTGAAAAAAGCAAACAAGTGGGTGAGGCACAAGATTTAGGGTGTTGGTGACATAGGGATCTCTTCTGTAATTTCTGTCCATGAAGCTTGCAAAAAAAAGTTTGCAAAAGGGTACCAACAATTTCAGATAAGAATTGAAAAACTTAATGCCTTCAGGTTCTCTAATGAGTAATTGGAATCATCTTAAAAAGATGCCACAGCAAAAATTAACAAACACTTCACCTCTAACAGTCTTCTATAGATTCTTTTCCTGTCACAAACAAGGCAACTTTCAAATTTCCTTTTAATTTTCAAATATTTTTCTTGTAGGAAATCTAAGATCAATATCTGCTCTTGCTGAGATTGAAAGGTATCAAGATTTCTCTTCTTCCTTTTTGAAGCAGGATTTGCCAAAGGCACTTTATAACTCTTTTCCTCGTCAAAATCATCCTCAAAAGATGGCTGATGGTCCCCAAGATTAACATTCTCGATCTTAAAAGTCAACTCTTCTATGTCTTCTCTTGTTAAATCATCGTCTTCTGGTACAAAGAAACTCAAAATCCTTGGGTTCATATTCTCTAGAAAGTTATTTTCTTCACCTAAGCTTTCAGCTAATTGATTTTCACTGTCATTAATTGTTTTTATTAAAATTTGTTTAGAATTGTTGAGTTCATCACCAGGGATGTTTGTTTGAAAATTTTCATCAAAACTACCAGACTGTTGAATTGTCATTGATTTTTCACATTGATCACTCATTTCTTTGCTTTGACAGATGTTTGATCTCTTTTTAGGAATAGAATCCTTGATGCATTCATTTGTGTTTGTGTTCATTGGAAAATTGCTTGTAGGCATCTGTTTTTCATCACAGGGATTTTTTTCCACCACCAGGATTTCCTCAGGACTCTTTGGTTTCTGTTTATGAAAAGAATTTTCATGTTCATCAAATTCATTTGCTTCAGAGTCGTCAGAAAATTCTGGTTCCTTTTGGAAAAAGACACCAGAGTCTTCACTGCTTCCATTGGTTTCCGCAGGCACAGAAAATTCTGGTGAGAAATTATGGTCACCTGCAACAAATTGAATAAACCTTTTTGGTACCGCAAAATTTAAAAATAGCATGAAAAAATGGAAATGTAACACAAGAAATGTATCATCAAAAAATTCCAATTTGCTTAGACAAAAGAGTTTTCACTGTTAGAGCATTCAAATAGGTGAATAGTGGTCACCCACTGTTCCAAAACATATTTTTTTCTCCCACTTTACTATTCATCCACAAATGGATATAAATTTCTGTTAACCTTTAGTCCTTATCCAAACTCTATTTTTTCTATTAATACTTTTCCCTGATATTTTTCAATGAAGAAACACAAAAATCTAATCTAAGAAGCAATTTGAGATTTTTGAGTAGAAATTTTCATGAAGAGTGTAGGACTTTTTACTTTTACAATGTCATTGACTTTTAGCACCCAGTAATGAAACTGTTAGCTTTAATTAGCAAAGTCGCTAGAATAATACCATTGCTGCTTTATTTCCAAACCACTTTTTGACAAGAAGTTATTTATATAGAAGAAAACATTCATGATTATTTCACTGAAATAGGTAGTACCATATTTTCCATCATTTCCGGAGACATAAAAAATCAAGTGATTTTTCAGTGAGAATCAAAAATAGAAAAACAAACACAATGTGTAATAGAATTTACCATGAGTAAAGTTTCTGACAGTTTTTGTAAGCTTCTCCCAGAAAAACTTTTTCACACTTTTATTTGTCCAGTCAAGTTTCCATAAGGTCTGGAATAATTCCGGGACTTTGCATGGTCTAAACAACACAGGAATGAGATTCAATTCATTCAGAAGCTGGCATCTGTCAACTCCACATTTTTCTTGCAACACTGACCATAAATTTTCATGCTCCACATACTCAGGCGATAACACAATGATTGTACATGCACTTGAACAGAGAGAGCTTAGCTTGTTTTCAATAACAGTCCTGCCAGGCTCAAAATCCCTGTCATCCCAACAGACGATTATGTGTTGGTCTTCAAGATGCTGAATTAAGTTTTCTGTTACCCAATTTTTATCAGATTCATGATAGGAAACAAATGTGTCAAACATAAGCTTCAGTTTGATTTGGCCAGTCATATTTTGTGGCTCGGCAACCAAACCTAAAAAAAGAAAAATACATTTGAATGAAACAATGTTTTCGGCTTTACAATGCTTCCAACTTTTGACAGTCTACAGTAGAATCCCATTCCTTCTGCCTTTGAGAGCTGTTTTGCATCAGGTCTTTGGCAAGCATGAATCTTTATTTATAAAGACTCATTTTTATAAAGATTATAAAGATTTTTTATAAAACTCATCAGTTGAATTGGTGAAAGTTTGACAAGTTATACCTGCAGCTATGCCAGGTGGGTATTTTTTTAATATGAAACTAAGTGGTATTTTGATAAGTTTAATTCAAACCTGCCAGATAATTTCACGTGCTCTTGTTTTTGTGTTGTGTGATCGTTTTAGTAAACTGGTCTAAAAATTTGAGGTGAGTTGTTGTTAGTTTGAAAATCTATGCACCAGTTCTCCGACCCATCTTTTTTAGGATAAAGATCTGTGGCAAGATAAATATCTTAGGGTACCAACGCAGAATCATACCTTTGCTTCCTATTTCTATATAAACAGAACCCCAAAATTATGGCCTTCAGTGTTACTGCAAAATTCCTACTGTAGGAATCCTATATTGCGGTATTCAGGTCTAGACTCTAGTTGTTTTTCATCAATAAATTACAACTGAAAATAAATATGAAACTCTAAATCTATAAAAGGGGAAAAGCGATAAGCATTTTCTCTTACCTAAATTGTTTCCACCAGCATCCACAAACCTTTGCCAGCTGCTTCTTCCCTTTAGCATTCGGCATCCTTTTTGAATTCTTTGAATTTTGATACACCGCTTGTTCCTGTAGCCTCGCTGGGCATTTTTTTAAACCGAGGCTCCAGACAAACCGAAAATGGTTGACGAAGAAAATGTGACTGGAGGTAGTATAACATTTGCCATTTAAATTCCCATTCGAAAACAAAATTTGCAAAAATATTACTAATATTATTATAAGAACTTCATGTTTTATTTAGCTAGAGAACATTCGTATGAATCAGTATGTTGTCTGGCACACCGAAAATAACCGGGTTAATCGTTTGGGTTTATAAATCAATAAATGTTTTCTAGCTGCAGTTAAGAATCTAGTGACACTAATACAAAATGGCAATGTATCATATTCAGTGGTGTACTGCCATCAAATAACAAGGGGGGGGGGCTCTTGCACAAAGAAGTCCAAAAATAAGAAGTTCAATTTTTGTTGTTGTATTTGTTTCTACCTAGCATCCAAAGGTAACTTTAGGACACTGAGAAGCTTATGCTTATCGAGCAGTGTCCTGGTCCTCCCTCTTCATGTGACCACACCTCGTGATTCCTATGCCTGGAATTACAGAGAGCTGGTGACTCTCCTCACTCTGAGTGAAAGTTTGGTCATGCCAGGGATTCGAACCACAGACCCTTGGGTCTGTAGTCAGCATCTCCAACAACTAAGCCTTGAGCTAAGTTTCTTACAAAAAGCGTGTACTCTTTTTACATAAACCATATTACATTTTTCAAGAGTTTTTTTATCATGCTTAAAGGTTAAGGATATTTATGTGGGAATTTTTATCAATTTATTTTAAAAGGTTTGAGTTTCAATGCTTTGGCTTTCCAGTAACAGACCAGGTTAAGAATTTCAGTGGAGACTCCTGTTTGACATTTTAGTAAAAATCATGTCTGATTGGTTATTTAGTCTGTTATTAACTGGTATTTCAAAGTAAGAAATAATTAATTGTTTTGATTTGATTAATCTAAGGAAATAGCAAATGCTGATAAGGAGAAAGATGGCATGGGCAGTTGGAGCTGGCATGCTTGTGGCCATTGGCCTTGGCTATGCTAATTACAACTGGCATAAAACAGTTAAGATGCCATATGAGCACATTGCAAATGCAGAATTAAAAGCACTTGATGGAACTGATAATCTTTTGATGGGGAAGGATATCTGGAAAGATAATGGTGCTGTTGTTATGGTTGTCCGAAGGCCCGGATGATCTTTATGCAGAGAGGTAATTTTACACACAGCAGTAGAATAGAATTTCATTTAAGCTTGTTGAAAACCTGAAAATTTTGGCTTTGGGCAATAGGAATAGCCTTTACGTTAGTTTAATTATGTATTTTAGGAGTTATTGGTTCTTTCACTGAAAATAGTTCACACTCCTGTTTCCTGTCTGAAGCCCCATTGTAGAATCCATTTCTTCTATGCTAGAGCCTTGCTGTTAGATAAAAAGTTTTATGCAAAAACTTGATAAGAATATCAGAAATTAGAATGGGCTCAGGCTAATGTCAGCATGCTAGCCTAAATGAAAGATCCATGCCAGAGATATTTGACATTAACTCTGGCTGAACACTAAAAGGAGAACTCGTAAAAAATACACACTGCTTACTTTTGACATGTTTAGCTTTTCAGGCTCAGAAAACAGAACAAATATGATTAATATATAAAAAATTTTGTTATCTTTCACACCCCGTTACTTTGGTCAGGCCAGGCTAGAAAACTTGCATGTGCTTGCAGCTACATTGGGTTACTTGTGCTCATAACTGACCAAAGAAATCAATCAAGTACTGGAGTCCTGTATATATTGGTTCCTTTGCTTGCATCCCAAAGCATTTGCTTGTAGGTCACAGTTGATAGTATGCAATTGGTCACAGCTAAGAGTAGCCAAAATCATATATGTTTTCCAACCTTGTGGGTGGGGAGTGTCTGGCTTGTATGATTATATGAACATTGGTGATTCCCAGTGAACTTGTTTTCATAAGCCATTTGGGCTCTGATAGACAACCATAAAGAAACATAGCAATGTAGAAGCCATTAAACAATACATTAAATTGGAAAATTTCACATTACCCTTATTCAGTTTCAGTTTTTTAGATCTAAGAAATTGTTTTTTAGGAAGCTGCTGGGCTTTCCTCTCTGAAAGGTGACCTTGACAACCTTGGCATTAAGCTGGTTGGCATAGTCCATGAAAGAAAGGGGACAGAGGAATTCAAGTCATTCTTAAAGGGGCCACTTTTTCTTGATGAAAAGGTTGACTTTGTCTATTTACAAATTATATTGTATGGCAACTAGCATAGCCTTAAGAGACATAAAGGCTGCAGCCTCCAAACCCCATCAAATCATACAAAATGTTTTTTAAAATTTCATGCCCATTCATGCAATTTTATCCCAATAAAGCAAAACCCATACTAAACCCCCCTGAACCTTTAGTCTCTGTCACTTAGGCAGTAACATGGCAATTAAGATTTACTTCTCTCCATTATAATAACTCTGTGCAAATCAAAGTAGTTTATAATTTTCAGACAATTGCCAAGATATTTCTATAAATGTTGACATTACCCTCATAAAACTCTAAGTTGTTACTTGTACCCCAAACTTTTCTACAGGTATAATTTTTTTTCTCTACAAAAATAACTGTTACTGCCATATGAGGATAAGCCGTTTGTGCTTTTTGCTGTCTCTGGTCATTTAGTTCCAAATTTTGAATATTTGTCTTGTGAATTTTGCTTTATGATTTTGCTTCTTTTTCAAACCTTGCCTTCTAGGATACTACGTAACTCTATTCAATTGTTATATCTATAAACCTTTTCTTGATGATAAAATCTAACTTATTGATATGAATAATTAATATATTTCTTTCCATCAGAGGATATTCTATGGACCTAAAGAAAGATGGATGGGTTTATCAGGTGATTTAATTTAGAAAATGTTTGCTTGATCAAAATGTTGTAAACTTGGTTCACACTTGTAAAGAAAGTACAATCAAAACAGTTAGTTCAAAAAACCAGCAAAATGTCTACCAAAAGAAAAACAGTCGTTCTAATTCTACCAAGCTGAAACTAGCCCTTGAATCATTAGAGCTCTTCCTGCAAACAGGCACGCAATCTTGAATTATACTAACAATGATTATGTCATTGTTTCAAATATGCATACATATATTACATCATACTTGCAATTTTACTATCAAACATTCTAAATATTTCTACGCATATCAGTCATTATATGCATAATGATAATCAAACAAGATCAGTGGGAGGACAACCAGTAAATACCAAACAAAACATAACCATATGTAATGTTTCAAAGAATAGTCCTAAGGACCATGTATATTGATAACACTCAGTGAGTCTGTCACACAAACAATACTAAACAAAAAAATGTATATTTACAAAATTGTTTTGTCAGTTTCAAATATGCTAGTGAATAACATACCTTTTGTAACTTAAATTGTTTTTTCTAGTGAAAACTTTGAGGTTTACTTCATAGTGAAACCCTTGCAAATTTTGACAATCATGCTTTAAACAAGATTGAGCAGCACAAGAATTATAGCCTATAGCCTTAGGATGGCTGCATTGTCAGAAGTCATTTTATTGCCTTTGTATGCTTTATGTTGGGTTCTACTTTTTATCTTCACATTTTCTTTGCTATTGTCTAGCTGAGGACGAATCAGTGCTCAGAACGGATCCCTGTTCATTACACCCAGCCTCATGTAAAAAATGTTTTTCATCCAGATGGTTAAGGGTAAAGAAAAGTTATACCAAAATGAGGGTCAATAAAAGCCCGTATGAGAAAATTGGCCATTACGGTTGACTTTTTAACCTAGAATACACTAAAAAAGTTAAGTTAGTTGTTATGCCAAGCGGGGTTTGGGGATAAACCCCTAAATTTTGAAGACATGGTCTATCCGATTTTTGTAAAAAAATCTGTGCGTAGTTTAAGACCAGGTCATATTTTCAATAGTTACTAGTAGAAAATAGTTTTATTAGAAGCGTGAAAACTTAAAGGTAGCAGAAAAAGGAGCTTTTTGTGACATAAAAAGGACATCGTTTCAGAAAAATTTGCCAAGGGCTATGCCATCAAACCGAAGATACTCATGCCAGTGTGGTTTTTAGGAAAATTGAAATAAAAATTGTTTGCCAGCAGTCAAACGTCTGTACTCTGATGATTCCTATCTCGAAAAGATAAAGAATATTTTGTAAATTCAAAATTCTGCAAGCCTACCAATTTTTTTAATATTTCAATGTTATTGTAGGATTCTTTCGAGTCGGTGTTTGGAAGAGTATACTCCGGGCCAAAGGCAAGAATATCTCAGGTAATTTTGCAGGCGAAGGTCGAATTTTAGGAGGACTTTTTGTGGTAAGCGAAAGAAAAGGCATTGTTTTTCAGTATGATGAAAAGGAGTTTGGTGACCATGCAGATGTTAAGGATGTTTTGGCTGCAGCAAAAAAACTTGTAGAGTAATCCTATTTCGTCAATGTTAGGTAAATAAATATATTTTGATAAATACCCTGTAAAGCCCAATCTCCAGTGAGAAAAAGTATTGCGAAATTTCGCTGCGAAATACTTCACGCGAACAAATTCCTTTGAATGATTTTGTTGACCTCACGACATTGGAATGCTAAGTTTGGAAGCGTGACAAAGGGATATGGACTTTGATTGGCTGCTGAAGGATTTTGCAAGCGAAAAGCAAAAAAGGTTAAACTCATTTAAACTTTTTTTCGCAGAGAAATTCTTCGCAAGAAATCCCAGCAATAGTTCACTGCGCATGCCCATAACATATTTCGCGCGAACTTTTTCGCATTTCGTCGATTTTTTTCTCACTGGAGCTTGGGCTTAATAGTAAATATATATTTAATTGATTATAATGAAAAGGATGCGAAATAAATATGATTTTACTTGTTGAAACGATTCAGTGAAAGATATGCAAGCTGTGTTTGCAAGATTTGATTGCGGAGGGCCTATGATAGGTTTCCTTTAAATGATTTCAGATTCCTAAACTTGATGGCATTTTGTTTCCGGCTTCAAAAATAATTGTTTCATTCTTACATTAAAAGCAAGTTCGAAAGGAAGATAATGCAATCGAAATGTTTATAAGATTCATAGCAACCCTATTGACAACATGTTAAAGAATAAGTCACAGATTTCCAAAAATCACTGCACATTCCATTCATTTTACATCATTTTACATATGATTGAAGTCCATCAGAAGACATGGGGAGTGCTTACTTATTTTTGAATGTTGCAATCGCCTCGTTGATTTGTTTTTATTTTCAAAGCCACTTAAATGTTTTAGTTTTTAGATTATGTAATCGATGTATTTCAATGTCTGTTATAGATTTCCTTATATATCCTTAAATCATCTAATATATGAAAAATGTGAAATGTATAATAAAATATGAAAAATGTAGAAACCTTACTGTTGATCTCAGTTGATTGCAGTATAAATTTTATGAAAAGTGTAAACGATTGTCGTACGTAGCCCTTTGCCTGCTTATGAAAAGTTTGAAGTAGACTTCATTGTTTTCAAATTTTGAATGTTAATTTGCAGGTTTAAGATTGATTTCGTAAAACGAATTAAAAATGTTATGACTTCTATGGATTTTTTTATGTTAGTCGTTTTCTTTTTCTGTGCGTTCGGTTTTCAAAGGAAAGTATTTTAGAATTTATTTTTTATGTTACAACTGAGCTTAATACATTTTTTACTTTAATACCATTTTTTACTTTAATACATGCAAGACAGAGTTGGCAAATGCGCAACAAGGAGTCGGTTTTTCTGGGATGTTCTGCTTCCAAATGATTTTTGCTACTTCAAGGGAGCTGCTACCGACCTACTGTGCCTTAAAAACTTTTACCGGGCCATCTTTTCTCGATTAACCTTTATCTTGAGGACTTTTTCTATTCACTAAGCGCTGCCACTTGCTTATTGTGGCTCCAAAAATATTGCTAGGATATGGTAATCTATTGTCAAATTTTCATATTTGTTTTGACGACTTTTTCTACTCGCTGTGCGCTTTCCTTTCATCTGGATAACTTTTCAGACTCTAAAATGGCTGCTGCTTCTAAAACGTTCGCAAGGATATTGCCATCTTTTCGTCAAATCCCTTGTTTATATTGATGACTTGTTTATACTCTAGGAGTGCTGTTACTAGCATATTTGCATCTAAGATCTTTTTACAGGGCATTGCATTCTTCGACCCAACTTTTTCTACTCTAAGAGTGCTCGTACTAACCGAATGTGTCACTAAAACTTTTACCAGAATATTCTTCCCATTTTTTGTCTAATCATTTTTAATCTTGGTGACTTTCTCAAACATTTTGCCATGGTATTTCCGTCGTTTTTTCAAGTTCTCTTTTCATAGCTTTTTCTACACTAAGATTGCTGTTACTAGCCTGTTGTGCTACAAAAACGTTTGCCAGAATATTGACTTCATCTTCTTTTAAATATCCCTTTATCTTTTTCTGGAAATATTTTTCTAGTTTAAGAAGATGTTATTGATCTATCGTACTTTCCGAATTCTCGTGATCTTTTTGCCTGATTTTCAGGCCTTTTTTGATGGTTATTTTGTTTGTGTTTTATCCAATGTTCTGTTTATTTTGTCTGAGAGTGCACCTCGTTCCCCAATAGCTTGTGCTAGATAAAGGCTTGATTTCTGATGCGATTTCAGAAACAGTCATTTTCTTCACTAACTTTAAAGCTTATTCGTGTTACAAGATAACTTTTTCATTCTGTTGATAACTTTCATCAAAACAATATTTTCTTGTTTGCTCCAAATCTTCGATCTCGATTTTTAGATCAATTTTCGCCAAAATTAGACTGGTTATAGCCTACTAAATCCAACCAAGGTCATAGCCTACGACCTTTTTTATCAGTTTCAAGCAAGTTGAAATAAGAGAACTATTACTTAGTGTCGTAAAGTTTTATCTCTCTTTCTGGATTCTCAGGGCAGAGACGATGAAGACACCTTGATGACGTTTATAGATTTATTTGCACTATCCACATAAGGCCTTTTATCGACTAACCGGTTGATTGATATTTGACATATTCGCCTAAATTACTCCACTGGCCTACTACGCCTGGGAGTGGATGTCTTTATATTATGACCTTTCTCTTGGAGCTCCTTCTCGTAACTACAGTTCTTGCTATCGGATCATTTACGCCCAATGTGTGTTTTCAATGTGTTATATTGCATAATGACCTAGTTCTATGACCTGCCCCGTGTATACGTAGCGCATATCTGAGCTGTGACTCGAGGAATAATACCTAAACTTAAATTTCACAACAGTTCAATTCAGTTCATTTAATTTTAAATTCAACTACACACAAATTTTTTCAAAATATTGAACAACATTGAATATAAACTATAGGCTGCAAATTACAATACAAGTATAAAGACTAAACATAACTACAGAAAAATGGGAAAATTTGCATGAAGGGGAATTCTTAAGGAGGAGGTCTCTCAGTAGCAAAGCTAATCGAGGAGAGAACACCCTCTTTTATTTGAATTGAATTGATGAATATAACTAAGAACGTTTTTGGGAAAATCGTGTTGATGACTATCTAAAATCTGCTACAATGATTGTTTTCAAAAAGGGATGCTTTGAGTCTTTGAGGAAAGATATGGACAGATGGTGACTGTTTTATATCTAAAGCAATGTCATTCCAGCTCTTTGATCCATGGTAATGTATAGATCGAGACCATATTGATGGTAATTTTCTGAATTAAAAAGAGATCGTCCTTGCCAGCCTGTCGTGTACCATATTAATGAATGAGCGCCATAGATTTAAAGAAGTTGTGGAAACAGGTGGGGGAGATTTTTTGGACAGAGGCTATGGAGACTGAAGTTTATTATATCCCTTTCTTGCGGTACTTTGAATTTCATCTTTTCTTATATAAATTTCATTCTTGCTTGAGGCTTTATTATAGCCTCTTCTCTCTGGGAAAAACAGCTCCTAGTTTGCGTGTTGTCTCAACTGTAGGGAGAGTGTTTGCTACTTCACGTGGGAGAAATTTTAGAATCTGCACAATGCAAAGAAATTTTGATAGTGAGAACGAGGCTATACTCAACCGAGGACAACCAAACATTCTTTTTAGGCCATACTCTTCGCACGTGAAGACGTTACCTCGCAAAACAATCATTATGGGTCGCCTACGACGCAAAAGAGTGCACAAAAATATAAAAGACTTTAAGAAAAAGTGTCGTACAAGGAAGAGGACAAAGGATCTAGACCAGATCCACGAGGACATGAAGCCGGAAAACACAAATAAGTTGCTGGAAATGGCTTCAACTGACAGTAACGATTTGCCAGGTGGCGGTCAGTACTATTGTGTACACTGTGCGTGAGTGTCCTCTCAGATTTACTTATTTTACGATAGGAAGTTAAGTCCTTTTTATGCGTTGATATGATGTCGAAAAAATATGAAGTTGTTAATCGTTTCTTGATGGATTAATACGAAGCATCTTCTTGACATTTATGTCAATTTAGTTTTCTCTTAAAAGGGGTGCTATCTCCTACTAAGAGTGCCCCCCCCCCCCGCTTAAAAATTTCTTGTAATTATTCCAATTTTTGTATGTTTTTTAATGTTTAGAGTGTTTGTATGTAGTGGAATTTAAAATAAAAAGAATCAAACTAAACCAAGCATGATGTATAAATAACATATATATATATATGTGTGTGTGTGTGTAACCATATGTATTTCCACCAGTTTTTTCATTTTTCATTCATATTTGAATTTTATGTTAGAAATCTGCAAATCAACTTAAAGTTAAGTATATATAGAAGAAAAAGTATACTATGAAGAAGAATGCTAAAACTTGAAAATATTGCACTTTATATACATTTATAATTTTTTGCAGGAAATTTTGCATTAATGACAAGGCTCTTGCTGACCACATGAAGTCAAAAGTCCATAAAAGAAGGTAAAATATTGCTAGCATAGTAGAAAAAGTTCCTATTTTTTACTTACTAGTGACCTATCTTATTAATGGAGAGATTGGTGCCTATTAATAAGCAGTGTCTTCTGTGAAATATATCACACTTCCATGTCCTAATGCTGGATATATTTTATTTGGTTTATTATGCATTGTTAGTGTTAACAGCATCATTCAAGTAAAATGTTTGTCATCAAGCACGTTTTTGACACATCATATAGATGATTACTACCTATCTTCAGGAACATTATAGGTACCTAGTCACAGCACAGAAATGGCTATTAGTGACTCAACTGGCGAGATGACAATGCCCTGCTGTTGGCTGAGAATAATCTAAACGCTTGTTTGCTTGTATGTTTTGAAAATATATGAGCCTATTAAGTTAGTGTTCAGTTTGTATTTAGTCAGAATTTTAAGACAAATTCAGCAATAGATTAATATGAGAGACTTTGATCCCCAAGATTCTAATTTTCGAATTTTTCATGATAATACCCCTCCTTGCTCTTCTTTTGAATATGTCTGCCTTTTGAATTTGTCATCAAATGAAAAATGATTTGTTTTTTATACACAGAATGAGATTGCTGAAAGAGAAGCCTTATACCCAAGAGGAAGCAGAAATGGCTGCTGGAATGGGATCATATACAGTTAGTCCTAAAATTCCAAATCAAAACCTTCAAAAAATTATTCAAATGGATAGTACTGCATCAACTGCTGATGAATCATTGATGTCTCCCTAGGCCTGCAATATCATATTTATGAAATTGAGTCATTTTCAATATGGTAACACTTATGTTATAGTTCAGAATCAGCGTTCATCTTTGGGTAAATCACGAGTGCTAGTTTGTCAAAGTAGATTGTCAGCAGACACACTCTTGGGAAAAACCATATTGTGAGAAAAAATAATGGATCTAGAAATAGAGGACCCCAAGACAAGTATGCGTAAATAACTCCTCTATTTCAAATATTGATATTTTCACATCGCTGGTGCATTGCGCTTTTGGAGGCAGATACCCTCATTTTGACACCATCGCCACATTTCAGACATCACCTGGCTAGACATATCCACACATGGCAAACAAGGGCACACAACTTTCATTATTTTCTATTCAAGAAGTTCACACTTAGGATATTTTACAGAAGTCATAACTTCTAAATAATGTTTCTAAATGTGAATGTAGTAATAATGAATTAAACAAAAGGAAAACAGAATCCATTGCATCTGCAGGTTATCTTCCTTTTCCCAGTTTCCTATTCTGCATGTCTTTGCAAAATCCTGTTATTTTATATAATTGTTTCAAAGGGCTATGAACTGTTTAGGAAAGGAAGTGTTGCTAAATTGTATAAACCAATTGACAATTTGAAGGGCCTTTTAGTTTAGGCATCAAATAAAGTTTTATTTTTTATCATTTGTTTCTATAAATATATAACCAAAACAAAAGGAAACTTGCACTGAAATCAAATATATGAATAGTTTAGTCTTTCCTTATAGATTTTTTTCAACTCGGTTACATTTTTGCAATTGTTTGCGCTTGTTGTAATCATGAATAATTGCATTATCGAAAATAAGTTTTTTCTGTTAGCATGAAATCTGTCACCTTTTTTTAGATTGGAGCTTGGAAAAGGTTTTGTGGGTGCCTAAAAAATATGACCCTTAAAAAATATAAATACAAATTTATCTTTATTTAACAGATTTTTTTCAAATATACCTTGGAGTAATTTTTTGCAACAAGCAAGCAATCAACTAATTATCTAGGCATCATCTTATTTAGTATTATTATGGTTGGTTCTAGAATTTCATCTTGCACCCCAAATCCTAAACTTTACTAAAACATTTACATTGAGGGAAAATATATAAACGAGGAACAGCCAGGCATTTTACAGATTAGGACTTGGCTGAAAGGAGTTAAAAATGCTAAAACAAAACGCATGTTTATTCATTGTACCATTCATTGAACTAAAGTTACTTATTATATTTTGGTAATAATAATACTTATAACTTGCATTTATAATGATATTGAAAAACAGTCTATGTTCAAAACACGGTAATTCAATTAGCTTTCTTTGTACAATTTTAGTATAAATTCATAATTATATTGTTACATGATATTGTATGACACGCATTCTGTATATTGATGGAACTAATAATACTTACCAAAGTACCAACCACTTACATAAAAAGAATGCAAGCAGTGTATGTCTTAGGGATCAAATACATCATTATGTCACAACAACATCAGCCATCTCTCTTTGATATCACTGCAGAAACAACCCTGTCATTCAGTCAATTAATTCAAAAAAATATTCCTTCAGTTTTGTCTTACTGCAGTTGTGTAGAATGAAAGTCAAAAGTATCAGGCATCTAGAAATCATATTTGTGTTTTCCATTTATGCTTTAGCAAGAAGAAAAGATTCAGAACTATTAAATGAAATTTGTTATCAAGTGAAAATTTAATTTGTAAATGTGTCTGAGCTTCTTTCTTTTTCATACCAGCTTTTTCATATATAGCAAAGCTACTTTTGGCTTGCTTGTTAGAGCAATCATAAGTATGCAGATAAAACTGCTAGAATCATATGTTTATCAGCAAAATATTTTCATCTGTGCCATGAAATCAAAAACATTAAATTTCAAATCAAGAATGCACGCAAGAACTGTGACTAACTTTAGCTTCAATATGTACCAGACAATGAGTCTACCTATTTCTGTGAAATGCTCATCAGTAGTTGACAGTCTAATAAAAAGTTAATTTTTCACTAGTATACATAACATTATGTTCCCATAACAATTTATGAATGATAAAATTAACTTTTTTCAAAACCTTAGATACGTAACATGACAATAATATATTAGGAACAATGTTAACAAAAACTCCAAACTCATGATCAAAGGCCTGATCTATGTTACGTAAACATGAAAAGTACTTATTTTTTGTCCCTGTCGCTATTCCAGTTTAAGCATTTTGGTGTTCCAGTTGTCACAAAGAAATCTTACAATGACTAAAATGATTATTCATAGAAGAGACAAAAGAATCTATTTTGCTTCTACCTCTAATCAGTGTTTACAAACATACTATTAGAACTGATGCCATGTCATTTATAAACAAGTTATTTTTTAATCTGAAAATGTTCACAAAGCATCTTTACTTTGATTAAATTGGTCCATTTGAACTGTTCCTAGATCATCCAACTGTTCAGAATATTCTTCTTGTTGACTCCTTCATGCATAACAATATTGTATTCATCTTTAGTCACATACAAGCAGATTTTAAATGAAATAAATTCCAAATCTTTGTCCAGCAATCCTCGGAGATCAGTATTGACATATTTACAGACTGACATCTTGTGCTTTATTTTATACATGCATTGGCAAGCTTGTAAACATTTCAAAATAGCTACTGAACAAGGGATTACACCTGAGAGTCAGCACTACTGGCCTATCTTTATTTTTAACTTAAGTGGTGATTTACTTTTTCTTTTCCTTTTTCTGTCTGCAGAGCTCTTCCCACCTTTCAAATCTACACTTTCAATTTCTTCATAAGCACCTATCTGCAAATCTTCAGGCTTCTTTGGTGGACTTCCTTCACTGTCACTCTGCGCCCATGGATTCTCATCAGGATGTGTAAGAAAGTCTTCATCAACATCTTCAATTTCATCATCATCATCATCCAAATGTAAACCTTTTGTTTCTTTCATAGTTTTGCGCTCATTTTTAACATTATTTGAGGTCTTTCCAGAAGATTTTTCTTGTCCTCCTTTGTCTAGCTCTTTCAGATGAACACGTTCATGATCCCTACAACGTGCACCCTTTACAAAACCTTTACCACATATCCTGCAGTAGAATGGAAACTCACCAGTGTGATGTGACATATGACGTTGCAAACTTTGTTTGAATTTAAAATCTTTGTCACAGATTTTGCATCTAAATAAATCTGGATCACTGTGAAGTTTCATATGAGTCCTTATAGCTTCACGAGATGAAAAAATCTTATCACAAATTGGGCACTCGTGGCTCTTTTTACCACTAGTCTTGCTGCTACTTGCTGAACTTTTTCCTTTAGATGGTTTTCCTGCATCTTTGCTTTTGCTCTGGGCTTTCTTCTTCTTTTTTGCTGGCTTTTTTCTAACAACAACTTCCTCCCCAGCAACATCATTAACATCAATAACATCACCAAATCTGCCAGCCTCTGCTTCAAATGCTGTCCCTTCCATGTATTGGACAACACAGTTAGCATTTTGTTTCCTATCAGAGACAGGCTGACTGTCACCAGCTATAGCAATAAGAAGTTCACTATCATTGACTACATTCTCTTCATGACCAGTGTCTCCAACAATTTCTTCTCCAATAATTTCCTCAAAGGGTTGCCTTCCTTGAATATCTCCTGTAGGAATATCAATCAAATTGTCAGTAATACATAGCCAAAAAATTGTTTTCAATTTGTCTCTAAATGACTAAGGTTACAGACATTGAAATCAAACATATCAACACAAAAAAATTAATTTTCTACATCAAGGGTTCAAGAGATGTTAGAAATCTTTACATGGGGTCATCCATATAGTACGTACGCAGTTTGCGAGCCACTTTTGACCCTCCCTCCCCCCTTGTACGCACATATACGCTTTTCGCATATCGCTTTTCGCACTGTGTATGCTTATATCTCTTTTTGCCCCCCTCCCTCCCGTTTCAAGGTATAATACAAATAATTGAGAATTTCCAGGGGAATTCAGGGAATTGTCGATACTGACCATTCCTTGTTATAATATATGTTTATGCAGTTGTCTAATTTATGTAATCATGTGAAGCACATCGAAGCAGATTCTTTAACATTGAACTTATTGTATTTAGCTTTCTAAAAGGCAAAGCCTTTTACATTAAAATCTCTGCCATATGAACAATGAATGAGCAAGCTTGCAAGGTTCAAATTTCACATTTAGGAATTTCTTAAGTGTACATACTATATACCCATTACAATTTATTACCATTACAAGTATACAATTTTTGATCTACTCCCACCCCCCTCCCCCGGAGTGCATACATAGTTTATGGATGACCCCCATGATAATTATTAAGGGGCAGCCAATATCTATTGTGTATAGCTCTGTATAAGCTATTAGATTCCTATGTTCTCAAGCAAATTTGACAAAAGAAAATCTAAGTAAAGGTTGAAAGGCACCTTAAAGTCACTCTACTGCAGTACATACAAATATTCTTAAATTCAATTTTACAAAAAACTCTAAATGCAAGAAACAACAACATTGACTAGTTAAAAAACACAATCCATGATAATACCATTCCACAGTTTCCTTAAAAAGTAAGAAGTGGTAAAGGCATTGTGAAGTACACATTTGTAATAGAACAAACATGCCTCATGAACTATTTCCTCAGAAACAATATCCCTTCAATCACATAGATAGAATCCTTATTATTTTGCACAGTACCTTGAACAATTCCTGGAGGAAACTGTGGATTATCATCTCCTGATTCTGAATCACTAGAATCATCTTCCTCTTCTGAGCTTTCAGTAAATGTTGAACCTTCCTCTAACTCTGAGCTATCTGAACTTCCTTCTGAACTATCTGATGATTCTTCTTGCTTATTTCCATTTTTACGATTTGAGTCATTTGATGAATCATCTGAACAATTTTCTTCCCATGTTAATAACCAATAGTTATTATGCTTGTTCTCATCTGCCATTACCGATTATATGGAATCTTGCTTTAACCTGAAAGACAAATTCAGTTTGAGTTAGTTTCTGTCTGCAAATTATTGAAAAAATCAAAATCTTTGCAACAATGCTGAGAATAAAAAATTGTGCATCTGCCAGGGCGGAGACACTTGGTTAAATATTGGAGTGACAAGCCTATTGTTTTCTTAAGATGACATCACACTTCTTATTGTTTTAGAATGAAAGACTATATATTCTCCTAAAAAATTGGGATGTGATGCCCCTGCCCCTGCCCCTGCCCCCCCCCCTCACACAACCCCAAGGTGTCTATCACTGGTATCAGCCAAGATGCTACAATCACTATATTACAAACCAATATACTTGAGAGTAAGAATTAATTTTTCGCCCAATATAGGATTTAGTTGTGGTATCACTTATGAATCACACTAGACTACTACTTTGGCCACAAAGAAAGGCTCTAAGATCAATCACCTTGAAGATTTTATTTGAGTTGGTAGAATTTTCACCAGCAGTCTACAAGTAAGTAGCCCTTGGTAGCATAAACTTCAAGGAAAATATAAGCTAATTGTATATATAATTAAAATGTAGCATAATCTTCAAAGAAAAAGATCAGTTCCTGCTTATCAAATCCCCCTTGTTACATGTGATTTTTACAGGTGTTTTGTATGTAGAGGTACATATACCTAATTTATATTGTACTTTGTAACTGAAAAAAGAAAATAGTATTATATATATTGTGGTAGGTCCTGGAATTTTAAACAATAAAAGGTGGAACACGAAAGTACCCACTGTCTTTATTGAAATCAAAGTTAAAGTAAGGTTCTTTAAGTAGGATTGTGAATGCTTTATAAATCAGGGCTTATTTTAAATGTCTTCCAAGATTTTATCACTCTTCAGATTAGGGCAATCAGTACATCTGTCACTACAAGCCATATTCTCAGAACTCATCCAAATATTCATGTTGAAAATACTCTGGTTACTTCCGAATATATTAACATTTGTAAAGACAAAAAATAGCTAAAATATAAAACTAGAAATGTAAAATTAATTGTATTTGAACGCAAAGATAAAAAGTATGTTCGATGTATAAAATATATAATATAAGTACAGCATTATTCTAAGAGAAAGAGGCTGCGCAACTGATTTCTAGTTTTCCTTATCGTTTCAATACAACAGAAAAATTTTCGCTTCAAATTCCTAGAAACTGTTGACCTAGCCTTGACAATTTCAAAGCAGTTTCTTACTTTATTCCGTATTCGGAAACTCTTGCTGAAGAAAACAAGCTTGTTTATAATAAAAACGATATTCAACACATGCTCCCCTATCCAAGATGGCGCTTTGCCTGAAGCAATCGGTGAACGAGATGCATATGGCGGTCCTACACATAGGCCGTAACAACTGAAATTACATGGGCCTAAAGGCCTAAATTGGTAATATGTTTTCCTAAGCGATCCAACAAAATAAGATCTCAACCTTAAATAAAAAGAAGACAGAAGGAATTTTATTGTTTGGAAAAAAAACGACTCGACAGGTTGCTACCCGCCATGGCCGAGCACATGTCTTAAAACGCGAACCCAACCATTCGCTTTATTGTGGAGTTATCAAACAATTTTAGGCCAGTCACAATTTCATGATGGTTGAAATTAGGCCAAGAAGGATAAACTAAAATATTACCTTAAAATTAGAAAATGAAGCAAATGCAACAACAATTTAACCACTCAGGCTCGTTACTGAATCCATATAAAACAAAATGTCGTCGACCTTCCTCAAGGGCGGGGTGGCAAAGACAAAGATAAACGAGTCTTTTATGACGAAAACTTTAGGCCGTGGGCCTATTCCGCGATACAGCCTATCCAGCAATAAAACAAATAATCGTTGAAAAAATTACCCGATCTTCCGATGGTATGGAAGCAATGTTGTACGGTGCACAGCACACAGCAAAACGCTTCCCGGCCGTGAACAAGTTTCGCTTTACCGCATATCGCGAATTTGAACGAGTTACGGGCAAACAAAAAACAAGAGGCTAGGCCTAGGCCTAAAGGCTTAACACGCGGCCTAGCACTTTGATTGACAGCTAAGAACAATGAACAGAGAAGAACTCTTGGAGAACGGTCATAAAAGATTCATATTTAATACAGAAAATTCCACGAAAATGAGAGCATTTTTTCCAAGTTTCAGTGCTCAAGAGGTATGTGGCAACTGATATCATGTTTGCTTTCTTCGAAAATTATCTCTCTAAAGAAAATTGCAAAGATACCCAGGCTTCAAGATAAACAATTATCGCGGACTGATGCATTGGCAACGTCAAATTCTAAACATTGAAACTCTTTTTCTACTTTATTTCATTCAAGCCTGGAACATTGCGCGCAGGATGCAAGGGCATTAAAGAATTTGCAAAAAGTCTATACTGAATACAGGGAATTGTTGCATTTGTTTCAAGGTCTTTTTTGAACATACTAGATGGTGGAAAATTCTCCCTTACACAATGGCTATTGCTAAATGTTTAAGACTATTGGCTAGAACAAACGATATGATCAAGCGTTGAAATAAACAAAGGCTCTTTTAATTTTTCTCATTTATATCAACATTTCCCTGTTTATTCTTTTTATCTCTCTTGTAATATTCGCTTTGTTTCTACCATTCTCTCCCTTTACCGTACTTTCAATTCATATGCCGCTTCTACCATTTCCCTTTCGTGTTCTTTGCAGCCCTCCATCTTTTTAGCCATTTGTTTTAAGAATTTCTCGTTCTTTAAATTCTCACCCGCCTGTTAAATCCTATACTCGCCTTTTCATTGATAATTATCTCAGCCTCACTACAACCTTTTCTCACATTATCTTACCGTTCAATCCTTCTCCTTTTCCTTTATACCTACTTTGATCGATGCTTTTTCTTCGTGTTCTTTCTTTGTATATACATATGATTTATTCAGTTCTAGTTAAAACAATAGTTGAAAAACACTAAATAAAACACTAACATGAAGCAATGTCAAGGATTGCAATTTATTTCACGGAGCCAAGGTTTAACCAGATTCTTCAATTCTGTTGAATTTCAGGCTGTTATAGGTTTCTTTTCGCTTTCTTGTTTTTTTAGTTTGCGTTCTCCCTCTCTTCCGATGCAAATTTTTTTCTTTCCAGTTTACATTCCTTTTCGCTTCTTTTTTATCGCCAATTTTAAATATGACGGGAAAAAGGTCCAAAAATACTTTCCCTAGATATGATCAACGAGCATGATCTCGGACTTTGCCTTTTTAGCACAGTATCGTATAGTGTTCTTATGCATCGTATTATATTGCATTCTGATTTATGTGCGTACGATAACTCAAAACAATATCGCTTACACACCAAAGGATGAAACACACTCTCGCGATTCTACGGCTTGATTAATGCAGTCTACAATTCGTAATTCAGGATGTATTTATAAAATGAGAAAATATAAAGAAACGAATAGGGCTACCCATGGGTATAGCACCCTTTCTATGAAGAGTGTTACCAAGAACCAAGAAAGTAGTACAAAGTGCAATATAACCCAGAGCATATTAATTATGTTATACTAAAACCTCCTCCCAACAAAAAAATGCAGTCTAAAAATCTAGGAAAAAACCCACAATTCTGGCCAGAACTCATGACTGCCTCACACCCCTCCCCCCCTATATCAATGTTGGAGTGATAGTATTGGCTAAAATAGAATGATGGGATATTTAGCAACATTGATGAAGGGCGAAGGGAGAAATTGATCTGTCCCCGTTTTTTCAAAGTTTTTAATCCAGTATCAAGGAGTTTAGGCAACGATTGCAGACTTCATTTTTGAATGAGAATGTACAAAAAGAGGTATATTATAACCAAGATTGACATTGTTAAAATTTTGAAACATTGCAATGTGAATGCTCAACATTAGCAGAGAATAAAGGCAGCGTTCCCGGAACAGGCAGTGGCTGGGAGAGTTAAGCGCAGAGAAGTTAGTCAATGTGTTTCTAATTTGTCGGGCTTTTCGGAGAACTTGAGGTTTAATACACCCCCCTTAAAAAAATTAGCTCCCATTGCGCCCCTAGGAAGAGAAAAAAAATTAATTCTGTGTTATTTATTGCATTGATTTCATAAAGTAATTATAAGATCACACTATCCTTAATTATGTCTTATACTTTGGTAGTTTACAGGTATTGTATATCTCGACCTGTTACAAGTACATGTGTATATATGTACTTGTAACAGGTCGAGATATACAATTGAACTTAGAATAAAAACAGAACTAAACTGAACTTCAAACTAATAATACAAGCTGCAAAAAAATCCTAAACATTAAATTTCATGGAACAAGCAATTTAATTTTTCTATCTTACAATATTTACAAACAAAGTGCTGCTATATTACTTTCGAACATACCAGAAATATTTCATACTACGTCTCAGTTTTACCTCAAATTATTTAATGATGAACAATCTAATGTAAAATTCCGAATTTCGATAACATGCAATTAAATTATTTAGAAAGCAGGAACATCTCAAAATGCATCACAAAACATGGGTCATTTTTCAACGGACGAATCCTTATTACAGATAACTGGATAATTTTTATGTGCTTGTATGATTTGGAATAAGGGTTACAGACATTTCTGACCTAAATTTTGAGATATTCTCTGAATTCTATATTCATAGTTCCATCATTATAAGAGCTACCTTTGCAAATCTTGTTAAGATATAATACAGTAAAGCCGCATTCAGGAAAAAACCTAAAAGAAAGTGAAAAGGTACCATAGATATAAGAAACACTTTAGGCTAAGGTGTGAAAAATCGGGGCCTTACTGTACTTTATTTAGTGAGTATTCAGTTCAAGAATTATCGGAAGTATTTCTTTTTCTATATTATAGGTTTTAAAATTGCCTGGGCTATAAAGATGCTACGAACTGGCTTCAGCAACGAGCGTCTGAGGTACGCATGACGTATTCTGGGAAGACGTACGATAAAGGCTACAGCAGTTCTTCGTCACAAAGTTCAGTGAAAATATCAAAAGCTGTGCGATTGCAATTTCCATCTTTCGTGAAAACGTACTTGTGAAAAGAGCCATCGATGCAAACAGCTGTAAAGTGAAAATAAGAGCATTAGAATTAGAGCAAATGATTTCAGGAAGAAATTAGAAGCCAGCCATGTTCTAAAAACACCACGACCTCTATACCATACAAGAGACGTCATAGAAGGGTAAGTTAAATGATCCTTACAAGTATTTTATAACTCGAATGTGGCAATGTAATACTGTAACAGATACTTGGACATATAACAGATAAGGTAAAACACACAAAGAACAGCGCACTGTATTATATTGAAGTACAAAAAGATATGATATTTTGTACAGCTTTAATCCTAGGACTTGGCAATTTTCCAAATGCAGAGCCCATGCATATACTGATTGTGTTTGCTAGCAAAATATGCATCCACAGCCAAAAATTATTAAATTCATATGAACTATGCACTATTCGTGAAACATACCAACAACTGAATTTGAAGATGCAAAGGCGCAGATACAAGGCAGCTCCGCAGGGACAGAAAAACTTGCCAATCCCCACTGAGATTCGGCATACTGGCCAAACAAACCAACTGTGGCTAGCCTGGGTGCAAATTAAAATGAAATGATAGATTTTCTATCTCAATAAACATTCCTCGTTTAGTAAATGCATCTTTAGCTTTAACAAATTTCATCATGATTTAATAGAATTAGCGGCTCATTTCTACAGATCAATGTGATCAAGAGCTTGATATCACGTAGCATGTTTGAAACAAAGCAGTATGCTTGTGAATAAAGATGTCACCTTTGCCTAAGGTAAACCACAATTTCATACGTGGAAAAATTGTGAAAAAATGACGGTTCCATTAACGACATCTATTAAGATATTTAAAAGTTATTCAGAAGTTACAGAAGTATAGGAGGTCAAAATAAACTATGCATAATAGAAAACATTAGGAAAATCAAGAATTTGCTATAATTTAGGTAATTCAAAACTTAGGAAAATGAAAAATAGAGTTATGCTTTAGTATGGAAAGGCAAATCAGACAGTTTGCTTAACAAAATCAAAGCCTGCATAAAATCAGGGTATTTCTGTCACGAAATAGAGTCTTAAGGGAGAGAAGCGTTCAAAAATGCCCTAAACAACGCCAATGTTGTATTCCAGAAGTTGATCACTTCTCTCAACAAGCCTATTTAACCAATGCCTACTTAATCGATACAACCAAAACATCGTGGGCTACGAGAGTTTTATACAAAATTTAAGCTTCAAATTGACTCAATGCATCCATGGACCATTAAAAGTTACAAAGAGCCTGATCTATGTAATGCAGCTTAAGATTTGATTTGAAAAAGCTGCAATTTAAAAAGACTGAAATACTTACTTGGAACGTTTGTTTAAGTTTGGGTCCTTCAAGGCAAAAATGTGAATGGTCCCTTTGTCACTAGATGCGCATAAGTAAGATGAGTCCGAACTGAAATTTATACTGTGCGAAAAATGAAAAGGCATTTAATGTTGTCATGGTGACATTTTACGGGTGTGAATCGAGAGCTAAGGGAAATTTTTGAACAAATAGACAATAGACAATAGACAATAGACAATAGACAATAAATAGACAATAGAAAATAGACAAAGACACATTGGCGTAAGTATACAGAGACAACATTTTATAAAAGAAACCAAATTTCCTGGAACTAAAACTTTACCAATATTGAGCAATATTTAGCAGAATCAGCCTTAGTAACCAGGGAAAGATAATCCAAAAACTATGGAGTCGTTAATTTGAATTAGTAATGATAAAATTACTGCATTTTGACTTTTAGCAACTGAACTGTGCGTCAGGATAGAAGTAAAGTAGAAAAAAGGTATGTATATAATACCGAGCCTCCAGTTTTTAGAGAGAAGAAGGGTAAAAAGGGAAGGATAAATCTAACCAAAAGTTAGCAGCTAAATGAAACGCTTATGCACAAGGGATGAAACTATCTTGAAAAGAGTCTCTTTTCTGGCAATCATTTAGGGGTAAGATCGATAGAGTAAACTAATGACTATAGAACGTTGGAGGTCGTAAAAATTTCCTTACCAGTAGAGTGAAGCTGGATCTGCTCCCCTTCGCACTTCGAGTAGCTGACGTTTTGTTTTTGTGTCAAAAACTCGAATAAGTGTACCCTAAAAAGGACAAAATATTAAACTTAAGATCAGGTTGTACCTAAAAAGTTTCACGCAGTAAAACATAGCAACGAGACTGTTAGCTAAGTAACAAGGCGTTTCAAACAGATTTTACGAGAATTTTCGCCTAGAATACCCGTAATTGTAAGAGAGTAGAAAGAATCTACCGTACCCAATTATAAGTTTAAGAAAGAATGCAGTTTCCCAGAAATTGTCTATATGACATTAGCAATATAAAATATGGACAACCTTTTCCGATGCTGTGGCAATTTTCGATCCAATCTGGTTCAAAGCAATGCACGCAAGTTCGCTCTGATGTGCATTAATGGTAGCTGGACTTGCAGATGATCCTGACTGTCTCATCAAATTGATATCCTAACGGGAAATATATAGTAGTTAAGTTCTAAAGACATGGCAAGTGACAGAAGCCAAGGTATTGTCTTACCAAATGTAGTATTGTAGAGTAAACAAATGTAGAGTAGTTTTGTCTTACCAAATGGAAAGGGTATCATATTTAAAGGATATGTTTTGACCCTTTGAGGTAAATTTGAACCATTCCTTCCCTTTATTGTAGTATGCAAATGTAATTTAAACAGTTATGCTTTTAGAACTGAAATGGAAACTGCAAAGTAAACACTTGCTTTTACCAAATGCAACTACCTTTGCTTAACCGCAAAAATATTCCGATAAAAATAACATATTTATAATGATATATACTTTCTGAAATATTTTCCCTATTTGAAGCATGTACGATATTTTTCATTTTGATCTTATACGCAACGCCTTATAATAAAAAGTATATTCCGTAGAGGAACAGAACCATAACAGAGCAAGCTAATTCGCCTAAGTGCATGTTGGCGTATGCCGCTTTGTTTTCAAAATGCTTGTCTGTATATGACGTTAAACTGCATAATTTTTTCTAAAGTGTTCCATGCCGTATAGGCAGAGCTGTATGTGCTTTTGATGTATAGTACAGGACGGTTCTATTTAGCCTAAGCCGTAAAACCTCCCTTCCAAACGAATGTCTTCGTATGGAAGGGAGGATCTACGGCGTAGGCTAGGTTCTAAGCTGCTTTTACGAGTTTTATGGTTAATGTTATGGTTTTATGGTTCATCAGATAACTGCTCGAGCGTATATCATAATTTAGACATTTTGTAGAAAGAGATAATGACAGGAAATAGAAAGAAAATTTTAGGACAAATGAAACATCACAATAATGATAGAAAATTCTAAGCAAGGAAATATGTATCAGGTTAAGGATAAAAAAGGCAAAGCAGAATAGAATGAGGAAGTTTTTCATTTACCAGAATTTCAACACTGCCACATTTCCTTCCAGGAAAAGCAATGACGTTATTTTCCGTACTTTCTGCTAGTTTGCAAAGGCCTGTAATTATAAAAAGTTGCAATTAAATAATAGGAAAACCAAGACCTAACGCCAGTAGTAATGTGGTATCGAGTACAGATTTTATCCAGGCCACAAGAACCCTGCTCATTCCGTTACATACATTACATAACATAAGTCCCTGTCCTGATATGAATATGTATTTCCCAAAGAGTTCCAAGGCAATGGCATAATAAATATATTTCTAGAATGTTTTAATTTGGACTGCATAGCTTTAAAAGCATTTATAAAATATCTCTATATTGTTAAAAATTCGATGAAATATGGTAACATGCGCTTACACAGTAAACATCATTGTAAATTGGTACTGGTTGTGATATCCATGAACCAGGCCAAAACAACATGACCGACCCGTTTAGCAAATTTCAGCACTTCAATTAGCTATATCTCAGTTGAATTGGGTCATAAGCAATTTATTAATTTCCATCATTAAGGTGCTACAACGGTCAAAATGCCAAAGACTAAAAACAGCAGCAATAATTTAATTTGTAACTCGCCATACATGTTGCTAAAATAATTATTATGGTCTGTGACCTTTGAGCAAAGAAAGCAAATAAGACTGCATACCTACCTTTTATATTGTCTTTTGTGTCAATCACAAAAAACTTTTCAAGTTCATTTGGAAATGAATAAGCATAGATATTATTCTTTAGGATGACAAAGATCCTGGAAGAGAAGGAAAATTTATGAGGAACAAAGTGAGCTAGACAACCAGAAGATCCAGAACATATACAAACTAGTCTATGGTATAAAATATTGCAACATCAAGAAAAAATTGATTGTGGATTTTCAATGAGAACAGAGCACTTTCAATATCAAGAAAGTTAAGCACTTAATGGTTATGGGGAAGAATACAAACAGTATTATACTTTCAGATTCAGATAGGAAACATCATTGCATGATTCAATTATAGCAGAATGCTTGAAAATTTAGTAAAACTTTTTATTACAATTCCCTTCTTCTATACGGCTAGGTTTTTGTGTGTCTGATTTGGCAGCCTGACTTTAAGTTTTGTTTTCTATAAATAGCAGTGCAGTTGCTAACTTATCCAAACATCATACACTCACTTACTTGCAACTGAACTTAACATTACGAGATAAATCAGGAATGCAAGTTTGGTAAAAACATTCAAGAACTATTGTTTGATCAAGTTAAAGCTAGGTTGTGGTTGTTAAGAACATAAATAGTCAATAATGACCAAAAAGTAATTATACAAAGCTAACCAAAGTTATCTCAATAAATGAAAATGCAAATTCATAACATGCCTGATGACACTCCAAGTTTCACAGTTGCATGATGTTCATTAAGCATGAAACTTGAAGTAGAAACTTTAAAATGTGTCCTGTTCTATACATCAAATCACATAAATACATTTATGTATATTCATCTTACATGTCTTTGCGCAACAGAACATTCAAAACTGGTGTTCCAAAAGCAAGCTCCAACACAGCTTTTCGGAGTGATGCATCCCAGACAAAAACTGAATAAAATTAATTGATAAAACTGACATAATTCATATAGATGGGAAGAAATTAACAATAAATCAAAAGGCTTAACATTCTAATGCTCTGTTTTAAAGGAACTTAATTGGCTTAATTAAACTATTGGAATTACATAAATTTCAAACAATTTATAAATGACAATGACAATACCAAAGAAAATGGTGTCAAACAATTCAGATCACATCCTTCTTTATCACATCAACCGGTTTGAGTTACACAATACCACACCAATCCAGTACCTAATGCTCTGATTAGCAGACTGAAAATCACTCCACTCTGGAAGTGGTAAGAATATCACTCCAGAGTCACCTTGTAACAGAGCATGGTTAGTGTGATCACACAAATCTGATGTATATCACTTTGAAACCATTTATTTCTTCTGCTTATATGCAACTTGATCATAAGTGAACAATGTCAATCTCTGAGATATTGAGCTGGCAATTTGATAATGCCAAATGAAAATCACCCTAATTTTTTTGTAGTTAGATTTCACTTCTTCTAAAATGAACCCATTTAATCGGCACTTGGAGGAAGACTTTAACACACCTTGCACCAATGCAATTTTCAGGCTTGTTTGACAATGGATTTATAACAGCACATAGCTTCATCCAGATTATCAAACAATTGAATCTGCTGGACATCTAGCATTATATTGTGAAAATATTGTGGACAAAATTCAGAGAAATGCAGGCGTATGAGCAAGCAGAGAGTCAAAGTGCAACTTCTATCCACAGATCTTCTGTCTTTCTATCACTCCAAAGTGAAAGTGACTCTACCCCTGTCAAATAGCAATGGGGTGACTCTAGCCTTAGTGTCTAGATGAATATGCATATCTGGCATTTACTTTTCAAACATTCCATGGAATGATGGCACTTACTTCTCAAACATTCCACATTTATGTCAAAATTCCACAAATTCTTTTTTGTTATATCGTACCAATTAACTGACTTACCTTTGTTCTTTGGATATTTCATGTGTTTCCCACTTCCAACAATAGCAAACAGATTTGTTCTTTGTAGCATCTGTATCCGGCCTATGCCACCACAGTCCTGGATATCTAGCAAAGTAAGCAAATAATGAAGTGCAAAAGCCATTAAACAGTGTTAAAAAAGATTACACCTGTAGATTAGTGGTGAAAATATTTCTGATGAGTTTCAAGCTTGATAAGTTCCAGTGTGGAATCCATGTAGCTTATGCTGGAGATATCCGGCACAGACTAACAATTTCCCAATTGTTTTTCTATTGTTTATTGGTGTATGTCTGGCATGAGCTTCACATGGATTCCATCCTGGGATAAGTTGCGAACAAAATTGAGAGATTCATGAGATAGAACAAGATGTCCTATATAGATCAGATAAAAATCGTACCAGAAGCAGTTTCTGTTTATTTATTATGAAATACAACAAAACTAACAATTTAGACTCGATTCACATAACAAATACAAAAAACAATTATAGATATAGATGAGTAAAAAATAAAAACATATGGTACGGCTGGTTGAAGCAGCTGAGCTGTGTTTACAAAAATTGCAAATAAATGAAATGTAGTTAAGCAAAAAATAATAATAACCTTTGGTAGTACTAAGAATCAGAGGCTTTCTGTCAAAATATATAATGCATTAGGATGCAAATGCCAAAAAATTCTTGAATATTTGAAGTTAAATTCCTCCACAGATATCTATAAAATCTGGAGTCATAGAAAATTGAGCAGATATCTAAAACTATCAAAAGTAGTGAGAATTAGTAGTGTAAGATATTGTCCTGAAATAAGATGAAAGTTACCTTCTCTGTGAAGCTCTGACAATGGTTCCACATTATACACTCTGAAGCCATATTCAAAGCCACAGCAAAAGCAACCTTTACAAAGTTATTAACAATCAGCAACTAAAATCTTTAAAATTGTAGTGCTTAAAAAATTGCTAGCAAAAAGAGCTTTTAAGGAAGGAATAGCATTCACTAGATATTTGTTGAATTTGTTTCTTTTTTATTTTGCTCATTGATCCTTTTTGGTTAATTCTAAAAATTTTAGCATGAAAGTGTATCTTTCATTGCCATCTTATATTACTGAAACACCGCCTATCACTGGGAAAATTCAGGGAGTGGGGGCAGCTGTCAACTTCTCAAATGTGCGTGATTATGCTAAATTAAGAATTAACAAAACTGAGTACGTAATAACCTTTGTGATCCACCCCTTGTTCATTCATTTAAGGTTATTTCAAAACCTTGTGACCTGACTGCAGTAAATGTTCATTGGAAAAAAGGTTATGGTATGAGCAACATCCTATAAGACGTTCGCAAGAGCGTTATCTAAAAAAATCCAATTGCAATATTATGCGGTCTGATGTGCAAAACTTTCTAACATTGACATAAAATTCAAACTTAATATCTTTAGCGAAGAAAAGAGGGGTCAACCTTAAAATAAATATTGAAAAGAGCTATTTATAAAATATATTCAATTGAAAATCCCTTAAAATTGTGGATTGAAAATCTCCTCCGGTCCGGCCGCTGTTATGTTGTTGTCTTTAACTTGAAAACATGTAACAAATTAATAACAAGCATAGGTTTGCAGACTCTCATGTTTCAACCATAGCTTAGCTTAAACTTAAACAAGATTGAAATTTGAGTTTGAGTTAGAAAATTAACCTTTATCCTCGTTGAAATTCAGGCACAAAATACTTCCAGCAGTAGCCATTTTGTTGATTTGGTTTGTTTTCTCTTCTACGCGGAAACGAGACCAACCTCGTGATTGTAATGACGTAATATGTTATATTACTGTTAACATCTTCTGGTCTTAAAGTGATCACAAAGTGCAAAAGGTAGGGAGACAAAAGTCTATAACCAAAGGATTCGAGAGCCATCCCGTTCCATCCCTTTTAGTCAAAGAAAACTTCGAATTGGCAGACTAATTTTGTTTTTGTGCTATTTGATTTTATAACAGAATCAGTTTCATGAACAAAAATTTAACTTCGTCACCATGACCATTTTTAGTTATTGCTTTTAATCGTATGCTTTACCTTCTGGCAAGATAGCAGTGAAAATATGCGATTGACAAGTATTTCAATTGAAAACAACTTCGTACATACATTTTTTGCTAAATATGTTCCCGTTTGGCCTAAAAGATCGAATAACCCACTTAATGTCATAAACACGGTGTTGTTGAAAGATTTTAGAAGAATGCATTCCATTAATTTTTGCGTATTTGTCAAATTTACTTTGTAGAGAGAAGCTTTGCTTCTTTCTTCAATTGTAACTATTTGGTCTAGAAAAACACTTTTGTTTTTCTCTTGCTAAGAATGAATTACTCTAACTGCTCCATAAAAACAGCTGTACAGTCTTTTCTTCATCAGCCAATCACAAACCTGAGTGTAGAACTCAACAAGCATTTTTAACAGCAAACTGGCACCATATGAATAATTTATCGCCAAGCAGTACCTTGAATACCGCAGTATCCAGATTAACACAGTAGGCCAAAGTGATTTTTTCTGTTCGATTGAAACGGAATTCAATTATTGTACACATCCGTTAGTTTGTTTTGTAAGCGGTGAAAACCATCCATTAAACATGCTAGTTCTAGCTCCTAAAGCGAAAGATTATCGCCCGGCTTAAAGACATCTTGGGGACCGTAATGCAGCCACACACTTGACAAATCTCTTTAAACGTTGTCCAGCGGCACAGCCATTCCTTACATGATCCATTGTTTTTAAAGTGCATAGGAAAGCGTTGTTGGTAGCTTTCTGTCCTTTTCACTTTAACTGGGCAAATGCACACAGAGTATTCCCTTTCCAACCGTTTTATCTCTCAATATTCTCTTTACCGCCCATGTTGGTCAGTAGTTGATCCTGTGAAACTAGGCCACGAATATAATGGCAGCAATAAATCCTTTTTCTATAAAATGACTTTCCAGAGACTCGGCAAAAGTTGGATTATTATTTGACTAGCTAAAATTAAGCCATTCTGAAACTCTTCTTCAGCCAGTAAATTGACTGCTTTACATTTATTCAAAAGAAAAATATTTTATCAAGCATGTCATTCAAGAACGTTTTGCCAATAGAAGGTATAGAATGATATATAAATGTAATCAAGAGCATCAAATTTTCAATTCACCAAAGTAATTTTTAAGGTTCTGAGAAGAAAATGAAGACCATTTGCATATCGAGCAAATCACAAAAAGTTGCAAATTGATGGGATAAGAATTTTGATGAACTTCATTTGATTTCTCTTGCTCAAAAGAATTACAGTCAATAAGACCAAGAAGGTACATCATTTCAATTAGACAAAGATTGGCTATTTAAGTTCTTTTCAGATTGCAGCTCCAGATCCAGATGAAATTCTGTTTACCTTTTAAAGAAAACTCAATTTATTTTCTTAATTCATCGACTTATGTTAAAGGTATGTTCTACGTAAGAGGTGCAACGTAATGATTCCCATGTGTAAGCCCAAGAAAGCTAAAACTAACCTCTGTATTATTTCATTTGATAAAAGCAAATCAAATTAGAAAAAGACTAGGATAATGCATCTTTCACCTCCTTTGTATCGTAGCGTAGCTTGACCTTGAAGGCTGAGGGTGGAGGGGTTCATCGAGGGTACATCTTACCGACGAAGATATAAATGAAGAAAAATCTGGGTGCCAGTTAATCTACTGACAGGCTTTTTTACCAGTTCAAAATTGTGTAGTCCAACGGAAGATTATTCACACTAGCTAACCCCCTGCTAATATCCATGAAAAAGTTTCTGCCGATCAGTTGAGCGTTTCAACTAATAAAACGATCAGGATTATTATAGTTTCACTGAAGTTATTTTTTCCTAATGGATCTTGTACAATTATGATAGACGTCATGGCGTATTGAAAATAATCGAGAACAACTGTTTTAATGGTGTAGAATTGTATGCTTAACCATTATTGAGCAAAATTCGTTCCAAAATTTGATTGAAAAGTTGGTAGGTGCAAGGAAATGTACTTTTAACGATATGCTCAATACTAAACCTTTTGCTACTAAAATGTTTGTCTAATACAGCTTCGTCTGATATTGAGCAACTGTCGAAAATAAGTGTTCTTACATTGGTCTTATATTTCATAATATTACATCATTACATCACATTGTCATATTACACAAGCCGTAAAAGAGATAATAATTTATAGAATTTGATGTGTCCATTTGATGAATTTGAACGTCTGCAAGTTTAAGTCAAACATATGATAGCAAGTTTCTAGCCTAGATAATTCATGTAAAAAGTTGTTCCATCATTGTTGCTCATATTTTAGAATGCAATTTGTTATAGAATCACCTAAAGGTTGAAATTACATTTGAATATATAAAAACATCTCATATAAAGCTTTTATCGCACAACAAGAGATTCAAGCAAGCAAGTCCCTAGAACAAGCATGCGCGACTTTTCTTATTCACTTTTTGTAACATTTCTGCTAAATGACTAATAAAGTCATATTTCTAATTGTTATAATTGACTTTTTATTGATTTGTTCCTTTTATTTTAAAGTTTCAAATGATTTTCATCATAAAACCTTGGCTTTTTAATTGCTTTCCCCTTTGTCAAACGAAAATTCGCATAAGCAAATTTTAACAAAAGCAAAGCTTTTTAAAAGAGAAATATTTTCAATAGGCGGTACTTTACCCGAGAAAACTTCTCTATATCTGTTCGCCACGATATAACGCTGTGATGTTTTTAAACTATTTTGCACTGGGAGTCATTGAGTATAAATTGCTTAGTAATAGCCATTATTTTCTCACCTTCTGTATCATATTTGCTCTTGTTTATTGAGATAATAGAAGCTGGTATTAAATAGGCTTGCACTTCTATAAATGGCAAAATGCTTTTCATAGAGAGGTGAAATAAGCTGGAATAACCTTTCAGCGGAAGTTATGCATGCATCTCTGAATTCTTCCTTTAAATGTGGCAATCAACCTACATCTTTAATTGAAATATTTTATTTTATAGTTTGTTTTCTGCACCTAATTCTAGTATATCGAGAAGACTTTAGATATCAATGTAGAATATAAATTTGAAGAATTAGATTGACTAGATTTTCCATTTATTGTAGCTAGGTTTTTTCTCATAAATTCCATTAGGAACATTTTAGTCTATTCTGGATGAAAAGCCTCTTGTAAATCAGCAATAGCCACAGGATTACTCCTCTCCAGTATATGAAATCAAGCCAAGTAATCAGATCAATCGAAAAATATAGCGGCATATAATTTTTGCTTAATTTAGAATAAAGCTTCAATAAATTCTTCTCTATTACCAATTAGAAACCATATACCATGTAATACAGAGAACTGATGTTTCAGACTCGTTATCAGATGCATATATTTAGCAAATCATGTTTTTCAGAGGATTTCTGACGTTGATTGTCTCGCGGCAATGTCACTAAACTGACTTCATTAACATGAATTAGAAGGTGGCAGAATCGAGAATAGTGACTCATGTGTTATCATGTATTTTTGTTCGCGTTCCTATTCAGCAAAGGTACGACCGTATCTATCGGAATCTCTCTATCTCTTAAAATTCTCAATGTAGTGTGTTTTGCATTGATTTAAAGTTGATTTTTATTGAGAGTCGCGCGGAATTATCGCAAAGTCGATTTAAAAATCGTTAGGTCAGGCTGCATACGATAATAGATTTAAACAAAACTCACCTGCCTTGCACAAAGAAACTGGCTCGTGGGCACACTTTGCAAACTGAATTAATAAAGGCTAAGCCCAGAAACCGATCGGCGCTCATTTGCTTTCGACATAATCTTCATTGCATCTTTATTTCGTCTGAAACGTATACTCTCTTCTAAGTGCTAATTTAAGTAAATGCCAGCCTAAACTTTTTCACGTCAGGTCAAAATAGATTCCTTCAATAATAGAACCTGCTGGCTAATGGTATTATAAAGTAGAGTAAATTAGTGTTTATTAAGCTTTGATTCTAAAGGTGGTGATGAAGGTGAACGCAAATGTTGGAACTGCGCTGAATAGGAAAAGCCCTTTATAGCTAAATGTTTCCTTCGAATTGTAATACCTTCAATGGTTCTTGCCTCCGTTGGAAAAATGGTCTACATCTCAAGTAGTATAGAGCAAAGTTTAAAGTCACTGTAGCGGGGATAAAATGATCGAATCACCAAATACAGGTAATAATTAGGAACAAAAAGGAAGTACAGAACAAAAGAGAGACGGGAAAATAGTAATTGACTGGTTTCATGGGGTTTTGCTTTGGAAAAGTTTATACAAATATGTACAGCAAATAAAGTCTGGAATAAAAGGGAAGTAGTAAAATTTACAAGAAAATGTTAGATCAAAAAAAGAAAGAGAAAACAAACGAAGATATTTCAAGGCTTTATAACGTTCATTTATTCATCAAACTGTTGAATTTTGCATGTACGATATAATAAGTCAAAAAAGATCCATGTGAATGCTAAAGTTATCTTATAGACAATCAAATATGATTAAGCTTCCAACATTCTTGAGAAAGCAGGGTAATATAATTCTGGACACATGTACGCTAAAGGCGTATATTTTTACTACAAGGTAGTCCTTTAAATTTGCCCAGCACCGGTTGGAGTCTGTAGTTTAGCTATACATTTTTATGGCTAATACATTACAAATTACCCATAGAGCTTCACCTCTTTAGATCATTATTCATACCTTAAATGTATTCTCTTTAATAATTGACGGATTATTGGCGTTGGCTGTATTTTATGTGCACTGGGTTAATGAAAATTTAAAAATTTCAGTGAATATGCAAATCAAATTGCTTTTTGTTTCTTTACATCACTGATACATATATTAAGTTATGAAGTGATGACGTCATTAAAAATGATGTGATGACGAATTTTTAACTTGATACATGTGACTTATTATCATGAAACACATCTAGATTATTGAAACCCTCTAAAATAAGTTTTGGCACACAATGAAGTTCATTCTCGGCAGTTGCGAAAAAACGTCTTAGAAATAATAATAATAATATAATTATTTATACAGGGTTGCCTTTTCAGCAACAAAGGTGCTGTTATCAATAAGGGCCCTGTTTTAAAAATATACAATATTAGAAAAATCTAAACTTCAAGAAGGAGTTACTTACAATCAGAATCTTGAAATTAAAGCTTTAAAATCATTCTCTACTTTACAATCTCTCTTAAGATAAAAAAATGTTCTCTCAACTTAGATTTAAGAATAACAAGCGATTTCAGGGAATTTTTGTCTCGTGGAAGTTCGTTAAAACAGTACGGTCCTTGAAAGTAAAGGGATCTTTTCGCAGTTTCTGTTTTAACCAAAGGCAGTCTAAGCAATGATTTATTGTTTCTTGTTTCGTGTTGATGGTCAACATTGTCTGTGTAATTTCTGAGGGCTGGTATGCAAGTTCCTTGATGAAATTTGAACATCTGTACTGCAGCTTTCATCTTTTTTTGATGATTGATCGAAATAAGGCCACATCTGTTGTCTGCCTGCAATCCATATATTACTATTTATGCTCTTTTTGTACACTTTCAAATTTCTTCATCGTTGTATCAGAAACTTTGATAAATGGCTATTACTAGGCATGAGAATTTTAAATCTTTCTTGCATTGTGGGAACAGTATTACTCAATGGGAGGATAAAGGATTTATGATACGAGTGAATGAGCGTTTATGCCAGCTCTGTGGAAGTTTTAAAGTTAAAGGCTTTGAAAAAATTTTGAAAACTTTGAGAAAATTTAAAACTCTTAGAAAATAAGATGAAATTTCAAACATTCTTTTTTCTAGGTTTTTGTAACAATTAGTCTCCGAGACAATTTTTCTGACATCTGCAATATAGCCTTGTTATAATGTTTGTGGCGAGACTTAACAAACAAATTCAAATCAAATCCATTGTAGAAAATCACTACATGCCGAAATTTGTCTGGAGAGTTGAAGGTTGACAAAAGATGTCAGATGTAGAAGGAAAATTTAGGGACTTCGATTCTGTAATAACACCTTCTTGTTGAAGGGCAATTCGTCCACTTGATTCTTGGACGAGATAAACTAAGCTTTCCAGAGAAACAAAAAGCAACAGTAGCTAAAACTTGAGGAACAGTTAGCATTGGAGCCAAAAATCATTCAGCATTTGATGCCGGCAAAGTTTAAATGCTTGGCACATCACTTACTCTCAAAGCAGACATAGTGGCAGAAGTTGGAGTAGCTTTATTGGATAATCAACTGCAAGTATTTATGGGGCTAGAATATAAAATTCCTGATGATAATGTCTAAAACCTGAAGTACAAGCTTTTCAAGACATTGAGCCCTGTGGAAAAATTTGAAATTTTGCAAAAAAAAAGATTCTCCTATTAAGTGACAAGGAATCTTTTCCATTTCACGCAAAATTAAAATAAACGGATTGATCAAAATGAGTAACAGCAAAAATAGTATCCGCTCAATTTTAGCATATTTTGAGATTTTCCTTCACAAATTCGATAACCCACGTCTCAAAGCTGCTGAGAAAAGGAACTATTTAGTGTTGAGTAAGATTTCAGACAAAGGTAGAGAGAGCACCAGCTGTAGAAAGACATCAAAGAAATCTACTGAAAAAACCTCCTTTGCCTTTCATGTGTCAGTCTGAAGCAGCTGTTTAAAAATCGTTAGGAAGAATTGATTTATAGTTAGACTGATGGCCTGCTTATTCAATGCAGAAAACCATCGCTCTATGGCTATCATAAGAGTTCCACAAGTCTTGAATATGAATTTGTTCTTGTGAACATTTTTGTTGGTGCCCTAAGCCAAAGTTTTAGTTTTCTGGGTGGATGGAGCACTTTTTGTTAAAAGGCCCTACTCTATTTCGAAAGAAGGGGATGTAAAGAGATAAATGACCTTGGTAATAATTTGCAAAAATTAAATTAACACAGATGATTTTTTCATAGATATTGAAAGAAAAAGGCGACACCCATAAGTGAATTATTAATAGACAGTAGAAAGATTGAAGACGTGCGTTAAAATTGGTATAAAACATTATAAAAATTTAGTATATGCAACAGGAACTGCATGTCTGCTAAGGTATAACTAGAGAGAAGCGGATGAAAAGGAGAAGGCAATGCTTCCTTTTCCTCTAATTATATTCAGTGACTTTAATAGTGTTCTTGTTCTGTTTAGTTTCCTGCGCCTTATTTCTTATCTTGTTTATCCATGCACACCATGCAAATATTGAGGCTCAAAGTCACTGAAATTTAAGAATGATTTAAAAGCAATGCAAGTCTCAAGCTTTACCAAGAATTATTTTTTTGTTTATTTGAATTTGTTGGAATGCAAAAAAATTTTGTATGCCTTGAAATTGAAGTATCTGGCCGTGAATTGATTAAAGCTATAACGCAACCCGGCTACACCATATGTCGCTTAAGAATAATTTTAGAATAATCTTAGGCCAAAACTGAAATAAATTGAGCATATTGAGGCTTAGCAGCAAAATTGGAATTCTTATATTAAATGGTGTGTTGAGCATCTAATAGGGCACAAATAGGTCTTATTTTTGCAGATTTTTAGAGAGCAGTTTTTCAGAATTTTCAGAAAAATAATAAAAGAATTGGAAACTTATGAGCACTTTTGATTTACAGAAATCGAAAAAATTATGCGAAGGCATAGCTCTTCAAAAAACAGTTGGCTCTGTTAATGACGTAGAAGCGCCTGGGCAGAGGCACATGATAATCCTAAACTATTCGTCCATATATAGGAGATAGGATTTCATAGTGAAACACAGTCAGCTGTTGGTTAGAGCAAAGCGGTAAAACACCTGCGGGGCTTATGAATAACGGAGATAACTTATTTCAATTAGATGCAGTCAGTGTCTCATTTAGACAGAAACAAAGTCAGAAGCATGGAGAAAAACCTTGTGCCAATAACTCAAATCAAATCAGGTCAGTCTATTAAACTAAGATGAGTTTGCCTGTGTTTTTTGCTGAACATCTTGAAGTAGTTTATTCTCTTGGCTGTTAGGTTGACGCACAGAAGTCAGAAGCTAGAAAGACAGCGTCTTGCGTTGTTGAGTAGCCTTGTGGGCAGAAGAGCATCGAGAAAGATGTGAGCCGTGTCTTTGCGTCTACCAAATCTTTTCTGTTAAGGATTGAAATGCGTTGCGCTTCTCAGGCTATTCAATAAAGTAGTAGACGATTCAATGAATTTCTTTTTAAATTATATACTGTTGAAGTACGACTGAATGAATATTAGAAATAAATGGTTACTAGCTTGGCTCTGATTTTAATTTTGTCGGACGTAAAAAGTAGTCACTGGATTAGTACAAAATTGGTTCAGAAAATCAGTTAAATGTTCCTTTGGTTGTCTTTTCAGTGACATTCTTTTAAAAAGCACTATCGCCTAATTTAAAATTTCACTTTGAGTAGAGTAAATATTAAAATGTAGGTTCATGACTATGGCTCACCTTTTAATCTCTATTCGCTTATGAGATGGAAGAGTTTAAGATTAAAATGGTTTTGGACATGTCATTGCTAATAAGGTAACATGAATTCTCTATGTTTTGTAAATTTAGTAACATATTTGTTGACTGTAAGGTGAATATTGTGTGCAGATGCTTTTGCCTTCCATACACCCTTATGACTTGAATCAAAGCTAAACACAAAACCGGAGGCATATCGTTGTATTCGGATTGGTATCTTGTAAACATTTTTATGGGTGTTCCAAACACTCACCCTTTAGTAAGGTACCGGTTTAAAGAAGAAATTTGTGAAGAGAATCTTTAGCATCTCAAACTAATTGCTATACATGCAAATAAAGTTTTATATCAGAAGACTACATATACTTGATAACTGCTTCGCTTGCAGCTCTACGTAAATCATGCGATTAAATATGTCTTGTTAATTGTGGATATGAATACATGAGAGGATTAGGTCTATCTACAGATCTGGCAGGAACGTGTCCAAACCCTTTCCTGCTACTTTTCTCAGCTCTATCAGTTTTAGAGAGGTTTTACTTTACAATGGATCTCTAAATTGAATTGTGGTGCTTATGAGGGCATTGGTATACCTGTATATTGTAGCAGAAAATTACAAATTGTAACGAAAATTGATTTTGCAAAAAATTAACCAATCCACTACATTCTCGGGCACTTAAATCATGGGTCTGATGCCTTCCACCCTTATAAAACGTCTGTAAATTCTAACTGGTATTCATGCTTTAAGTTTCCGTTTTTGATAAGATTTTATAAAGACTCTGGACTAAGTTAACGCTACACTTGTACTTTAAACCTGAGAAAAATATATAATGAGACTGACCCGTATGAAACTTAGCATAATCCAGTTTGTGCAGCTTAGAAGTTCTAATAGCATGAATTTGAGTCTCGCAATGCACACTGGGCAGTAAAACCATCAAGAATTACGTAATGTAGACAGTAATGGATAGACATCGCAAACTGGCGGAAAAGCAGCAATTTAAGACTGTCATTACAAAACATGTTCATTTTGTTGCGAATGTGTTTAAAACACTTAAGTGTTGAAATCGATTCTGACTTCAGTTCTATCCAGAGTTTTAGTTATCACAGAAATCTCAAGGTCATAACATATAGCAAACAAATGCTGCCTTCAGAATTGCGTTTTTAACAATTTAAGTGAAGTTACTTTCATTTCATGTTAATTCAGAAACATTTGTACGTAAAGATAACAGAAATGATAAACGATATTCTCTTCATCAGAAGACAAAAGATAAAGAATAGGCTAGCGTGCTAGATTTTGATTACACCACTTCTTCGTTATCACTTGGCTTTATTCTTTGAAGATTTTCTTTTCTCCTAGTATCCAACAGAGCTATTCTACGCTTAAGTCTTAGCGTGATATTGTCGGTAATAGCTGTTAGCAGATTGTTTAGGCTAAGTTCATTTTTCATTCAAGCCTAATCGTATCTGCTTTCGACTAGAAAATGCTACTTGGTTGATTATATAGTTTCTCTATAGTACCTACAATCACTGCCAAAAGTTTTGAAAAACACTAACGTAGGTTTTCAAAGACAAATTCAGCCATCAACTACAATCCCGGGAAAAATCGTTGAGGATGAGATGCAAGAAAAGTTTATATTTTCTCTTTCCTTTGCGAAATAACTTTCTCCCCACTTTCCCAACTCAGTGTTGAACGCATATTCTTGAAGCACAAATGATAGAATTGAGACAAAAGATCTAGGGATTGTAGATCTGGGGTGGTTAACTCTCGGCTTTTGGCGGTCTTCAACGTGGTCATTGGCTATGTGACCGACAATTTAACGACAATTCCTGTGTTAGCTGTAAATGTTCAATCTCACTAGTATCTTATGTGCTTGAATAATTTCCAGTCCTCATTTGATTGTCTAAGTATAATGACTCTCGACATAATTTTCCACCAGGTCGTCTTCTCAATATACCTTGTGCAGTGTGTGGTGATAATTCTTCTGGCAAGCACTATGGCGTTTATGCATGTGATGGGTGCAGTGGATTTTTCAAAAGAAGTATTCGAAAAGATCGGTATGTCGTTGATATGTTTTATGGTTTAGCCCGATATTATGAATTAGTATTTTGGATTTTGCCTGGTGATTGCTCTAAGCATAAGATTTGGGGCGCCCTAAGAAATTAATGAGATGGATTGAAGAAAAAAGCACTTTTAGAGAGTTGATCCTTTGTCGACATCATTATTTGCCATTTGGGACAAAAATTATGTCGCTCTGAAATGTTTCAGAACACAATATTAACTTTCACAGTCGCAAATAATTGTGAGTTGGTTTATTTCAATAACGTCTTACAATGGAAGATTTTATGACCACCCACATCAGACATTTCTTTTACTTTAGCTAAATCCTCTAGCTTTAAAGCCTTTGTGTAGCTTTTGCTACATTGAAGCTGCAAATTTATCGATCATCTCAAATATTTTTGATGCATCTTCCTGAAATACAGGCGATATACATGTCGACAAGCTCAGCATTCAAAAGACAGCATCGAGGCAGGCAGCTCTGTTTTATGTCCAGTTGACAAAATGCATCGAAACCAATGCAGACATTGCCGCTTGCAGAAATGCTTTCAAGTCCGGATGAACAAAGACGGTTGGTTGCCTGTTCAATTTATTCAGTACTGAATAGGGCTAAATAGGACCATTGCCAGAGGTAAAAATTAACCAGCCAGTTGCCAGTAAAAGAGATTTATCTGCAATAAATTCAAGATGGTAGAATATGTAGACTACATGGGAACATAGAAGCCAGGCAACGTGCGCCAGTCAAAAAGTTGGAGGTCTTACAGGTCCTTGCCCTAAAATGTTTTGAGGCCATGCTCTTTAGAACGCCGGAAAACGTCCCTGTTAGAAAATACTTGCTTATTTTCACTTATCATTTATAGACAGTCTGACTCATAGAAAATATCACTTACTATAAAAATAGATAGAATTAGATTGAAGATAATTAAACACCAAGCAAAACAAGCTAGAGTATACAACATAACACAAATATGCATCATTAAACAAGATTAAGCACAAAGAAAATCATTTGAAATTTGTCCGGATTTGCTAAGATGTTGTTTTCCTGAGACACTCGATTACTTCCTATTTGCCTTTGCCACATTGCCACCAGCAAAACTGCATAGCTGAGAACCCCGCATATATTGAACAATAGGGGCCCAAGGATTGAGTCTTGAGGAATATATGATTCTGTACAGTTGCAGTCACTAATAGTACTGCTTAACCCCTTCAGTGACTCATCATAATGATTTTGGTTAGTAACAATGTTAAATCAATGACCCAGAATATGTTTTCGACCCCAGGCCTCGCAATCCTTTAAACCACGGCTGATGCTCAAAGTTTAAGGGTTCAAAGCTCCAAACAGCAATGGCTATTGAGCAAAAAGACATTACATCGAAGACATTCAGTTAGGAAAAGGCGCTTCTTACCTACTTGACAAGAAGCGTACACATTACCTCTTGCTTGCCTCTGTGGTTCTAGCATTTTCAGTGTTTCTTCTGTGTAACTAAAAGCATATAAATAGCCTTTTTTCTTGTTCAATTCAACCGTTTATAATCCTTTGCAACATTACAACCAATGTCATTTCTAATAAATTTTTCATTTAGCTGTCCAGCATGAACGGGGACCGAGAAATTCCACCTTGAAAAAACAACAACTACAGACATCAATATCTCGGCCCAGCTCCTCAAGCTCGCTGGCAATTAGTCACTTTGGAAACAGCTACGTCACATCTGACATCATGAATGCCCTTTTAAAGGCTGAACCAAGTGGCATTGGCAAAGGAAAGAAAAGTCATTGCATTGAAGACATATTATACGACAGAAAATATGAAAAGGTGAGGAGAATAAATCAATTCATAAAATATGACTGTTTGCCCTACTTTGATTATTAAAGGCCATCATAAAGCTCCGAAGAGGCACGCTTTGTGTCCTGGGAAATTATTTGTAGAATCCTGTGAATTCGGTTATGAATAATAGACCATTATATCTTGTGATAAAAAGGAACAGTTATAGAGCAGTACTATCACCACATAAAAATAATAATAATAATAAACAATTTATTTAGAGTTGGCGAAAAAACTAGCGTTTAGCTAATTAAGGTCAACTATACAAAATGTACCATTTTCAAAATATATTAATTACAAAAACCTAGATTTGGAACAAAATTTTTGCACAATTTGCAGCTGCAGTCCAAAGTTTTGATGGACTTAATATTTCTTTTAAATATTTCTAGTGATTGGGACTCTTTTAATTTCTTTTGGCAAAGTCTGCCATAATTTTTGACCAATAAATCTGATAGTATCAATACCATATAAATTCGTCCTAGCCCTCGGCAAAACAAGGCTATTACCGCCACGAAGGGCATATGGTACATCTTTAGTAACGAATATGTTCGCCATAAAAGACGGATTCAAGTTGTTTATGGTTTCATATATCTCTGTTAGGAGCAGCTGCAAATTCTTCTGGTGAATAGATACTGAGTTGCTTTTAGTTAAAAGTTTCATGAAATTATCTGAGAGGTAAACAGAGTAAATCATACATTGAGAACCATTCCCTTTCTTTTACAGAGGTCTGGGAACGAATCACAGTACAGTGAGCAATGGCTTAATGAATCGGCCGCAAGACTGCTGTTTCTTGTCGTTCAATGGGCGCGCCAACTCCCGATGTTTCTAAGCCTTTCTCTCAGAGACCAGGTGATCTAGGCAGAAACGTTATTCATTTTACTGTATGTTAAATTGAACCAACAATTTGGAGTACCTCCTATCGGTCTATTGCCAGATGCTCCTAAAAAATGTAAGGAAACAGTTTTTCACGTGACATGTATGATATTTGGCTGAAAATAGAAAATAATTGCAGAGCCTCTGCTAGCTATTGTCCTCAAGGGAGTTTTCAGCCCTAATGTTCCGACAAGAAGGCTGTGCTATCCTTTACTTTAAAAAAACTCGTCGTTTCGTGATAGAATATCTTTAAGGGGGTATCGGTATCACCTCACGATTGAGACCCTCCAAGGCAGCAAAAGTGGAAGCATAAAGAAAAAGTGGTAGCCCCTGGGCAAATCTTTCTTCTTTTCACCCATGTACAAAATATTGCAGCTCTGATAGTGGAAAAGTACACTGGGTTCCAGAGCATCAAGTAGGGTGTTTAAGAAATAGGGCGTTGCTGGAGAGAAGAGAGCACATCAAGTGGGGCGTTAGAATCTGCATCATAAAATATCTTTTTCTCATGGAAAATTTTAAGAAATAAGTTAGAAATGAAATAGTGTTTCAACTCATATGATCTTGTCCAATGATAAGAAAGTCAGCAACTACGTAGTATGAAATCGGAAATCCTACTTCTTATTACTTTCGATGTAACTTTAACATGACAGATTAAATTCCTATTCAATAAAAATCGAGCTTCACAAATCAGTTAGAATAAGGACTCTCAATGGTGTGAGCTGAGAAGACATGGACTTTAGATTATCCCAGCGTTCAAATGTCAATGGTGAATGGGCGGCAGAAAATCAAGGGCGAAAATGACTGTTTTTAGTGTTTTCTTCTCGCTTTTTGCGCTGGCTCCTATCCGGACTCCATGATGTTAAGCATTAACTTTTAGACCTGGCCGTCAGAATCTTTGGCCTTCTGTTTTTTGCGGTATTACACTGTAAGTTAAGACTTTGATTCTATTCAACACACCCTACAAGACAGTTTTTGAACACTTTAAATTGAAAAAATGTGTTTCGATCGAACAAGATAGCGATAGATCCCAGTTTTATTGTTACAAACCATGAAATTCCTGTTCGATCCAAAGAGTATTCGAATAAAAAAGATAAAAATTTCAACATCCACAGCAATTGCATGTCTCACTTTTGCTAAAATCATATGTCTCATCCTCAATCACAACTTCATTACAATCGTCTCGACATTAATAATGTTCGCAGAAAGTAGTTCAACTTACTCTAATTATTTATTCTGGAGACAAGAATTAATCGTCATTATCTTCTGTGAATTGAAGATTTTTCAAAAAAATTGGTTTTTATCTAACCTGGGCCCTTCATGCGTCTTCATGTCCCATGACCTTTCAGTTTAAAACAAATGGAAGACTGTTTCGGGCCTGCTAAGGGCATCAAAGTAATTTCAGATAGTTTCAAAAAGGCATTTCGAGCAGGGACTCTTTATAAAAAGCTTGATGATCACACAATCAGCAGCAAACGCTCTCATGGGACCGTTGTACTATACGGAAATTAGGCATGATTATCATGATTATCAGATACATAGAATGTTGATTTCTACAAGTTTGATGTCTTGGTCCCATTCTTTTCACTTGTAAATCCTCACTCTTTGAAGAACGCGTCAAGCAAAAGTGAATCAATTTTTTTAATTCTTCATAGACGAAGGTTTAACATAAGGAATTCATTATTCAAAATATTTATTATTGAATCATCTATATCAACTTTTATGAATTGAAGATCCTTTTAGAGAGACTAAAAAAGAAGTCTACAACCTTTCGTAACTGCTAATGCCAAATTCATGAAAAATTTCCTGCTTCCTTATCATCAATAAGCCAAAATGAAAATATGATTTAGTAGCAGGAAGTCCAGATAAAAGCATTCTTTCTTTCAATATGTGTCATTCATTTTATGAGCCGTCTACCATTAAGGTAAAAAACTGGTTTGGTTTTTCTGGAGGCTTGAAGAGTGCAAATCTTTGAACAGAACAATTTCTAAATCCTTCTTAAAAGATTCCGTTTAATACAAATTGTCCTAAATTTATCACATAGCTTCTTCCATTCCAAAAAACAGCCAAAATGGTTCAATATATCACAATTTTCTTCTCTTCGTACACACTACTGTTCCTTTTTTAGTTTCCTGAGAGTACCACATTACTCGTTTGGTTAATGCAAATTCTTATATAGCCAGAAATAGTAAAATTGCCTTTCTGCCTGCAGATATATCTTCTTGAAGAGAGTTGGACCGAGCTATTCACCCTTGCTGCCTCACAGTGGCCACTCTTACCCAGTCCTCTGGTTACAGCGGCAATCAAGGGCAATCGGAGCGAAGATGCTATCGAAACTGTGCATGCATTTGATGAGATCATAGAAAGATTTCATTGTCTTAGAGCTGATACCAGTGAATACTCTTGCATCAAAGCTATTTGCTTATTTGAGCCAGGTAACACTCTAATATTATGCAAGATATCAACACAATGGACAGCTATTGATTGGCTGTTGGGTATTCTCCGTAAAATCTAACAATTCAGGTTGCTAGAATTGAGTTTCGAAGGCCTATTTTGGGCATTTTTACCAAACCCTTGTTTTTTAAATCCAAAGTGAAGAATTTTTCAGAAAAAGACGTAAAGACATGATTAAAAGATCAATTTATTTCCATACTTTATATTAAATCTTTAAGTGTACCTAAAAAACACTACAGTTTTCTTCCTAATTGTTTTTAATGAGATATTTGCTATATCTTCTAAGTAAAGAAGTTAAATTTCTGAAGCATCACTGAGGTAAACTTTAATATCACAGTTAGCAAAATTGATATGCTTTCGTGGGCCAATGACAATGTTCTCTTCACGAGGTTGGAAAGATTTTGTCCGACTGGGCTTACATCAGAAATGCCAACAATATAATTTCGGTTGTCAAGGAGAGGCAAATGTATTTGATGAGGTAAAATAGGATTGAGTGCAAACGATAGATGGTCTAGTAACATTTCTTTAACTTTCAGCAACCTCAGGCTTAACAGATGCAAGATCAGTTGAGGTGATTCAAGATCGCTGTCAGACAGCTCTCTCTGACTACATTCGTGCGCAGCATCCTTCTGATTCACGAAGATTCGGAAAACTTTTATTGCTGCTAACAAATCTGCGAAGAATCAATGGAAAGTACATTCAAGATATGTTTTTTGAAGGGACAATCTGTTTGAGAAGAATCAATGGAAAGTACATTCAATGATATGTTCTTTTCCGGAAAACTTTTATTGCTGCTAACAAATCTGCGAAGAATCAATGGAAAGTACATTCAAGATATGTTTTTTGAAGGGACAATCGGTGATGTACCGGTTGAGAGTCTAATTTGTGATTTAATAAAAGACGTATAAGTAAAACTGGTTGCGCCAAAATGTTGGCCCGGAAAATGCCGATTTGTCAATATAGGACTTATTTATCTGTATTGTGACGTAGTCATTTTTAAGAGTAATGTGAATCGCTGTATAAATCTTAACGTTGATTTCGGTTATTCCGTAAATTTATTCAGGTGCTGAAATTATCGGGCAATGACAGAAAGTTATATGGATAGAATAGTATTACTGTTATCGTTAATTCTCAGATCAAGATTATGTACCAGATTCTAAATAATTACTCGCTATTTGATGCTAATACATCGTTCCACCCAAGTTTATACTATTTCGTGACAAAGGCAGCTGCAAAGATTTCTAGCACTGTTTTTAGCATAAAATCTCCCTTAACTGTGTATTAACCTAATCTGTCTTCAGGTCACCTGATAACAAAAAAATTACTTCTACAAATTTTGCCTTTTAACAGACAGCATGCTTTACATCGAGGTATCGTTACATCACTTTGGGTAGAACAGTATGGAGATAAGGCGAAAAGATCTTTTCTTAGTAGAAAGGGAGAGAGTGCAAAAATAGAGGAGAGAGGAGAACATAGATCACTTATGGTCGTCTCTCTTGAATACGACATTATATTTTCCATTTCACAACCCTCTTCTCTTTTTTTCACTATTCTACCCTTTTCTCCTTAAAAATTCTCCCTTCTCAATTTGGGAGCCTTTATGTTGGAAGCAATAGATCTTCAAAAAACTATCCTGAAATCCCCCCAGGCAATTTATTCTCTAGGAACACAACTTCAAACTTAACAATGGTCGAGCAATAGGAACAAATGTTTTATTTCAGAATTGCTTTGTTAAAGGAATACTGAGGTTCAGATTCATCCAAAATAAGGAAATATTTAAGGGCATCTTGCACGAAGGAACATCTTTATAAATCTAGTGACAGAAAAAGATATATGAAGATTAGTTCCAGTGATAAGATATGGACACAAACGATTGTTTTGCCGAAAGAACAGAATAAGGGTACATTGCTTTCTATTCAATAGTGAAATCTACTTTTAGTCAAGATAAAACAAACTCCTTTTAAGGATTGGGTTCCCAGCTTTGGACGAATTTAGTAGCAAGCTGTTTCTAGATTTCTCTAATTTTTCAGTCTTCAAATTATAGGAGTGTTTCAAATGAGTGTCGTTAAAATTGTAGGTACAAATTTTTTGACCGAGATCTGGAAATTGCATGTGATGCTGACTTAATGACTGATGTTATAGTTTTAAATCTTTTACAGCATTTTAACTGGCAAGTGTCAAAAGTATGAAATGTTCAACTATCAATTTCTATGTCTTTTAAACTATCAATTCATTTATAGTATCTCTAGACTATTTATCACAATAAATTCGTCATAGAGTGAGAACAGTATTTGAGAAAATATACTAGTACATATAAAGTCATGCAAAGTTATCCTCCTAAGTGAGTGAAAACGTGATGACGTTTAAAAATGCCATCTCTTGATAAAATTTTCATCGTGGGCTCTATTGAGAAAATTTTCATTTATGATATAGTTTGCATATTTTAGCATATTTTTTTAGAATAAACATGTAAGAATTAATTTGTCACCGCTAATTCTAGGGTCCAAAAACATGTATGTAAACCACAGTTTGCCATATTCTTATTATAAGCCATATTTTCAGTAGTTGGATAATGGGCTCAAAAAATATTCTCAATAATCCCATGACGATATACATCCCCTCCGTATAAAAAATTTGAAAAAAGCCTGAGAAAGCTGGAAATTTTCCGTTTGATAATGACCAAAAAAACAATATTTATCCAGGCAAGGATCGAAAGGAAAAGGAAGGAAAAATTGTTGCGTTTGATAGGTTCAGTGTTTTCGACCAATCAGGAAATCAGGTGGTTGTGGGATAGCTTCCCTTTGTTTTGGTGAACAATATATACCTGAAATAGTTTCAGGAAAGTGGAAGACTTGTGCATACAGACATTCATCTTAAGTGAGAGATGACGTCACGAATATCAATTTGAACAATATAAGAAATATTGATTTTGAACAACATTACCATTCTAAAATCTATGAACTGGAGACAACAGTTACCCATTGGTGAAGATCCTCCGTCCTTTCGCTTGCTATATCTCAGTAAACAGGCCAGAGATTTAGTTTGTTTTGCATGTTCAGATGTATTTCTAGATTGTTCTTGAGTTTTTGGTCAAAAGCCAAAGTTTTTATAAGTGAATGATGTCAGTCTTCGGAAGTTGATCTTATGACATCACACTTAAAAATACTACATGTTTTTAATCTTCCGGGCTATTTTATAATTTTGTAATGCAAAAGATTCATTAAGTAAAAGAGATGTGAGCATTTGTACCACAAATCATTTAGAGCCCGATTTTTTAATGCGGTAAGCAATCTTTGCATTGATCCCCAAATGGCTATGCTCAAGTCTTGAAGAATTAGCATCCTTGTCAAATATTTTTTAGATATGCCTTGAATAATATAATGATAAAAATTAGGACCAAAGGTTCGGCTGATATTGGTGAAAGTAATATGAAGATTTTGCTTAACGCTTATGATTTCACAGAAATAATGTTTGGTTTTTTTCGATATTTGTATGGTATAAAATTATAATTTGTATTTCTAAAAGAATAAGGTAATAAAGCGGTGACTTTGTTTATAGATTTTGCGTTATGTCCCTTCAAATTTGACAACTACACCACTGATCACTATCAAGTTGATGAAAAAGGATATATACATTGAGCGTGTATGTTAATGTAAAAATTGGGTTACTGCTAAAAACTCTACAGGACCCTGATTTTAAAGTAACTGGTTATGTCAAGGCTTCAGCTCAAAGAAAGTTTTTAAAGTCGTTTGAAATGATAGTTTTGGGAGGGGGAAAGTTTTGAAATTGTCTATAGCCGTGATAGACAGTGATAGATGATGATGTAATTACTGAAACAAATATCTAATAGCTTCTGATCAGCATTTAGAACCAGTTTTCGGTATACACTCTTTTTTATAAGAGCCAGTAAATTTAAGTTCAGGCTGGCTGCTCTTCATTTTTTCGAAAATCTTAGGCTGGATTGTTCTAAATTTGTTTTCAAAAGCTATTGCCTTCTAGGGCCTCGTTTGCCAACAAAATGAGTGAGATATTCTTAATTTGCCGACATGTTTCAAAATTCACCCAAAAAACACCCTTAGATGACACAAAACTCCTCTTGTTTGAGGTGAAACATTGTTCAAAATTACTTTTTGCTGTAACTCAGCTTCAGCTTGTTTTTAATTTGTTCTCAACTTTAGACCCAACGTGCTCTCAATTTTGAGGCAACGTGCTCTCAAGATACAGTGTACTTTACTTTTCCAATATTTCCGCCGGTAACCATAAATACTCACGTGGATAGTACAAGGAAGCTGAGAGTTCCTGTCACGATGACCGAAAAGGATATTGAATATAGCACCCTTATTCGAGGGAACACAAAATTTTCTCGATCGTCTAATGTTTGTTTTATGAAACTTTCACCTCAATTCAATGCGTATAATAATGATAGCAATAACTAAATAGAGATAACTTTTTTGTGCTCATTAAAATATACAATACATTGCAATAAACTATCGTACAATAACGCTACCACAGAGGGGCATGGAATATCTGAACAACCTAAACTCTATTCCAAAAATGATGCTGGGTGAGACACCCAGGGAGGGTAGATATAGAAATAACTAAAAGAAGGGGTAAGCTCGTTTTTCGTATGAGGAAAAATTGAAATTGCCAGGGAGTAAAATTTGCAGGGTTTTGACTTCGCGTACAATTATTTGGAGCGTTGTAGGAACTGAACGGGTTAAGTGCAATTTTTAGATCTCAAGTCTCTTCTTAGGTTTTGGCAAGAAAACATTTCACAATTATACCAGACTGTAAGCAGCAGTGTAGTTATCTAAATGAGTTATCTAAAATTTTACAAGATAAGTACATTATTCCTCTGCCTAGTGATTGTTTATCATAACATTGGTAGTTTTGTGGGAGTAATAAATCACTTTTCCACATACATGTTAAACAATAGATTTTCCTGTTGCGTGTCAGTGATGTTCCTCTTGTTAATCTGTAATCCGTTACCATGCCATTTTTCATTAGTTGCCATCACTTGTTGTCAGCGTCCTATTGTCTCTTGGTCATGTGTTTTTCATTATATTGCCATGCTGTTTTATGTTGAGGCAGTCGTTAGTTAAAGCCGTCAAGGAAAGTCGTTATATTGAGTCGTAGTGTAAAGCCGAGAAGTAGAGTCGTGTCGAAGCCGTTCCGTTTTATGAAGTTGCAGTTAACCGTTAAATACAGTACAGTGTACCCGCCGAACATTATTGCCGCCGACGAATATTGCTTGTAGTATTAAATTGCTGAACTATTGCTTATGGTTTATATCGCTGATTATACATATATTCTGGTTCTTGTTGGAATTAACTGTTGTTTCTTTTGTACTGGACTAACCAGGGCAACTGTAAAATAGTGTCGTTTTACATACAGACATTGCGTCATTTATTCGTCACTGTTCGCTGGAAAAAGATTAATTTCGATTGATCATGTGACCTTTTCTTTTCATCAACGAATCTCGTGACGTCATACCAGGGATTGTTCGGTTTGAAGAAGGAGGCGACAGACGCACTTGCTGGATTGCAAATACGCTCGGTTGCTCTGAAAAACAAGTGTGTTCTGCAACAGGAGTGGGGTTTTAGCTGGAAAGCGATCCAGGTAATACTCTCAGAGGGTTCTGGAATAATTTTAAGAGATTCGTTGTGGAATCGTGTCAAAAATAACTTTTCAATGTCTGCACGACTGGACGGGACATTATCGGTTGATTTAACTTCATTGGCCGACAATGATGCGAGTGATGGCGACGAACTTCATGGCAAAAACAGCGAATTTGATCATGACAAGTCGGTGCAAGATGAGGATGACCAAGTATTTTCACGAAACAACAATTTGGTATTTAAACCGAATGATTCAAACGGGTTGTTAGGGGAGGCACAGCTTTTGTCGGCCCAGAATTACGATGCGAGCAAAGCAATACGCGCGTCGCTCACTTCAGGTAACTCTAATCTGCAAACACCCAACAGGCCTAATGATGGCATACAAAATGGCGGCGGGCTAGAGAAATCATCGTCTCCTGCAAACGCTTCTTCAACCAGTTCATCAGGGACTCCAAGACGGCCTTCTTATACATCAAAGGCTCCAAGTGCACTAAATACTCTGCCGGGCATAACTATTAGCGAATATTCTCCTGTCAGGTCAAACTTTGATGACGCCCATAACCAGAGTTTAAATCAACTGAACAACCAAGCTTCATCTCGGAAACACTCGCTCCCTTCCTTACATCATGCACAATCAAGCAAAGAACCATGTATGCTTCCTTCTCAATCAAGCTTCGATGAAAGCTTGGATGGATATTCTAACCCAGGGACACCGTCATCTGTCAAAACAGACAGTCCTGCGCCAAGTCCAAGTGGAGCACAGCCAGGGCACAAAAGGGCGCACGATATTAGAGAGAGGAACAGAGTTTCATTTAAAGTAAAATGGGATGAAGCTGCAAAGAGCGATATCATTCTTGTAAGGTGCAGGGATACAAATGCAGAGCTTCATAAAAGTAGACTTGGTTCTGGTTCAAAAGGCAAATGCATAAAGGTATTGATTCCTTATTGCTGCCCCTATCAAGGTCAATAGTTGCAAGTTGACTCTTCAAAATAGCCTTTATAAATTATAGGGGTATATTGGTTATATATTCGCAAAGACACATTGAAAGTTATTGCAAAATCCAGAACAGGGAATTCTTTTTTTACGATGGGGGCAAAATCTCCAAAACAAGCAACTTTGCTGACAAATGACAAAATTTACTGACAAAAATGGTAAAAACTGTGTTTTGACTGACAATTTAGCAAAAACTTAGGGGCTTTTGCCCCACAATTTCTGCCCCACAACAGCATTGTGCATTCTTCTGGTGTGAGAAGTTGGCAATCACTGGCTTGAATTTTTTTTCTGCCATGTGCTACAGATCATATATACCTGTATATTTTTCCAAATATTCATGCATGCTATAAGTAAAGCATCCTTGTAAAAAATTTTAGAACAAGCCTAACATTGCAATCTAGCTCAAAGTAAGATATTTTTGTCACTGCTCTTTGAGGATTTCCTAAAATCAATATATATATATTCAAATATTTTCACATCAATTTCTACCATTTTTTCAGCACAAAATGACTGTTTTACTTCTTTTGTTATATATATATTCATCATCTTGATAAATTTCTTCCCAGGTTGATGACCAATGGTTTACACCCACTGAATTTGAACAATTTTCTGGACGTGGAGCATGTAAGGATTGGAAGCGAAGTATTAGATATGCTGGGCAGACTTTGCATCGTTTGATTGACGATGGCATTATTGCCCCCCATGCTGTTTCTTGTACCTGTGGAATCTGCTGTGGTGAGGAGATGGTAAGTTTTTTTCTGAGAATGTTTATCATTAAGCACATATTTTTTTATAATTGTTTCTCAAGATCTATGTTATTTACTGTTCAGCAGTAACTCTTCTCTCTAATAGAAGATATAATGATAAAAAATTCTACTTCTTCTCTTTGCTATAACACAAGCTTCCAAATAATTTTTATATATATATCGTAAATCCTCAAATTGCTCCCCCCCCCTTGAAACCCCCCCTCGAATAAGCCCCTACCCTAGAACTACAAATTGTCAATAAGCCAAATAAGCCCCCACTGCTACTGTAAATTCTCGAACTGGACCCCTCCATTTGATGATTTTTGCCATCTGAGGTTGCCTATGACGTTTTATTGAATTACCACAACAAATTCATACTACTGGTAGTAGTTAATTAAATGCTCATAAAGAATTTCCCACTAGAATAAACAAGGTCTTTTAATAATGTCTTTTTAATGTCTACAATAATTTTATAAGCACCCACCTCGTATAAGCCCCCCCCCCTCGAATAGGCCCTTATCCAAAAATATCAAAAATAAATAAGCCCCCAGGGGGCTAATTCGAGGATTTATGGTATGTATATATATATTGTATATTACCTCCGAAGAGCTCTAAGTTTCCTAAAAATTCAGTTTAAGAAAAGCTTGCTTAAGAGAGATTCTATTGTATCTCTTTTGTTTCATTTGGCTAAACTTTCTATATACATATTGTACCAAGTACAGTTTCCTCCATATTTTGTTTTTTTTGGCATATTGTGGCAGGAAAGACTTATGGACCACACTTTCAGTTTCCTTGTGTATAACTTATACTATCTCTTTGGCACTTCTGAACCATGTCACTAGTGCTGCTATTCAAACAGATAAAGTCATCAACAACTTTAATAATGTTGCTTTTTGATCAAACTTTTAATACTGTGGCTTATTGAACAACTTTTTTCTTGCAAAGCTCCAAAACTTTTTGTAGTATATTATACTTTTTTTAGTTATTTGCAAGGTAAGCTGTGAATTGCTTGCCTTGTTATAGAAAGGAAACAAAACAAATGCTGAATTTAATTGATACAGAAATGCAAATAATTATTGAATCTGTAAAGGCCCTATTACACTAGCGCGCAAACTTGAAGCGGTGACTTTCACTATCACATTCTCTCGTTTTCCGCGATCACAGAAAAAATGTGAAGCAAATTGTGCCTGAATGTGATAGTGTAATAGGGCCTTAAGGCATCTTGCTAATCTTTCAGAAATGAGTAATACCCTGTTAACATAGGGCAAAAGTAACAGAACCAAGGTCTCAATTGATTTGCCTCTATGCTGCCAAAAATAAAAGGGTTAGCAATTGCAGTCCAATGGCTAATGAAAAAGGTGTTTGAGTGATTCACAGCTGCTGAGGGAAGTGTAGGGCAGGTGCAAGGTATTGCTCACCTCAAAAGACCTATCTGGCTCAAGAAAATTATAGTGTCTAATAACAAGGCTTGAAAAATAGTGTTTTTCTTATTGATGAGATCAAACTTTAATGTCATCAGGTTTCTGAACTTTTGACTCATGTGTGAGTGTCATTATACATACTGGTGCTATTCAAAGATTCCATTCTTGTCTAATTATAAAGTATAAAACAGCTTTTCCATGAAAATCTATTTTTTGTAAAATTTATTTATATATTTTCTCTGTTTTCTATTAATATCACATTGCCATGGAAACACTTGTTCATGAAATTTTCATCTTTCAATTCAATGTACACAAGACTCTAATGTGGTTAGATCTGTGATCAATTTATAACTCAGTGGTTTTCTTTGAAGTGAATTTGTTAAGTTTTATTGATTAAGTTTTAAGATTCATTCACTAAATAAGAATTTTTTTGTTCATATTAGTCAAATTTCAAAAGAATTTTGTGATTCATCACCTTTTGTTTTTTTGAAATGAGATTAAAATGATTTGCCCCATCTTTCCTTTTTACGTTTATGCTGGGTGCTCAATAAGACTATTGATTTTCTTTCATTTTTTCAATTTATTGTTCAAGCCAGCCTTACATGCCAGTGTATTTTGCTTCAATACTCTGTTTCCTTTACATTTCCATACTCCATTTTAGCTAACATGATGATTATGAAACTGTTCCCTTGGTCATTTCTGGCTGCATAGACACTACTCCCTTGGTCTCAGATTTAACTTTCATTTTGCTTTATTTCACAATATTTATCTCTAACTAATTCCTGTTTGTTTCAAAATGTAATTGCAATTTATTTTATGCATTATCTATTTGTATTTAGCTCATTCATTTCATAAATTGTTTGTATGGATACCCTGGCAAAAGGAAATCCCATTAACAACAATTCATTTTAGCTTTTTATCATTCAGAAACTTTCCTAGGTATTTGAACCTTTGCCAAGCTTTTGTTGTGATGTCATAAGGTCTTTTGTGTGTTCACAAAGGGCAAATACTTTTGGTTTCGCATAGGTTTCAAGCAGAAACCCAAGTATCCAGAAAGGTGGTCCAGTGAAACTTTTTGTACCCTACACCAAAGCAAAGAGAAAGAGAAGGGATGGAGAAGGATCTGTATCAAAGAGGCTTTCAACAAGTGGGGAGGAAGCTTTGAAAGGTTAGTGTTAATTAAAAAATGTTTCTGTTTTGATATTTGATAGAATAGTTGTTTGTAAAAGGTTGTCCTTTAAAAGCAATGAGCTACATGAAAAAAAATGTCATAACACTATATAAGGAATACAATTTGGTTAGTTTGCTGTTTGATTCAACATTCACAAATCAAAAGTAAGGAAAAAATAAGAAATCAAAAAGATAGCTGAGTGAATTTTCATTATCTTATTTGAAACATGAGCATTTTGAATCCACAGTCTTCAGGCTTCTCATCTTACTTTCTCCCAGAGACACATCCATGTGTTTTCTTTCTTGCTAAGCCTCTCTCTAATATAAAGTTTTTCTTTCTTTTTTTACATAATTTTTTCATTAAAACCTTTGTTTCAAAATAGCTGACTCATCATTTTATTTGTTTTTATTATTATTGGTGAGGAAACTTAGAAAAGTGAAGTTAATATTTTTGTTAAATTAAAGTTTTATTGTGAATTTCAAATTTTGTCTATCTGTGAATGTAAAATAGATGGAAATAAAAAGAAGTTGATGACATCTGTTTTCAAAGATTGTCCTGATTATGATCTGGGTCGCTTAGATTTTCCTAATTTTAAGTGCAAAATTTTTCTGCAATGTACCTTGCATCCTGAAAGATACTTTACAATGTTTTGTTTCATGTTTCTATGAATCGATGTTTCATCATCTGGTGCAGAGCTCACATGCTCAGTCAGACGAAAAGCCAAAACAGAAAACAGAGTCTTTTCATGGCACAAGCATTCATTTATTCAACCAAAACAAACTAATTATTTGCTCTAAGCAAATATTTAAATTTGAAAATTGTTTTATTGGTTTGTACGCAGATTTGTACAAGCAAGGCTAATCACTACAAAAGGATGTTTTTAAATTGTTGTGCAAACCTTAAAATCCTCAAATTGTCCCCCTTGAATAAGCCTCAACCCTGGAAGTAAAATTATTTAATAAGCCCTTATCCTAACATGCTAATCTTTTCTTTTTGTTATGCCTTAGAAGGGACCTTATAGTGATGCAACATAAATAACACCATTTCAATTCAGATCAATAAAACCATTCTGCGGATTATGAAAAAAGCTAAAATTAGTGAGGCATTGACAAAAAGACTGTGCCACCATCTAAAGACTTACAAATTTTTACAACCCCAGGGGCCTATTCAAGGATTTATGGTATGATTGTATCATTGGTTTACTGTGGCCTCGAAGCCTCAAACTTGATTCTTGCTTTGGTCTTGTCACATGGGCATGGCTCTAATATTTTTAGTTCAGACTGGACCCTGTTAATTAGTAAAGTTTGTCTGTTACCTTGACACCCAATGTACTTACTGCCTGCCACCTTACACCAAAAGAGTCTAAGTATTCATCCCAACCCAGGTTATACACAAGCAGTTGTTGTGTTTAGTGCAACAGTTTTCAACATCATTAAGTTATGTAAATCTTGGCGTCAAAGTCACCAAAATATAACTACTCGATAAAAGTTGTGTCTCACACAACTCTGAATGAAGGCTACAAGTAAAATTTCTTGTCTGTACAAAGACATACTCATTTTCAGGCTGGTGATTGTAAATTCTTCTAGAATAATAATTTTAATTCTGGCCAATTCAAAGTATTGAACCTTAGTTTTTTGTTTTGCCCTGGTAGCTTTTAAAATCTTACTTTTAATAGCTGTATATTGTTCCCTACTTATTTCTTGTTTCTTTTTGTTGTTTGATAATTTCCTTGAACATATTGATGACAATATCAAAATTTTGTTTTGAATTACTGTAAAGGGGGTTTCATTTCTTTCTAAACTTTGAAACCAGTTTTTAGACTCTTGGTTAAACAGCTTTGAGAGTTATTTCAAGTTAAAAATTTTTCCTCTTGAAATTCTCTTTGTTATATATGCATAGGATCGCCAAACAGTTATTTTTGTTTTGTTATTCATTTTCTTTTGTCATTGTTTATAATTTCGTTTTTATCCCTAGACCTCAGAAGGGCAAGGTCCTTTAGGTATGTTTTTGAATTTATAATCGAAAAACGATTTTGAACACTTGCAAAAACTTTTTTACTGTTGATGTTTACTGTCAATGTGTTGCTAATCTGTTGCATCACCTAAAACTTCAGAAATGTAAGCCACCATTTTGCAAGATCTTGGATCTACACGAATTGCTTTTAAATGATTATCAGCAACATGAAAGCTAAATATTTTCATATTTTACATTTTTCGGTTTTGGATATATTCGTGTTTGGAAAAACAGAAGTTTCAAGTCCATGACTGATTAGATTCAGATTTTGCATTTAATAAGCTGTATAAACTGTTGAATAGCTAGCTCAAAATAAGTTGATTATAGATATCCAACCTCTTTTGTAAGCTGATTTGAAATAATCAAATTGTTTGTGGTCTCTATTCGAATGTCCTAGAAAGGCAGCTGTTGTTCTAAAATTGAGAATCTTGTTGAATTCTGGACACTGAAGCTTTGTTTGCATAAAATTTGCTTCATATTCTCTAGAATTTCATTTTGAATTTTGTCATTTTTTAGCATGGATTCAGAGGTTTTTCCATCACTTGTTCATAGTGGAACCTTGGCTGCTCATGATTTAGACGGTAGGATAATTTTCTTTTCATAATAAGTTGATATTAAAATCCTCAAGAAATAACATAATAAAATAGCCTTTCCTCTGGTACTTTTCCATTTCTTGACAAATAGCTTATCATTAATTGTTATCGCCTGTCCTACCTTATTGTGGACTCTCTGGACATGTACAAACGCCATACATTTCTTGTTGATGTTACATTAGATTTTATGCTTCTCCCCAAATATCCATAACATCGTCAGCAGACGGTGAAACAGTGATATGTTTCCAGCATATTGAAAAGCTCATTGGTTAGTGAAAAAACGCGACTTCCTTTTTTTGTTTTTCAAGAATGAGGACCGATACTAACTGCAAAAAAACAAGTCGCCCTTGATGGTGTTTCGACTTGTTCTATGGTTAACAACTCAGAATAATATTTAACATTTAATCTTGCATGTTGACCATTGCAAGTATTACACTGTTTTTCGCAATTCCCATTTATGGGTATTCAAGTTACAGGTGCTTTTTGGATTCTGTATACTGTGTCGATTTCGTTCATTTTTTAGATGGCAACTTGCCTCTTTTTCAGTTGTTAACATGCCTCTTTTTCAGACGGCAACATGCCTCCTATGACGCCGGTCACCCCAATGACACCGATAACTCCTATTACACCATTCATGCAAATGACCCCATCGACTCCAAATGCCATTCGTTCTGGATCACCCCCAAAAGCATCTGTGTCGTCTCTTGCATTGCCAAGTATGACTATGCCGAATACTGGCACGGGTAATCTGATGTCTCTGCGCCCACCAGCAACACCGACCAGGACCCAAGCATCTGTTCTTGACAGCACATTGAACAATCCCCATTGGATACAGCTAGAAGAGGTAGGTGTTTTCAGTTTGCTTACTAAAATTAAGATACTGTTACCCTGGAGCAATACGGAGGCGTCATGCAAGGTTATTTGCTCTCCTTTCGTTTCTTTATGTCATTATTCTAAGGCTGAATCCCAAGTGCCATCTGTTATTGAGTATGGCTTTACTTAAATCTTATTTCAACTAAGGTAGATACCTTTGCTCTGCTAGAGACAGTTGATAAACTGCTTTTTTTTCTTGTCGGCCTTGCATTCTTTTTTATTTGCCTTTAATCGTAAAGAATGTCATATCACAAGGCTAAACTAGTTCCTTAAAACCAATATGGTAACCTTTGAGGCCTAAATGTGTAAGGTATTGGAAACTATCGAGACAAAAGACAACTATTCCCCGTACTGTTGATTTCAATTTCTATTTTGTTCGTGCGTTGTCAGATTTAAATGACAAGAAATATATACTTGTTTTCCAATATAATTCTTTCAATATATCTTTACCCATGGAGTGGCAACTTATATTCATATACTACTGCCGTAGAATGAAAATAATTCTGTAATGTGCGCCACTTATAACAATCCAGTTCTATGGGCCTAGTCTTGCATCTTATTCATTAGTTGTTGCAAATTCCATATATTTGATAGATCTTCACCATAATAGTTGTCAAATTTCGTTTGTCTCTTGTTGGATATTGTTTGCACATAAACTTGAAGGTGTTAGTTAACTATTCTATGACTGAACATGCCGAAGGTCTACAAATGCTTTCAGTTAAAGGAACTGATGCAATTTTCACCTTAGCGCTTCCAATAGGAAAGGATGTTGTATCCCTCAATTCTGCAACGGGGTTCATTGACCTGCCTGTTTACGACAATATCAATAATGTGCATTGCATTTACGTTATAACAAAACTTTTTAAAGAATGCTGTTGCTTTCGCTGTTTTCTGTTTTTATTATCATCGCAAACTTTTAAGTAATGTATTTTCTTAGACTGTGACGTCATTGTTGAGTATGGCTCATCAGCTGAAATTCATGATTGAGCAAGCCAAAATTCAGTCGGATGCTGCTAAAGATACTGCTGTGACGCAGGCAAAGATCCAAGCAGAGAATGAGAAACGGGAGGTCAGCCTTCTTTATTGCTTCAATGTGCTTTTAAGAATGTCACTAAAACAAAATCGTGTGTTGCAGCTATAGCAATAGAAGCACACTAAGTGGCCTAAAATGCACGTAGCAGGAAGTTCAACAACCTGTTTATGTTTCGTAAGATATTCCTTACCAGTCTATTTATGATTGCAGTTAACAATTGAAATATATGGCCATTTATACAAGTGAATTTCTTCCAATGTCATGATTTAGATTTCATGTAACGGCAGGATTGGTCAGTTTAGGCCCAGTCAAACATAGTTTGTCTCTATCAAACATCTAAAGGCCGACTATAAGGACCCCGAGAAGCGATACCTATCGACCAGCCATGCTCTTCTATTCTTCTCCGCGTCCGTCTTCAATCTGTCAGTGACACTTGTGGGTCAAATGACATCAATTCTGTAGTCCCTTTAGTGTGAAATCACCCAGAACACCATCCCTCATGTTTTTTGTTCTCGTATTTTAGGCTCAAAGTAACGTGATCAATCCTGATCGCTTGCAAAAAACGCTTTTTTCATTAGACCACGTCAATCATTTCCTAATCTGGATTGCACTGATTGATCAATCCTATTTGTTAATCCCGACGCACCCCTACATAAGTACACAAATGATTTTTATCTTAGAAAAAGGGATTTTAACTGATGCCAAGTAACTGATTCTGATTTTTTCAACGGATGCTCTAGGCTATCAACCAGATACGTTTGCAGTCAATTGCACAACTATCTCAAGCGCTTGCCTCAGCACACAACGATAAAGGCGATCTACAGCAACTAAACATGCGACAGCAAATTACAATTATAAAGGTAAGCATTGCTCACAACTTCATTGTGTACTACTTCATTTGTGTTGAGAAAGCCTCTTTTTCTACCTTTAAACATTCGCGTACTTTCACCATTCAACGAGCACTTCTTGATGCTAATTAAATGGATGTTCGAAGAATCCCCATTGACGGAAAACTCCTATTTGCATTTTGTATTATATAATCCTGCGTGTCTTGCAATATGTGCATCTTTTTCAGCTTGTTTTACTTTGTTCATCACACTCTCTATCGCTACCACCCTCTTTATATCAACACTTCTAATTCAACTCTTTTGCTCTGTTTCATAATTTTCTCTGTTCTTGTTCTTTTCCCTGATGTGCAGTTATGCTGGAAACATATGTCTTTCAAAGAAAAACCTCCTAGCAAGTAATCCTCCCATCGGTAGAGACTCAGGTGCCACACGGTACCCCTATATTTTAAGTTTAAACGAAACTTTAACCCTGCCAAATTTTAATCGACCAAAATAAGATTTATCACGCGTCGCTGTTCATGTATAGCCAGCCGTAAGGCATGACGCTGAAGGGCGTGTTTTTATTCTGCAAAATTGTGAGTTTCAGCAACCATTTTCTTTCTTCTTAGCGTACGCTATAAGGCTCTTTGGGTTGTTATGGCATTTTATTGTTAAGCGCTGGACAAAGTCGATTTTGGAGAAGTTTTGGTCCTATCCATCTATTAAGTTGCGTTGCAAATTTTACAGTCTTTTAAAATCAGAAGAAAAAGATTAGCTTAAAAGTTATTTCCAGTGTTGGAGCCGTAAAGTCTTGACCGTTTCCCCTTATTTTTGCTCATGAAAACAATGTTACGTAAAGTCTTCATGTTAGGATGCGAGTAAGGTTTATCTTTAGGGATATTCATGACAAACAGCGAAGGATTTTGAGAAGAATATATTTTACTCTCTTATAAAAAGATTACATGGATGACATGAAATGGATCAGTGTCTCGAATTTTTGTGTATCATTTGTCTTTGGAGTTATTGAACAGCACAAAAGGTCATTTGGGTACGATTTTTTCTATTTTCAATTATTTTTACTTCCGATCGTTTTATAAAAGAACAGAGATAACTCTCCAAAAGCCTTTTTCTTAAACTCCCAAAGGTCGATCTTTATTATTCTTAATTTATGTAAAATTCAGATAATAGTTATTAAATTCTTAAACTATCCGTCTCAAACTGCATTTGACTAAATTAATATTCATCATCTCATTTTTTTACCTACAATTCAGGGTTAGACTATATGTTAATGCAATTGTCTTAAAATTTTCTTTACGCAAGAGTGAGTAATGAGGATTTTAGTCGAATGATCTTCTGTGCTAAACACGTTCCCAATCTTGGGACAAAAAGTTGAAGTTATGGCAAACGATATAAATTGCAGCATTTTGAGAAGTATGACGTCATATTCTGCGGCTAAATAATGTTAAGTTTTAAAGATGTGATTTTTAAAGATTTTCGCAGCTCAAATTTTGTTTGGCAAAAAAATATCTTTAAGTAATATTATATCTCCTCTAATGCTTTTTGTTTCTTCGTTTTACAGAATTGCCAAAACTGTGACAGAGATGCACTTCTTGAGTGTACTGGTTGTCACAGAGTTTATTACTGCAGTCAGTTTTGCCAGAAAAAGGACTGGATAAATCACCAGCGAATTTGTGGCGAGCAGCAAATGTCTGTCGACCAGCATAATAAAATGGACGGGAAAGCCGACTAGGTGAATGTGAAGTCGTCAAGAAATATTTTTAAGGATGGAGCATGTGTCAGATGGTGGTTATACCCATGTTGGGTGCTTGAGGATGTTGAGCAAGTTGGAGACAATGTAATGCGCGGTGACTTCGTTTTTGGTCATAAATGCCGCGCCTGTTTATAACTATGATAGCAGACCTGACTCCGTCCTCGAAATAATTTGCAACAAGCAATCATGAAGAGAGGCGAAGTTTTATGACACAGTCAAAACTAGCAGTCGCTCTAGTATGTTATCATTTCAGGCCATTTTATCATTCCATGTCATTTTAACATTGGGTTTTATCCAGTTTTGATTATATTTAGTTTTCAAAGTTTTATTGTTTCATATTGTTTGATTTTCTTGTAGATAATTTTTTTCGCGCTTTATGAAAATCCTAGAGATATGTCATCCAGTGATTACGATAATTGAATTTACCATGTATTATTCTTCAGAATTAAATTCTGCATTAAAGGCATTGAGTCGTGATAAAATGGATTGGGTATACCCAAAGTGTCAAAATCCACGAAGTCACGATTTTCATAACTGTGATGCTATTGGTTGACCCTAAACTGGTCACATGAACTCACGTCATACTGAATCACATGTAACAGCAACGATCACGCCGAAACCAAATGACTCCCTATAGAGAAGGCCTATTTACCATGACTCGATGTCTTTAAACCTTTTATAATTGGTTATAGGGCAACAAAGATTAAAGAAAATCCCCAGTTTAGTTTTTAGCAATATTTTGGAGTTTGAAGGCCGTTAAACGTCAAGACTTATAAAGGTTGAAAGGGAAATAACTTTATATTTACGTAAAAAGTAAGAGAATTTCCCATTTTGTAAGGAGGTTTAAATGATACGGAAGAGAACGAAGGAAATAAATTAATAAGTTTTAATGACAAAGAAGAATTTACGCTAAGAGCATGGGCTTTGTTTGTTATTTTTACAACACATTCTTACTGCAGCTGGATCGTAAAATAACAATTAAGTAAAATATATTGTTTGCAAATAGAAGGAAAGTATATTTTGGAAAGTTTAACTAGGATTTGCGTTCCATTTTTCTTGGAGCATGGACGATTGGCATCTACCTCTACATTTTTTTAATTCATCGTTGATCAAGTATCAAAACTTATCCACTGTAGCTGATTGTTCTTAAATAGTTCTCTAGAAATATGCTGTCGTGTTATGTTTCTTTTAGTTTTGTATAATTGGACACGCAAATTTCTCATCGTTTTATATTATGAAAATTAGATTTTTATGGTGATATCGAAGAGAACTTGATTAGGCTCGTATGATAAACTTTTAATGATTAACCTCACGTTATGTTGGGAAAATATCACCGTTAATCGTTCAAAAGATAATTACAGTCTTTCTTAATCTTAGCTGAAACTGGTCTGTTCTTTCTCAGAACCTCCTACTTTTTAGCCCCGATATAAGGAGCAATTTGCCACTGCCTAACAAGATTTTTTAACTTCTTGTCGAAAAGTTGATTTCAATGCCTATTTCTATGAGCAGGGAAAACCAAGCTTTGAATTACGTTTTTAAGGAAGAAGTTATAACAAAACCCAATACGTGGAACGAACTGTCCCAGTGCCTGAAAAGTGCTCCTAACTTAAAGTATCACTCGTAGGTGCAAGTTTGCTAAAGTTTTGAGGGAAATTTTGCTAAAGTTAAACAGGAAATTTCGACTTACTAATTTTGCTGCCAGGAGAGAAAAATTTTTCCAGCCCAGCTAGACATAATTGAAGTATCGATGTGTCCTAGATCTATGCAGACTGTGGGTTGCATGTTCGCTGTTCATTTGCATCATCAAATAAAAAAGTTTGCAGTTTTTGTTTCAATGGTTAAAATTAATGGTGCTAAATCAGGGATGGTGCTAGGGTCAAAATTTGTGGTCCAAGCACACACATTTCCTAAGCTGCTGATGGAAAATTGATGAAAATGCCAACATAAATGAAAATGGACGCAATTGAAAATGAAAATGTGACAAAATTGGCTGCTTTTGAGTGATTTCACATTTCTATAATTAGAAATGCCAGAAGTTTTGTATAAGAAACCAACAGAAAATGAAGACTTGTCCGCCTTCTGGCAAATTTAGCTACGCGCATAAACTTCGCAATATAGAAGGCAACATAATGACAAAAAATACGACAACCTTCAACAACTAGGTTAATTTCTAATGGCTAAAGTAGCTTTATAAGCTGACGTAAATGTGAACAAAATCGACTTTATACAACTAGATTGTAGTTAACATAAACTTGTTTGTTTATCGATAAGCTATCAACTTAAGTCTGTTTAATTCGCCTCTGATTATCCGGCAAGTATATTATCGATAACTGAACGTATACACACCTTTTTAAAAGGATAAGTAAATTGAGGTTCAGACTAGTCAGTCTTTCTAAAACTGCGACGCTTCATTGTCAAAAGGCAATGGAATCATTTGTCGAAGGGTATGCCAACCCCATCTCTCTCCCCCCCCCCCTCCTCATCACCGTAGCTACAAAACTTTGTCAAAGATTATATTTTACGCTACCATAACCCCAGCTTGTCCTTAATTTGTTCTTAATTGACCAATTTTGAGGCTCGGGTTTTTATTAAATCGTTCTTATAAAAAAGAGTCTATCAGCAATATCAACCTGAGCAAAGGAAGCCTGTTATTTAAGGATGTCATTTACATCAGTGAATCGTTTAACGATTTCTTTGTCTGTTTTCTCAGTAACTGTTTTTGTTAGCAGTAGCTCATTGTCTCATCTTGTGAAGCGACGCAGCTATAGAGCCATAGCAGGGGCGGCGCCAAGAAATTGAAAGTGAGGGGGCTCGAGTTGCTAACATTATTAGACTAAAAAACCAACTTTTGAAAAACGCACTATAATGCTTCACGATATCTTATGCCTATGATTTTATGGGGCAATTGTTATGCTAGCGGTACATTGGAAGGACGGCGAGAGGCTGTCGGGGGCCTTAGGTACATCCAAAAGGGAAGCTTCCGTGCGAGCGAAACGAGGAAAGAATTTTTGCAACCACGCTCTTTAGGCTAATTCAAAATACATTTCAGAATATTCCTCGCAGACCTTTTTTGCAAACATTTTGCTATTTTTAAGGTATGGTTTTTTACGTTTGATTAATTCCATTCTTAAAATTGAATTCGTTACTTTATGGGGCACCATAGACCCCGTCTAATTCCTTTAAAATATTGTAAAAGGACTTACCACACTATTCTTTTCTATTTCTATTCTTTTTATTCTCTTGAAAACACTTTTTGCAAAAAAGTTATTGGGCTTAAGTCCCCCAGCCCCCCATCCCCATCTGGTGCCGCCCATGCATAGCAGAGTTCAGGCGGATTTCCAAGAGGCATATAGAGTTTTGATTTTTGATTTCGTATCGAAATCCCAAAAAGTAGGAACTATAATAATCTAAAACCATTGGCATTGCCTGCCATTTTAAATTGGGCACCAAAAAATGTCGCCTTGTGGAAATCAAAATATAACTTCACGCAATGTTCGCCTTGTTTAGACATCATCTTTTGCAGTTGGTGCTGCTTTCATCCTTTGATGGTCGTGTCTGATATATGTCTGGAAAAAATACAGTATAGGTTAAGGATTTAAAAATTATTTGTCAGTTTGCAAAATGACAGGCTATTTTATTGCTACATGTTATTGTTCAAATTTCTAAGAAACTTCGAGCTTTGCCTCAAAATAAAATGTCTGCCTTTATTATATTCTAGAGGGTCTTTTGGTCATATTTTGCATCTAATGGTCCCCTTATTTTCTCCAATTTCTTTAAAGTCAATTTTCTAATGAGCTTTAACTTTATCAGGTCGAACAACTAGTAACATTATCAGGTTTTGAATGCCTATTGTGCCAAACTTCCTCAAAATAGATGCCCTCTCAGTCAAAGCAAAAGATGTTTTCCCAAATAATTTCGTAGGCACTCTTGACACTTGTCACTGCATCTTCTCCTCAATTAATAATCTCTCAACCCCTCCAACTACAGTCCTGGAGAAAAATGGTTGAGACAAAATGCAGCTTTTGCAATTTATACTCTACGTTGCCCCTGTAAAATCGAATCCCTCTTTCCCCCCAAATCAATGTTGGATTGGTATTTCTTCCATTTTTGCTTCAGAATCATGCATTCAACATTGAATTAGGAGAAGGGGAAAGTTATTTCTTAAAGGAAAAAATATCAAATTTTCTTGAAAAGTCTTTACTATTTTCTTCTGTGATTTTAGGTCTTTGGACCCGATGACTATACCCCCTTTTGGCTCTTCCATCACCTTCTACATTTGGAGGGCACATGAACGCTCAGTTACTTACCTGGGTTGGGCTTGAACATACAGATGTGAACACAAAAGCCGCCTGCAAAAGAAGGTGTGTTTGTTTTCTAGCAATTTTTATGCAATGTAATTAACATAGTACGACTCCAACTCTTTCAAACAAATAATACACACGATGACCGTGTCGGGGTGTCTGTCATTTTTAAGTTGTCCTAAATGAACTTGTTCTATGTAAAGTTGATTCTTAGATCTAAAAGCATCTTCGTCATTGCAAACATTTTAATAAAAAACTAAAGCTCACGATTAAGTTGCGATTTTTCCCTTTTCTGTTGATTTAAGAACTGAATGCTACATATTAGTTTTTTAAATACCAAAAATGCTAAAGAGCTACTCTTCGCAGAAAAATAATAACACGCAAACCGTAACATATCCTAAAGAGAGCTAATCAGTCACAAGAAAATATTAATTTTATTATTTATGTCAATTTAACCCGAAACATGAGCCTAATCGTCTAAAAGAAGCAGTTTCTTAGCGTTAAGGATTATCTGTACTATGGTTTCAAGCTCAGGGTGAAAGAAAAAGCTTTGTTTCGTACCAGTGCAAAGTTAGCAATGATTCGTCCTAGCTGATACCAGTGGAAATGTTGAAGATAATCTTGAAAAGTTGCCATTCCCCATACAGCTGTAAAAAGGCCATTTAGCAGCAACAATATCATTGATGCAGAACTGTAGATTAATAGAACAAAAATCAATAGATACATTAAAAGGATAACAAAATACGCGATTTTGCACTCTGCATAAGTTGTGTGCAAATTGAGAGCATGTGTTTCTTTAAAATTATTCACTATTTCAATTGTATACCAAAAACAACAGCCTGAAAAAAACATTGGATTGACATGTTGTGACTTAAGCTCTGCAAGTATAACAGCGAGCTGCTTGCAATAAAATTTGGTTCTTTTCTTTGTTGCTTTGCATGAAATGGTTGCTAGATTTCTTCTTAGCATTCTTCATAGCTTGATTTTAGCAGACTTTGAAAATAAATGACTCAGTTAGCTATTATGCTAAAATACTTGAAAAACTTCAAAGAGTAAGGAAATTAAGCAATGTTTCGATAAATGCAGTATGCTCGCTTTTGAAGGGCGGTTCTAGCTCAGCACAAGAACTGCAATGTAGCTGGAAAAACAGTACACACACACTGCTTGATACAAGTGGGTAGAAATACATAAAAACAAAGGAAGGATCTCGCAGAAAGTGTCTAAATAGCAAAAGCAAGGCTTCTAAATCGTTATCAACGTACATTAGCTTTAGTTCAAAACATATTGTTATGATTTCGCCAGAAAATCCAGGACTGGTTTGATTTTCTTAGAACAGATAGCCTCAAATGATACTTTAAAGTTTTCTTGTCGATAAGATGTGGTTCTATAGCTTCTACACGTATGAGATTCGGAATTGGAAATTCGAGATTCAGAATTTGAATACTCGTTCATGTATCCACAAACTTGAGAATTTTCCAAGATAAACTTTTGAATAGACACTTACTTACCGATAAAATAATATCCTCTCTCACTTCCCATCATGAAATCAGTTTGCTAGATATCATGAGTAATTCATTCTTTTTGATATCTCACAAAAATTGCCCAAAGTCATATTATTAAAAACATATTGTTTATAAGAACCTACTAGAACCCTCATCTTAATTTACAGTAAAATATGCTACTGTTCAACCCCAATAAGTCATACCTTGCATATCTCGGACTTCCACTTAGTTAGGCTGATTTTCAATTCCTATTGGAGTCTGCTAAGGACGTCTGCGGAAGAGGGAAGCGGGGAAGTGGCCCTCCCCCCTTATTCTCGCGAAATGAGCATTTTTCTTTGTTTTACTATTGTTTTGCTTTTTTTCTTGGCGTTTTGCACCAGATGTGACTTCACGAAATTTAACTGTAAAAGGTCGGCAGAGCCTTCCAAGCACACAAACACAAAACTTCAAAAAATTCGAATACTTACAATGGTATTTTACTGCTTTTATTTTGGATACCCATTATTAAGTTCACTGTCCACAAACATGTAGCGATCTGGAAGGTAAGGCCACAGTTAGAACAACGATTTGCTGTAGTGGGTTGTGATTTTTCGTCAACAACTGTGCACCATATGTTCACGATTCCAACACAACAACAAAATGGGGACAAGGTAACAAGGTATTTGTTCATAAATGATTTTTTCGTGAATTGTAATAAATTAAAGGACTTTTTTTAAAAAAGCCTTCATCTTTGGCAATTATTCACAGGCCGTATCAAAGTCGTAATCTTGCATCTATAAATATATTTTGTTCAGATTTAAAGGTATCCGGGATAGAAAAAGGCTCAGTTTAGCAAACCAGTTTAGCAAAGGCTTAGTTTGATAATATTGCCTATCTCTACCATAGCAAAGGTCATCAAAGGTCGTTATGTAAGATCAACTTGGAGAAATGAGTTAGGGAGTTAGAAGTGTTTATCTATTGGTCAAGTTTTCAAAAGACTGGTCAAGTTTTCATCCAGCCAAGCTAACGAAATTGTCCTAGTTTTATCACAAAGTTTTCAAGAGATTAATCTCTTAGTTCCTTCAAACTGCAAAAAATTTGACAGAGGTGTTGTTGTTTTTAAAGCTTGACTAAATGGACCTTAATCACAGGGTTGCCTGTTTGATGCGTCACAGAATTACCTGTTTGGTACCTTTGGGATTAGTTTAGCACCAACAACATGGTTAAAATTTGGGACCATTGTATTGTACGAGCAGACCTTGCATCGAGTCTTTTACTAGGCTTTAGCAGCAAGCATGCGTGTGTTTCCCTTGAGTATAAGATGAGCCTGTCACAATATTTTCTTCCTCACAATTTGCAAGACGACGTATCTCCTTGCTGTTGGAGGAAAGATATTTCTGCGTACTAACCCACCCTACCAAATACCGGTAATTCCGAACTTTTTGTCTTCTGTGTCTTATTCCATGCACGAACTTATTGCCAGGTGGATTGTGACTTGCTAAACCACCTTGAACCTTGTAATTTTACTAATACCCAGAGATTACCACGAGCGAATTTGCTACTTACTCTCAAGGTAATAGTTTTATGACATTCCGTTGCTTACATAGCAATTTTTTATTACCTGCTCTTGTAGAAAAAACAACATAAGATAACTAGCACATGCCTGTGTAACCTAATCTACTCTACTTCTACAAATATAAGAGTTGCTGCCAGAAAACTTACCACAAAAAGAAAGCCAGTTGAGAATACATCAATATATGCATCTATGCTTGGCCAATCCAACCTTTGAAAAGAAAACCTGTTTTATAAGGTGTTAGGTAATTTGCATGTCTTTATTAAGTGGGACATTTTATTTTGTTGGAAAAAAGGCAATGAAAAATTTAAAGTATAAAATTTCATTCATGTTCTTTTCATGTGTACAGTGGTAGTGGTACATTGTAATTGATAAAAGAATATAATCTAGAGCGATTTTTGTATTTTGGGAAATTGGCGTAATAGCATTACCTATACATTTATTCTTGATGCTAATTTTCTAATTTTGGGAAAAATATTTTAGGAAATGCATCAGTCCAATTTTGCTTTTGCCAAACAGGAGAAGTTTTGTAAAAATCTGCTGTAAGTTATGTTCCTCTGTAAGTTGTGTCCTTTGCCTCGGCCCACACCTCGGGGATGGTCGGAGCAGGGGCCGTGATTCTCTTTTTCAAAAAAAAATATTTGAATTAGCCCAAAATTTAAAAGCTGTAGATTCAATCAAAAACTTTTAACCAAAATCCACAAGTAAAACCGCTGCAGCAAAAAGTTTTGCAATAAAAGGTGCTAGTAAGGAGTTTGAGAGGAAAGTTTGTGATGACATGATGAATAACAAGAAAACTTACGGCTGATCAATAGTTATCCTGAAAACATATGGGATCAAGCACAAAACAGCCGGAACACCTAGAACAAAATTCAAAGATTTGGTTAAATATGAATAATGTTAAGCTGGAAACAAAATTTTTATATGGTAAAGAGACATGGCATCACAGTCCAGCATCAAATAGTTAGTTAAGCAGAAAATCTTTCCCATTGGTTATGGAAATTGTTCATATAACACACACATGGATTCAATTTTAAGGCATCGAGTCAGGGTAAAAGGAAAGAGTATACTCTAAATACATTCAGTGCTACATTATAATTAGGCTGACAAAAGATTGATGACATGAAGTCATCTCGCACTGCTGATCAAAAGAGGTCTCGTAAATGGATCATTGTGAAAAGTGGTAGTAGAAATCACATGAAAATACAATAGTGATCACATGGAAAGCAAATGACTCCTTTAAGTGAGCGCCTATTTGTCACGACCAATACCTTAAACCTTTAACAGGCCATTTATCATGATTTCTCCGAATATGGAGGTAACCCCGTGAATATAGAAAAATTCTGCATAGACTCACCCCAAAGGATAAGATGAAAACAGCGCTTTCTATTTGTGTAATCAAATGTCTTAATTCTCCCTTCACTAGTTTGGGAAATTTCACATATGAGCCACAAGTAAGTCATGTTGCTTAAATATCGCTGCATGAACTTGATAGCCAACAAACAATGCTAAAACAACAACAGAAGAGACCATAGTTATAAACTATCACACCCAAATATTAATTGAGTATTAAATATTCTCGTTTCAGGCTTGATTCGAAAGGCTGAAGCTGCATATGGTACAAGAAGATAATAGGTACATTGAAGCAATTTAAGTTCTAGCATTTTAAAATATAGCATAATTTCTTACACAAGTATGTATCTAATTCATGTGCAACATGCACCTTCTAAATAAGAATTAGAGGCATCACTTGTACAATGCAAACGTCCTAAACATGCAAACATACCTTCGACTGAGGGTTAAAAATGCTGCAAGCCAAAACAAAGTTGAACATCAAAATGCAAGACAGTTTAAACGACTTCAGAGGTGTCTGGTTATAACGCTTTGTTTCAATATTTTCACAGGCTATGTTGCAGTCTTCTGCTGCTTTTTCATCAAAGTACTTCTCAACTGTCGTTGGATGTATGTTAAACTCTCCATGTTCTGAAGATGAGAAATACATATGGAACGAAGCAGCTCCGGATGAGGATAAGTTATCGTTGTTTCCGTGAGTTTCAATGCTTTCATTGACTGTTAACTCGGTTTCTGTCGAGCTGAACCTATTTAGAAGAATGCAACAGATATTACTGAAAATTTTACACTATTTTTATCCCGAAGGAAGAAGTTTTGTTAATTTTTAAGTAGGTACCACCTGGAATTAGACAAATTGCTATGGCTATTTTCAAGTACCCACATATGTAGGGGTTCAGAAAATTGATGGTGAACAGCGATCTGCTGGTACCTAAGGGGTGAAAACTGGGGTGAAAAAGTTAGCACTCAGACGTTATGCCTCTGCGGAGGAAAAATGAAAATTTCCATTTGGATACAACACAAGTAACAGTTTTGCTTCACAACAGTAAGTAAGTCTACTTTTGAGTACATTTAGTTGAAAACGTTTCTTTTTCGTAATTTAAAATAGTCACCTGAACACAATTTATTCTTGACCTTATAAGGAAGTATTGGCTTTTTGTTGCAATAAATGGTACCTACCTCAAAATGAACCTGGTGTATTTAGAGAGGGGTTCAAAGTTTTGAACGGTATTCAAGTAGGTCGATGATCTGATCGCAAGGTAGGAAGAGGGGGTCAAGCAGGCAACAAATGCTATGCAATGACAAATAAAGAGATAAAAAATTATGATTTCGATGAAAACATCTCAGAGAGCAAGCAACACTCCGTGCTTAGAAAGTAATGATGCATTTTCTTTGCCTTGAGCATTGGAAAGGAAAGGATTGAAATTGAAAAACCCCTTTCAGGTTCAAGGGTTCAAAAAGGTTCAAATCTCCTCTCAGTATTCTTTTAAGTCTAAGAATTCAAGAAACTAGTTCAGTTACTTACATAAACAGCTTAAATAATGACAAGACAATGATACAAGAGAGAGCGACCGTCAAATGGCTAATCGCAATAAGCAGGCTTGCATCGGTTCCCTGAAAAATGAAAAGTCTTTACGTCATCACTCATGCAAATGGAATAAACAAAATGTAAAGACTTAAAATATAGTTACACGGCTAAGCAAAGTGGAGCTCCACTTTGCTCCTATTTTTCTCAAACAATGGTGCTCCTCCAATAATTCAATCAATCCTACGGTACTGGAGTCGAAGTAATATGGCAAAAGTTAACTTAGACTATGAACATCCAGTTTCTATAAAGCAAAACTCTTATTCGATTTTTATTTAGTTCGGAAACAGGAGCCTTTTCCTGTTGCCACATTATCGCCACAAAGGGACATTTTTCAAGTCTTCTATAAAGTTGAAGGGCAAGTACCCCTTGCCCTGTCGAGAGAAGAGAATACAAATAGACTTAAGGTGGATGATACCCAATTTTTATCCTTAATCACTTCCTATGCAAAAACCTGTTTTGAAACAGTTTGGTACCTCTTACAGACCTCATCTATTACATGAAAGCAGATTATTGATGTAACTTTCATTTTTTTCATTTTTTTTCGAAAAATCATAGCTAAGATGGTAGATGTTGCCATAGCAACAAACATCAAATATAAACTTGTAGATAAGATTATGATTATGTATCAAGGTATTTTAAAACCAAACATGTCCAAAAGTGACAGGACATGGAAGAGCTATAAAATGAATTGACAGAATTTTTGCCATGGCAACTGTTGCCATGGAAACTCTAAAAAACCTTTATTGTATAATTGCTCATTGTAAATTTGAAATTTCAAAAAATCATCAATTTATTTTGATCCTCTTAACAAGATGAGCCTTCACTGCAAATTTCAATGAAATATGTCCAACAGTTCTTTAGATATCTTTTCCATAAGATAAAATAGTCTGTTTTTCAAATCGGCCAATCAAAGTTTTTGAAGCATATAAGCATAGACTACTTGCATTGAACGTTATTTCTCAAAGCTGTTAGACCAATTTACATGGCAATACTGCTTATAATAGATAAAAGAAACAAATTTCCAAGAAATAGAAACCAATAGGATTACCTTTTCAGCTCTTTGGATCAAATAACATTGCTTAACTACACAAAAATAAAATTTTAAACTGCCAGTATTAAACGGCCAAAAATGGTTTCTTCGCACAATGTACTTCTATGTCGTTTTCATTTACAAATACTACCTCCAGTTCCTTGCTCTCATCACTACAGTTGTTCTTTCTTCTAGAAGTAGGAGTAGCTTCAGGTTTCTTTGATGTCCCAAAAGCTCCTGACAAATAGTGTTTTCCAACAACATTTTTTGTCTTCCTTTCATGGCGGAGCTGTCTTCTTCTTCTTCTATATTTGCTTTGGCATTTTTTTTGTGCATTATTAATTCTAGATGAATTTTCCAATCTGTATCCTGTCATTGTATTAATGCCAAGGTCCTCAACTCCTAGTCTCTCTAACACAGACCCCATACTTGCTGCACCTCTATTCCAAATGAGCACTGTGATTGCGGTAGCTGTTTGAAGCTTATGATATCCAACAAAAACACGTTTTGGACATTTCGCCCAAAGGGTGTTGTTGATGGATTCATTCTGGTTCTGAGTGTACCCTTTCAGACATCTCTGCAGAAGATTCTTGTCACTAAGTCTTTCAAACAACATTTTAAGTTCTTCTCTAAAAACTGGAGGCAGGCATTTCTCAGCTGAGTAAGTATTTGTCTTACAGGCAAGATCTTGTTTATACCGGCACCAAGAATTTTCTCCATCAGGACAAAGCCTATGTTGATCTGAAAGACTTTCATTCTCACCAGCAATGCAGTGAAAATATATAGCCCAAACTGCATTATACATGGCTGTCAAATTGTTTGAATTATTTCGTATGGCATAGCCAAAGTAATTCTGAAATGAGTCAATTACAGAGTCTGTTAATCTTTTTCTTCCACCAATGGTTCCACCATCAGCAAGCGTCTTTCCTTTTGCTCTAAGTTTGAGGCGTCGAAGATTTGTTCCCATCCGCTTCTGGATATGGCCAACACAATCCTCTTTACAAACCAAATACGATGAACCATATTCTTTTGATAGTGCTTCTGACACAACTCCATAGGATGATGAGTCACCATCACCTACATAGGTTGTGTACTTCAGGTTATGTTTTTCAATAGACCTCATGAACATCAAAGTGGCAGCTTCTTTTTCCATTGCTTCTGATGACTGGTGGTGGTTGACAGAGCATGAGTCACTATGGCTTTGAAACCATGTCTTATATCTTTGTGAATTTTTGTCCCACAAGCTACGTGACCTACATTCAAAACACACCTTACTGCGCACTTCAAAATCCAGCACCTCACCAGTTTCTATTGATATAACAAAAACAACACCAAGAAGGGATGAGTATCCACGCTTTTGCCATGTTCCATCAATTGAGATTGCCACAGAAAATATATCTGTAGTGGCATTCATGTCTTTGCAGGATGGATCCTCTTGGATTAGTTTTTTTTTTCAATCTTTCTGCAGACTTTTTCAATGCAATTTCACATTCTTCGTTAGCTGATAGCTCAATTTTTTTCATTATGGCTTGATATGACTTAGTGGCAACTGGTTGGGGTAAATTCAAAGCAGTACATAATTTATTCAAACTCTGCTGGCCATTTCCTGTCAAGATACCACCTTGTGTAAGCCGTACATTCACTTCGCAATTCCCTTTCTTATTTTCAATTTTCTTGCTTGTATGAAACTTAGTCTCATTCTTGCAAAATTCACATCTCAATAGGAGACACTCATGTAAACCATTTCTTTTGCTGTTATCTTGATAAATCTCTAATTTACCCTCAGAACTTCTACACTTTGCACAAATAACAGTGTTGTTGATAAATTGCCGAAGACAATCAGTGTCAATTATCTTGTAACCATAAGCAAGTACTTCCCCAGTTGGTGTTTCTTGTCCCAAATCAAGTGCCCTTTTTCTTGTCATAATCTGGCTATCTATCTTTTCCAAAACTGGACAGTTTGATGATATCTTTTCAGAGGATCTGTTTGGTTTACCAGGAGATATGGCAGTTGATAGGCCTTGTCCCAACGAACTCGATTGCTGGTTGTCTTCCGGCCTACTTTCAGTTCTAGGCAGCTCCTGTTTTTGAATGCCATAAAACATCCTCTTTCTTTTCTTTCGATGTGTTGCTGCTTGCTTTGGCATCGTTAATTTGGTTATTTTGTTACGCGAATGATTCGGTTTCTTCTCTGTGAACAGTTGAATTTACAGTTGAAACAAAAGCTAAACCGAAGATTGCCTCAAACACGCCAAGTTCCTGGCCGTGTCCTAGCCAACAAAGTACTTCACATAGATTGTCACGAAAATATGGCCACTGGATATCAAATTTGGGGGTCTTTGGGGCAATTTGATGTGTTTCTTTTGCATGGAAACCGTTGCTAAGGAAAAAATAAATTTGGTGCTCCCAAAAAGGGCTAGTTTTACTAACGTTTTTAATAGCTATATCATTTTCTAATTACACCATCTTAAAGATCGATGTTGAAAGGCCACTTTGACAGCAAAAACATAATTTCCTTAAAAAATAAATTTTGACAAAAATTTTTGGGTATCATCCACCTTAAACATGCTTTCGACTGCCAGTCCCCTGCCCCCCCCCCTTGATTTTTACATCTTTGATTTAACATTGGATTTGTCGTTCAATTGCTGTCACGGAATGAGATGCAATCTACACATGTTTGCTCTTTCATGTGCAAATACATAACAATACATAACATGTACATGAAAGAGGCAGTACATAACAAGTCTTACCTTCAATTGACCTGATTTCCTGCTAACGTGCTGAAAAGATACCAAAACTCTAGCGATATTTGTCGTTCCAACACCCCGTAACATGATTATGGCTTTTGAATTTAGAACAATTGTTTCTATAGTTTCTGTTGTGTTCTTTGATTGCAGTGGACTCGAGATGTATTGCACGACAATTTTCTGTTGCTTTAATCTGTCTGTAGAAATATCAATGTTCATTGACAGGCAATGGAACGAACGAAAGATTAGATACTCAATAAACTCCATTCAATTAAACTTCTTTCAAACATTTCTCGCAATAAACTGGGAACAACTAAGTTTACAGACATTTTTTATAAGAATATCTAAATTGTGCCGAGTCTCAATAATTTTCATTTTATTTGAAATTGTAATCTAAGTGTCTTCTGAAATTATTCTTAAGCAACACAAGGTGTAACTTAGTCACATTGTATTGTTACTTACTGTCAGAATGTTTTTTTGTATTATTCGTCTCCTTGTTATGACAATGGCTCCTCGTGCTGATATCGAGATCACTCATGTGCGAAATTCCAGTAACTGAGGAAGCTCCTTTAAAAGCTTCTACAGATAACACAGGCTTCAAAGTCGAGTGTTCATCATGTGGTATTGCTAATAATGTTGTTTCGTGTTTTTCAAGGTCAACTCTCAGCTTGGTATTGAAAGGAAGGAACCATGGTCCTGTTTATGCAATAAAACAAATAGTGAGTTGCTTTGTAAACTCGAAAAATGGCATCGTCAGTTCAATGTTTTAAATAAAGAAGCAATAACTGTAAGGGATTTTACAAAAATATGTCCTGTGCTACCAAAACTAAGACTCCATTAAATTGAAAAATCGCTCTTTTTTCAAGAAGAGTATAATATGCATTTGGTAGCGATTTTTCAAAGCAACATCAGGGATCTCTCCTTGCCGTACCCTAGAAATTTGAAGTGAAACAGCACAAGTGAATTATTCTTATCTATCATTGTGTATTTTCTAATGTACAAGTACCTGAATAAATTTTCTCCTTTAGTTTGTCACGTATCTCAGCTGCTTTTGCTTCAAATCTCTGCTTAATGATCCCATCTTGACCAATGATTCTATTGTTGTCCACGATTTGCAAGATCAGCACTGAAGGGCTCCACGCAGTCCCATCTATCCACAGCTTCAATTTGTCGTTGGCGACTTCATTGTAGTCCGTAATAACTACTGCAATTTTCTTCTGGAAACCAGTCACATCGTCTTTTTGACTGTTTCTGTGTTTGAAAAAAAGAAGAATTGATAGGAATTGTCCAGTTTCCATACTGCTTGACCTGATAGTCATAAATAAGCATGATCAATAGTCATAAATTAGTATGATTAATTATTTCAAGTAAAGGGTTAGGGTTAGGGTTAGGGTTGGGGTTAGATTAGGGTTAGGTTTAGGGTTAGGGTTAGGTTTAGGGTTAGGGTTATGTTTAGGGTTAGGGTAAACTAATTACGTCATCAGGTCGAGCAGTATGGAAACTAGACAGCTCCGAATTGATAGCTATGATCCATTTAGCCTCTTCTCATTCCTTCAGCCTCGATCAGATCAATGTACCATTCACTATCAACCTTTTCAAAGATCATATTTGATCAATGCACTGTTCCCTCAGCCCCACTTCAATAAATGCCATTAAGATTAATGCACTGTACTTAACCTTCTTCCTTTACGATAAATTTCCCCTCGTAAAACCACTTAATGATGTGCATATCTACTTATATGCAAATTACTTGGTGCCAATATGACAAGCATTTGCAATTTTAATAATCATGTGATTTTGTGATTATGTTTAGCTCATCAAACCTTCTATACTCTATAAATAATTATTGTCGTCATTATCATTAACTGCATTTGCAAGTAGCAATCGTTATAACAATCATGTATAAAACTAGCAGAGCATTTCAAGCTGTGAAGAAAGAAGGCGGTATGGTGTATGGAAGTATTTTATTGACTCTACATCTTTGAACACTGATTACTGATTTGGAACACTGAAATGTGGGGAAAAGTGCTTCATAATATCAGCTTCCTTTAGGCATCTTCTTGGCAATCATTATGTTATTAAGAGATGCATTGGTTGCAAAGTGAAAAGATTTTTGTAAAGATATGGGTATAACTTACTCTTGTGTTGTTTCGTTGGGTCCATTTTGGTTGTCTAAGTAAATATTCAATGGTAAATCAACCTTTCGGGGACCTGTTGCTGTCTTGTTTAATGCCAATCTTTCAGTGAATGCTTTGATAGTAAACCTTGAGTCTTGAGTCGAGGCAGTATGTTCTAGGGTCTTCAAAATTGTCTTGGTCACGTTATATCTTTGCCAAATATCTTGTTTCACGAATGCTTGGATGTGAATAGGCCCATAAAATCCTACAAAATTTAGAGCATGTGCATAAGAAAGATCGGTTTGGCTGCTCCCCCTGTCCCGGTTGTGAATATGATCTAAATTGTAAACTGTTGCCTGATGCTCGCATAAAGCGTGAAACTCGGAGTAGCAACTTAGAAATTGTCAACTGCATCGTTAACAACAAGCGGAAGAGGCAAATGAAAATATTCTACCAAACATAGAATGATACACGATTAAGTTTATCGATTCGCTTACAGACGTGTTTCAGTCAAACAGTTTCGAAAAAAGCTTGCAATACAAACCCTAAGCTTGAAGATATGTCTTACTTATCAAGTAATATATTTAGAAAAGTAATATTAAGAGATAAATATTTAAACTAAGGCGTAGTAGCAGGTTGATCATAACAAGAGTGTGAGTCCTGACTCTATTATTGTAGTGCAAAACTTGCTTACATATGTCATTTGAAAACATTATAATATTTTTAATGAAGTTGTGTAACCCAATGATAAAGATACTCATGGGTTGAGGTAAGATCAGCTTTTTTACGTCAGCAGTCAACGTGGTTGATTCTTTTATTATTTATTCCACAATCAGCAAAAACTATCTGCATGAATTAACGCAAACATGTGGCAATCATGCATTTTGCATAAAAGTTACGTTGTCTACAAGAAAAACACGCACAAAGGAATATTTTAGCAGTAGTTGAAGCTTTCACTTTAAGCCGCTCGAAATTAATTTTTAAAAAGTAGTTTGGACAAGAAAATCAAAATGAACAAAACTCTTAAAGGGCTTTAATTGCATAACAGGGCAGGTGCACAATACATGAAAAACGTCAATCAAATATCTTTTTGCAGGGTGAAGTTCAGATAACTTGAGTGAGTCAATAAGCTGTTATTTCTTAGGCCACGAAACTTTACATAACTTTTTGAAATAGATTCATAGGTACCATAGGTTCCAAATCATTGATTGGCTGAGCGACCTAAATTCTCTATATCCCATTAGCCAATCAGAATTTAGGTTATCTTTCAGCACATTTTAAACGTTTATTTTTTGCGGGTAGTGGTAAAAACGTCCAAAATAGCCCTAAATTTAGCTGCGAGGCACGGTTGTTGTCATATTCTTAAATTCTGATTGGCAAACGGGGTATGAAGAATTTAGGTCGCTCAGCCAATCAAAGATTTGGGACCTATGCTTAGAAACTAAACTAACAAGGGTTTTAAGCTGTTTGAAAGATGTTAATATTAACATTACACTCCTACCTATTTCCATCCTCATTTAACTTGAAGTTGACTTACCTAGACAACATTGTACGAGGTTTGTCGGTCCAAAGCATTGGTTGACAGCCACTGCTTGCTTGCCTTTGCAATCAGATACAAGCATGCATTTCCCATCACGACCATTGACATTGCATTTTGGCCCTTCGCTCGCTTCACAGTCACAATTCAGAGCCTAGGAAAACAAGAAAAACTTCTATTTCTAACCTAAAAATATGTTTTATTGACACAGGGGCATTGGAACACAGAATTGAAACACCCAAGACAATTCAGATTCTCTTCAATACCACCCCTTCTTTCCAAGCGCTACGCTACGCAAATGCTTCCCTTTGCAACTCTGTGCCATCTAATTTTGAAATACGTCTGACCCTAACTTTATATGTCAAGGCATCGTAAACTACAGACTCAACTTGACGTAGTTGGGTACAGTGGTTTAGTGCTATCAAAATAACAAGGGGGCTCTTGCACATAATATTGCTAAAAACAAAAGCAAAAGTATAAATTGACTAATTTTCGGCATTAACAAGGGGAGCTCAGTCCCCTGAGTCCCCCTAGCACTAAGCTACTGGTTGGGTGCATTCAATGGAACCCTTGTTTCACATGGATCTGAAACTTAGATATGACAGTAGGCAAGCTTAAAGTTTCAAAATATGTAGCAAAATTAAAAGGCTTTTGGCGTTGGATAATCAAAATTTGTTTTACTATTTAGAAAAGAAAGTGCCAGTAAGATATTATGTCCGTATCTTGATTTTCAATTTCCAACGAACGCTACAAAACGTGATCACCCTCGCAAGCCAAGTTCTTTAATAAAGAAAAGTTTAAGACAAAGTCCTTCTTTTTCAAAGCTTCCTTATTCCTTAATTTGATTTTTGCTGAAGCAAGGTCTGAAAGTTTCTGCATGTTTTCAAATAATGTTTATTGCTCGTCTTAAAAATTCCAAGGTCTCGATGTAGGTGTAAAATTGTTTTCCAAAGACATCATTTTCAAACTACTATCGTAAGCTACGTTAAATATGTTTTAGGAAGAGAATAAAACTTGAGAATTTATAAAAAAATAGTATCAATTGATTGTGTAGCCATGCTAAATCATTATTTAGATTAAGGGGCTCTATTTAGCCTGGTTCCAATAAAATGGTTACATTGATGCAATTAACCAATCATAGGAAAATTACCTTTGCTTTCGGTACCTTCTGAGTTCTAAAAGGATAGTGGGATACTGCGCTTTCTGACAGTTGTCAACTTGTCCTCGATCAATGGGAACACATTTTCTTTGATCGTTATGAAAAAAGGGATCAGCAAAACGCTACGACTCAATGAGAGCCAGGCACTAGCAACTATGTACTGATGGGTTGAGACCCAACATACTGTTCATACAATACCTTGTTAACTTTTCTCCAGATAGCCAGGAGTCTGTCAACCTCATTTAGATGTCCACGCAGTAAATAACTCTGCAACAGGAAGCCATACTTCGATCCATTTGCCAACTCGTTGTAAGAAACGTTGCTCAAAGGGCTGTTTTTTGTTGGTGAATATGAATTAGCCCAGAGCATAGCAGCTGATCGGTAAGATAAACTTGGAAAGGATAATATCTCGGGCTTTTCTGTAAGAAGATAAATATATTGTTGGAAAAATGATAACTTATACATCGAAGAGATATTAATAGAGATTGGAGATACTCCCAGCCTTAGCTCCAATAAGTTATTCAGAATCGATCAGGTATTAAAAATTGTTATAGAAAGTCCAAATGTATGAAGTTTCCAGTAACTGATAGACCATCATATTTTGAGTTGATGACAAAGTAACGTCGCTGTACTGATGTAGTTATGACACGGAAAAAATCAATCGCTCATAGGCTGTGGTAGACAATTTGAAAAGTAGAACAAAGTGATCCGAAGTCTGTATCCATTTTTTTCTACAGCATTAGCAACAGGAACGGATTTAAGCGGCAATGTCTTTTGGGGGTAGGGGGAGGGGGGGTCTTGTTAGAGAATGATTTGACCTTGATGCCTCACCCTTCTGGTTACAGGAAAGTGATGGAAACGCCCATCGTAAAAATTCAGCTTTTAACTTTAAGGAATAGAAGATAAGAAGACAAACATAAAAGAAGCAAGTTTTTTGCATTATTTTGTTACTACTGACCACCAAAAAATTCATACTACCGAATCACAGAAAAATTTACCGTAGGATACAAAAATATTAGGGGGAGGTAAATCCGGGCACAAAAATTATGGATGGAGGTAGTGCTGCACCCCCTGGTAAATCCGTCACTGATCGACAATGTGTCAGACGGGGCGATTTCTGCAAATTTGTCTGCATTATTTGATTCATTTGATAGGGATAATTTGACCAACCAAACTCAGTAGAAGATTATTAACTATGTAGCAACAAATAAAAAACAAAAATTGCTGGTAAAAAAGAAATTGTAGAATTTTGTTATCTATTCAAAGCAGAAATTTGTGTTAGCTGTTTGATTGGTTAGAAACTGGAAAGGATTTCCTACCAATAACAGGCTTATGAATTTTTGAGTGTAGCCATCGATAAAAGCTCTCGCCAGCAATGTGAATTGCCCCTCGACCAATATACTTCAATTCATTCTTGCTTTTAAGATTCAGGTCTTTTGGGACTTCCTCCATTGTGGATAGAAAGTTTGTGTCAAATGCAATCTGCAAGCAGAGATAGAATTCATAGTTACAGATAGAAAAGTTATGGCTAGTGAACACATAACATCACTTTAGGCCCTAGAACCTTTGCATTTCTGGCAACGTCATGCTTTTTGTATTTACTGCACGTTTACTAGCTTCAAAAACCAATAATTCTCATAAGCCTCCTTGATGAATCAGAATTTTTCAAGAAGAACCCATCATCAATTTACAAAAAATGATAACAAAAAGCTTTTAACATAACGCAGTCAGTTTTTGTAACAATGACAAAGAAAATTGAAGCACCCTTTTGATAACTACATCTATCACTTGTGCTGGTTTCTCAAACTTGACAAAAACTCTTCCCAAACCTCATAAAAATTTCATGAAAAGGCTTCGTCTAAGTGCTTTCGAAGAATGGTCTTTCAAAGAAATTGCTTAGTACGTTGATGATATCTTTGCTCTCTCCGTACACCTACGCTCGACTCAATTGAATTGCTTTGTTCTGACATGTCCTTTCAGCAAAAGATAAGTGTGTAACTCCTGTTATATGAAACTTAAGAGATTCGCCATTTCTTCTTTAAAGCAAGGTTATTTAAAATAAGAAGAAGAGAAGAAGCTTCTATACGTACCTGGGTCAAATAGGCACTTTGTTGGTGACATGAGGTGACTTTTGCTTCTTCCAAAGATCGTAGAAAATGAACAAACTGAGCTTGACTCCTAATAGTCTCGTTGAATACTGCTTTGAACATTTCAATAGTGATGTTAGACGAAACTTTGCCATAAGAAGGGTAATATTCCAATATGCAACAGCCAACATCAGCACTGTGCTGTGGACATAGGGAACTAATCACAGCACCAGGACAGGCTGAGCTTCGAAAACAGTAACCATCTCTGTATGGAGGAAACCGTAGCCTGCATTGGCCATTTATATGTCCTGTGAAATTGATCGAGAATATGTCACCTTCGCCTTATGTCCGGAATACGGCGCTAGAGACTCAATTAACCATGGAAACACTTTTTGCATTTCAGTTCAAATACAAATTTAGATATCTAGCTAATACCTTGATTCTGATCTATTTGCATTTGAACGATCAAAAGAATATTACAAGTTGACGAATGTTATTCGTTCGCAGAAACTGATTGAATTTTGTTAAAGGAACCAAAGGAACCAAGAAAGGATTGTATTTAAAAATCTTATAGGTTTTGCAGAAAAATTTAACAACTTCGAAGTCAGATACGAAGTATTATTGGGTAAATCTAGACTCAATCAAGCATGAGTGATCAAATCTTGTTTTGCATAAAGGACAGAAAATAACACATTTTTAATACTTTTTTATCAAGGTAGAGTGCCCATTCTTCAAGATAAGATAAGATAGCCTTGAATAAATTTATAAAAGAAAAGAAAGGTTTATTAGCACGTGTTAATGGCCTTTAGAAAGTGGAAGCCTGTTCTGACATGACTGTATCTCGTGTTTGCATCATGATAAACAACGCCATTCATTCACAAGCATCAGCAAACAAAGAAGATTAGAAGAATTGATTCGAAAGTTCTTCAAGAGGTAAAACAAAAACATAAATATTAATAAACAAACGAAGAAATAGTAAGGCTATATTAGCTTGAAGACTACGCAGAGACAACGAAAAACAGCGATGAGCGATCCAATTTATTTTAAACCTAATATAAAAAAGCGAAGTTCTAAAAGCATGGTGAATCATTAAATTTGATTGACATTGGATTTCGCCTGGCAATTTTTCGTTGTTTCTGTCTATCGATTAGTGACCGAATTATCATCACAGATGTTGCAACTTGTCTTGCAGACGACAATTATCTAGTAAATTCTCTTCTTGGAAAAGGTTATCAGGAGAAAGGGGTAGAAATCCACTGCTACGCGAAAATCAAGATGCTACCCGGTCCATTTTTACAGGACCACATGTGAAAAATTTCACAAATCCGTAAAATTTCATAAAAATTCCATATTTTGAGAAAATCAACGTCCGGCAAGTGTGCAGAGTCCCGTCGCTACGTCGAGAGATTTTCAGAATTCAAAGTATGTGACAAATTTTCATCAAATTGCGTTGTTCGGTTAGCTCTGATATCCCCCATATTTACTTTTGTAGGGCTGAAAAATATGCACAATCCTTGACAAAAGTCCTTGGCGCTCAAAGTAAGATTTTGATGAAATAAAATTTTCCGGCCGTAAATACAGAAATATCTCTCCTCCCCGCCAAAACAATGTTGTATGAAAAGCCGATTACTACCCTAGCTGATAGAGGTACATTGGTTGAATTTCAACTTTGAGACTGTCGTTATTCAACATTGTTTCCAGGGTAGAGGGAGATGCTACTGAACTTACGCGAAATTTTAGCTAAGTGTACCAAGACTTTTGGCAAGCATTGCAATTTGTCAAGCTACAGCAAAACTTGTATGTTAATGTAATGTTGCGAGTCCTAATGTTTGATTACACATGCTGAAGGTTTATGGGCTGCTTCAAATCATTACTTTCGTGATAAGATCAAAAGTACTTGAAATATAATTACGGTAATATTGGTCTGTGCTGGCTGTTATCTGGACTGTAACTATTGCAATCAAGAACCGGAGCATGGTACATCGGTTGAGCGGTGCTTCCATCCTAAAGAGGAAAATAATTGTACGTTTGTAAAGACCTTGCTGAAAAAGATCATCGAACAAATTAGAAATGTTTTCATCAAGCCTCTTTGCTAGATGTACATACAAAACTGGAGCATATCCAAAAAAGGCATCATAAAAGAACACGCAAGTGAGCGTGAAGGGTTCTCTGAATATGCGATTTATATCTAGTAGAACAAGCATTAGTGCGAAGTCCGTCACGTTAAAACTTCGATAAATCTTCTCCCTTTCTCTTACCATACACAGCCTGGCTTCATCATTGCCAGCACCTAAAGACGTATATAGCCATAAGCAAAGCTATAGCTAATGGGAACGTGTAGGGTGTGACACACTCTTTTGCAAAAAGACACTCTGTTGCAAAAACGAGGTGTTTTCTCCATCTAAGTATGTTTCATCGTTGAATTTTCAAACTTATTGGCAAGTGAAGAATGACTTGCCCATTTTGTCGAAAAACGGGAACTCGAAAAATTTGAGAAGAAGCTTCCGTTCCATTCAAACACTACCTGCAGGAAAACCAGTCGAGTATTCACTCAGGCTAAATCTGGACACCCCTCTTGAGGGTTTTTTTGCCACCCAGGGGTGCTTCATCGGTAAATTTTCCATACTAGGGAGTGGAGGGTCATCAGTAGCAAATTCATCGTCGAAGACATAGATGAAGAGAAATCCAGATGCTATTACACTTACCGATAGACGATTTTACCGAAAAATCATATATATTTTGGACCTACTGAAGATTTACCGACGAACTCATGAAGAAATGGGGTTCTAGCACCCCTTTCCTCTACCAAGCTACGTCCTTGCCCCTTGAGCATAATAGCTAACGATATCACTGATTACACCCGAATAGTTTAAGAACAATTTAAGAACAATCCAGCCTCTGAGTTTTGGAAAAATTACGAACAATCAACCTGAACTTCAATTTATTGGTTGTTATGTTTTGTGTACTTGTGAAAGAGTGTATTTGGCAATCCTAGTAGTTCAGAACTCAATCTTTAAAAGAACAAAGTAACTTTGCTCCTTTTCTTTCTGATATTTTTGTGTATGCTATGTGGTATAGGTATTATCCATTGATATGGATGCTATGCGATAAAGGAAGTTAGGATAAGCTAACTCAAATTAACGAGAGAGCATTAAGACTAGCCTACCCTGACAAAAAATTACTTGCTAACTCAAAAGAAACTTCCATACATATCCAATCAGTTAGAATTTTAGCGCTTGAAGTTTATAAAACACTTAACAAACCTTGATCCTGTTTTCATGAAAGAAAATTTTGTACCTAAAAGAACAGGTCAGAACCTTCCACTCAAAAACCCCCTTGACATTCAAAAAGCCAGAACCACCAATAATGGTATCAGATCATTAAGTTTTCAAGGGCCTAAAATCTGGAATTCACTCTCAGAATAGATAAAGACAGCACAAAGTACTAGACAATTCAAGAAGATGATCAAAACTTGGTTCCTTGAAAATAAGTGCGTGTGCGCGTGTTAGTTTTGCAGTAAGTAATATGTCCTATGCAGTCCTTGACATTGTTTTATGTTAGTCTCATTTAGTGTGCGTTCACTATTGTAAAAACTAACATTAAATAATCTATACAATACAATGCAATACAATGTACAACACCATTATGTGAAGAAAAAACTTTGACACAACTGGACCTTGAATGAGCTTGTAAATGCATTAGCACGGTCGCAAGGCACAGATTTGAGCCCAAGTAGAGATAAGTAAGTTTTAATAATGTTGAAGCCCTAGAAAAATATACATTGCTATTAATGAAATAAGTAATTTCTGAAAAAAACTTTCATACTCTCGTTGCATTGAAAAGGTCGACTAAACTCTCAACATTTTGATGGGTTGATTACAAATCTCTTATAAAAATGTGTGACAAACTTTACCTACACGTGTATCATCAGATCCGTTCTTCCCAACCTAAACATGTGTACTGTATCTCTTGCAGTCGCAGAATGCTCCTTGGAGTAAGACTGCCACCTCAACTCAAATAGCCCCGATTTGCTTAGCTTTACGTCATATCGAGCTCAAGGAATTGTAGCACATGTCATGTAGCTTCCTTTTATTTGGGGATGTAGGAGACTTGCTTTGCTTGCCAGTAACCTGATCCGATTTTATGCGAGGCACGAAGGTCAAGCTAACAAAGTGCAGGCAAAGGTCGATTCCGTGACACGAACATGTCAGAAAACAATCTACCCCTGATTTGAATTCGGCGAATACATCAAAGAAATTGCTGGTTACCTACTATGGCATTCCACTTAAAGGAAATCTATGAAAATTGGCATCGTGTAGGATGTACGATACGCAGCGAAGCTGCATTCATGTCCTGGAAGGACAATTTGCTTAAATTATTGCGCATGGAAATTTCCAAGTAGCTGTCTGACATATTCAAAATACATTATAAGGGGGGCTGGCCAAAATATTTTATACTAAACTGATACTAATCTTTTTATGATACTAATTTTTATACTAATCTTAAATTAGCTGCAAGTAGCACCAAAATGCTTTACAAATACACAATTATTTTGAAAGAACCAATAATTTTTGCCTAGGTTTTTATTATTTTATCAGACAATTTGAGGTGTTCTTATTTCATCGGACAATTTGAGACTCGGGCGTTGTCGATGTTGTTCTTATTCAATATTAATATTTCTACGATCGCATGCCATGAATCTTTCCTAAATCCAGAACAGTTTTGCGTAGAATTTTTGTAGCACTAATGTCTTTCTGTTAAAATAGGTTCTGTTTTGATATCAGGAAAGAAAGTTTAAAAAATACATTGCTATTTCTTTCAATTTTTCATTTAAGGGTGGGCATGTTCTTACATTGCTCTTAGTTCTTTTGGCAAATTGAGCCTTTGAGCTCCTCTAAGTGTATTCCTATTAAAATGAGTGAGTTCTTATAAAAAAGAGTATATCTTAACACAATTCAAGCCACGCCAAAAATTTTCTAATGTCGCAACTTGCTGGAAAATCCTGGTAATGCCACATTGGGCCTAAAGTTTACTCTTTTGTGCGAGCCTAGTGCTAAGAAAAATGTGTTTGTTTGGATGGGGCAAGTAAAACTAAGGTTCACTTGAGCGTCACAAATATTAGTTAAAAGTAGAGAATTCACCAAGCCCTTTGCTCTCTCCGTATGGATTTACATGACGATAACAGCGTTAATCAAAACCAGTTTTTCCTGACTGAGGAGAGATTGAACACAGAAGTGTTGTTGGTTTAACAAGAATTTCTTTCTAGAAAAAAATTGGAATTCAAAGCAGAAAGTAGTTAGATGGGGGATGAAATTGGTCTTCAAGTGCCGTTCTTTTTAGGGTGGCTCTATAATTGATTCTGGTACTATGGCCCTAAGTTTCAAGAACACACTTTTGCCATGCCAAGGTAGAACCTTATATTCTAATACCCTTATCTTCTTTTCATTCTTTCCTCTGTCAGCTTTCAATCTCCTGGTCATTCCAAATTTATTGCCTGCTTTATTCTCATAGTGTCGAATATGAAGAAGGGGCTCGGGTAGAACGGATTTCGTGTTGATCCACTGTTTCTCCTTAATCCAATCATTTGCTTACTTTGTCTGATCTAGCAGCCTTTTAAATTCCTGACGGCTTTTCAAAAAGTAGGAGCAAACAGCAATGGATTCGAGATAGGAAGGCATTAAAATGCATTAAGAGGTGCCATGTTCAAGACAGGTATCCCGTTTGCCTCAAAGGCGGCGAATCACACGTCTGTCGACAAAATTCGATGAAAAAAGCCACAAGCACCCCTAGATGCCAAAAACTTCTCGTTTTTGAAACGACATTTTTCGCGGAGTAGGGGGGGGGGGGCGATTCACACTCACTTTCTAAAGCTACGGTGCTTGAGAGAACACCTAAATACGCAGAGTTCTGATGTTTGAGCTGCAATACTATTGGTGAAACTGAGTTCACCACACCATTATACACAAAGCTACCTCATTTTGATGTGTGTACTGATATTGAATCAAGCATATTGCAAAAATGGCTGCTGAGATCACACCAAACCCAGTGATCATTGGTAACTGCTTTTGGGGACATTGTTGGGAGAGTTCCTTGTTGTTTTCATAGCATTTGTTGTGAAGTACCGGGACCTTGTAGCAGCAGATAAACAAATGATTCAGATCCTTTCTGTATTTGGGACATAACTGCAGCGAGACACTTAAGTTAGTCATTTCAACACAATGTGCAGATTTTAACATAGCAGATAAGCTTGGATTGCAATAATCAAGGATTTTAAAGGATAGATTGGGATTATCAAAGATTTCAAAGAATGGATTGACATAATCAAAAATTTGAAATGGTAGATTAAGATTATCAAGGAAAACAGCTAAATTAAAATCATCAAGAATGTAAGCTTATAAAGCATTTTCAAGGCACAGAATATCTCCTCTAGTTTTTGTGTCCGGTGTCAACCTGATACTTTTATTCTCACGTTCTTAATTCTCAACTTGAAGTTCAATGTGACGCTCATTATCATATGTACTGTTTGTGAAATAGCCTTTCAATTCACCATTTGTATGATAAATTGAGTCAGCACATAAACTGACTGGATTTATGCAGGCTATTTAACCTGCCATGATTGAATCGAGAGTCATAAGCGTAAGGAAAAATCCTGTAAGAAAAACAACTGAGTGCAAAAATGACTGTTTAAACATCTGTACTTAAGGCCCATTTCTAACGTATAAAGGGAAATGGGGCCTGGATATTTATTTTCATCCACACTCTCTGAAGACTTGTTCAAAATATAGATAGAATGGGGATGGACAATGACCTTGCGTTTTCATCTCGTTAAAAGATGTTGACGCTACTTAGGCTCTGTCAGCCGGGGTAGAAATAAAAAATGTTGGTGATTGCTTTTTCCATTCGGACCATATCTTGACGAGAATTACTTTTCTTAACCAATTAAAAAATAAGACCGCCTCTGACGTGATTTTGTTTCAGACCGACTGTTTCAATAGTTTTGGGGC